TTTGAAAGAGCATTTCATTGTCAGCATGTTTAGTTGCTGTTTCAAAAAGGCTTTGAACCCTCATAGACGAGGAAACACGATGAAGTTTTCGATCTTTTTTAAAGGTCTTGTTTTTACAAAAGATACAACACAAAAAATCTTGTGATAGCCTAGATCTAGTAAGGATATTTGAAGATGAACATGAACTTGTAGTTTCTGCTTGAGACTGCTGTTGCTGAACTTTTGCAGCAGATATACGACTTGATGGAGACGGTAGGTTGTGTTTGCTTGTATATGTCCTGTAACAAGTTTTGTGATATTTTATGTTGTTCATAATAATGTCATCTAATGTATCAACCTCACTCAAAAACAACCTAAACACATCATCTTGTCTTTGCCTTACAGCATTCATTAAGGTTGTAAAACCTCTATCAGTTGTCATACTGAGAGTCTCTTGTGTAATATTTTGACATATTATACAGCGTTGCCAATTTATGGACATGCGACCGCGCTTCATTGGAGGTGGCGCACATTTCACAGGACTTAGACACTCATCCATGATGAGTAATTGTGATAATATTTAAGAATATACTATTCTACAAAATGCAGTCTGCTGCTTACATATCACATACCAATATCGTTAGTAATGCTTAAAATGGTCTTTCGTTAACACATATACGAATATCTATTTAGTAATATGTTAAAACACGACTTGTGTTTTGGCAACTCAAATGTTACCTGTGCATATTAGATACTCGATTTATATAAATTTTGAGCGTCTGGGATGAACACGATACAGATCCGGAATACCGTTTAATAATGCAGATTTTAGAGAAGTCGTCAAACATTTATTATCCATCATTGAGCTTCGATGTGTGTCGCAATCTTTTCAAGGTATATGGAATTTATAAAAACAAAACATATGAGAGTTTTAATAAGTCATTGACACCGACAATCTTAAAAAATATGGTATTTTTTTTACATTTGAGAGTTGGTCAGACAGATGACTCTGAATTAACTAATTTTTCATAAAATCTTCTTTTTTTTGGATTCGATGTCTTTTTAGAATGTAGTCAAAGCTATCTTAGATAAAAATGAATAATATATTTACAACAATGCCGATATATTCAATGTTAAATGTCACCGTATAATCCAAAGTATTTCGACATGTCTGTGTTCTCGTGAGATTTGCAAGAAACGTGACCATAGGGAACTTTGACGACCACCCAAATCGTATGCTCTAGAAGTTTTTCTTTCAATTGATACCAAAATTAGCTGTGTGTTAGATAGGTGCATTAAAAACCTTAACGAGAGGCTTTTTCTCAAATCGGCGCTCGCCTATAAGGTTTAACCTTTACATTAAAGAGGGGTCGGATATAGTATTACCTCCAGACAAGTAATGGTTATAGAATGACACATGTCATCTAATTGAAGCGGATCAAGGATTTTTTCAAAGGGGTTCAATTCTCGAAAACTGCATATTTACCGTCGATCGGAGCGAGATGAACACATTTTTGGAGAATTTTATGCTAAAAAAATGATATATTTTTTTAACCAAAAGGGGTGTACGGCCTGTACCCCTTGAAATCTGCCACTGTAGAATAATAAAATTGAGAATGGAAATGGGGAATGTGTCAAAGAGACAACAACCCGACCACAGAACAGACAACAGCAGAAGGCCACCAACAGGTCTTCAATGCAGCGAGAAATTCCCGCACCCGGAGGCGTCCTTCAGCTGGCCCCTAAACAAATATATATATACTAGTTCAGTGATAATGAACGCCATACTAAACTCCAAATTGTACACAAGAAACTAAAATTAAAAATAATACAAGACTAACAAAGGCTAGAGGCTCCTGACTTGGGACAGGCGCAAAAATGCGGCGGGGTTAAACATGTTTATGAGATCTCAACCCTCCCCCTATACCTCTAGCCAATGTAGAAAAGTAAACGCATAACAATACGCACATTAAAATTCAGTTCAAGAGAAGTCCGAGTCTGATGTCAGTAGATGTAACCAAAGAAAATAAACAAAATGACAATAATACATAAATAACAACAGACTACTAGCAGTTAACTGACATGCCAGCTCCAGACTTCAATTAAACTGATTGAAAGATTATGTCTTCATCATATGAATATCAGGCACAATCCTTCCCGTTAGGGGTTTAGTATCATACCATCATAACATATATGAGAAGAACATAACCCGTGTCATGCCAACAACTGGTTTTTAAATAAATGTGTTTAGTGCCGATGCAAAGACCCTATAAGTGAATCAATATTAACGCCAAAATATGCAATCTTTAATGACCTGACAACAGTATCGTAACTATATCCCTTCTTAATAAGTCTATTTAAAGGTTTTGTTAGTTTCAGAGGAGAATACTGACATTTTTGTGCTTTATAAAGAATATTTCCATAAAAAATTGGATGTGAAATACCTGAACGTATAAGAAGTCTGCATGTTGAGCTATATTTACGAATGATGTCCTTATACCGATGATAAAATTTAGTAAATGTTTTGACTAGTTTGTGATATCGAAAACCCTGGTGTAATAATTTTTCAGTAATACATAAATTTCTCTCGTTAAAATCTAAAAAATTGTTACATACACGAGCGAATCGTACAAGTTGAGATATATAAACACCGTAAGATGGTGACAAGGGAACGTCACCATCTAAAAATGGATAATTAACGATAGGAAATGAAAAATCATCTCTTTTATCATATATTTTAGTATTAAGCTTTCCGTTAATGATATAGATATCAAGATCGAGGAAAGGGCAGTGGTCATTGTTAGTATTAGCTTTATTTAAAGTAAGTTCAACAGGATAAATTTCTTTAGTATACATACTGAAGTCGTCATTATTGAGAGCCAAAATATCATCCAAATATCTAAAAGTATTATTAAATTTGTGTTTCAGATGTTGTTTCGATGTGTTTTTACTGATTTTTATCATAAATTGTAACTCATAGCAATACAAAAAAAGGTCCGCAATAAGTGGTGCACAGTTAGTCCCCATTGGAATTCCGATAACCTGACGATATACGGAATCTCCAAAGCGAACAAAAATGTTATCTAGTAAAAATTCAAGGGCATATATAGTATCAAAGCATGTCCAATTGACATAGTTTTTTTGTTTATTGCTACTAAAAAATGACCTAAAAGAGTTTGAACATATATATTCACATTCTGACTTTTTAAATGCCCATTTAATTAGGTGTGTGATTTTTTTCTTAATGAGAATGTGAGGCAATGTGGTATATAGGGTAGAAAAATCAAAACTTTGAACAGATTCAAAATCACCAATATATGCATGCAATTTATCAAGTACTTCCAACGAGTTCTTGACACTCCAAAAGTAATTAATTCCACTATTTTCGAAGGCCTTATTTGAACAATTTATTATCAGGTTTTTGATTGTACCAAGTGTACTGGTAAGAAGAATAGACAATTTAGTAGTGGAACAATGGCTTGAAGACGAAATGAATCTATATTTGTAAGGTGTTTTGTGTAGCTTCGGAAGCCAATACATAGTTGGGACTTTCATTGTATTTGGTTCTGCTTGTAAAGCGGTAGCTAAAAGTTTATGTTTGTTACAGATGTCGTTTTCTGAAAATGGAGTCAGTTGGAATGTTGGTGAATTGGTGATTTCTTTTTTCAGAACCTCAATGTAAAATTTACGTCAAACAGTAATAATATTATTAGCAGCTTTATCGGCCGGGACAAAAACAAATTCCTTGGCTAGTTCTTGTTAACTTTCTTCGGTCGAAATAGTAGTAATATGTACGACATTATAAAATGCATTTATTCATTTCAAGTAATCGATTTTAAATTTGTTTGTGGGAAATTTGATGTCTGTGATATCTAGTTATAAATATGCGTTATTTTATGTGGTATTTTAAGATAAGGTTTTCTACAGACCTAAACTTTTATTCTGTTTTCAACTTGCTTACGACGTATAAACAACATGAACCTCGGTGACTTTGGCTGTAAACTGAAAAATACTGATCAATTCTAATTTATACACGGTGAAATGCAACTTATCTCCAGCGAATAAAAGGAGATATACTGGAAATATGCCGAGTAGAAAACAACCATATAGAAAAATAAAATTATACATGAAACGGAATGCGCCAATGAGTTAGCTTTTTAAACTTTCGGTATAAAAAGTCTCTTATTTTGTGAAATGATTAAACACAAAATTTATTTAAAATATATTTTGATTTTACATTATACTTTCAATCAAATAATTGAATAATATAGTCGTCGTTCTCGTTTCAGATACGTACAGTATTATGTATTGCAAGATTATATCAAACGAGTTACCTACTTTAAAAATTGCATTGTTTAAATATGAAATTAGTGTCTAAGTATATGAAAAAAAAGAAATTATCTCCATACGACAAGACAAGGTTGTTGGTTTTTTTTTACTGTAAAAAAAAAATTCACTCTAATGAAATGTATATAATTTATATCATAATAATACTCAGTAACAGTTATAACAGTAAAGTTGGTAAAATAATTTGGATATTAGGGCTAAGATAAGATCTATTATTTGCCGCCCCTGAAATTGCAAAATAGTAAAATTCTTCCTTCCTTCAAGTTAATGTTATCAATATGATACTATTATCTGGATAATTTAGTGCAGAAATGACCTAATGAGGCCATTAACATGTTGAAATTGACAAATTTTACCTAAAATGACCTTTAAACAGGGACTTTAAACTAACTTAGTATAGACTGTCCCTGCTTTAAACAAGTATTTTTTGGCAAATTATGGCTAAGTCAAAATATCAATGAAAAGATATCAAAGTAATGATTTTAGCAGTTTTCGCATCAAAAAGTTTTATTAAGGATAATCAATGAGTTGTTCATAAATGGCCCTTTCAAACTGAAATTACTATTTAATACATATTATGGTCCACATTTATTTACTCTTAAATTATATCTTTTCGGCCTTTAACATTATCGGGGTATCGAGTTCTGTCCCCTTGAAAAAAAAGCATCAACAGATTGTAGGAGGTATTCGTCATTCGATCAAAGGTCAAGGGCTTGCAAAATCACAACAAAAATGGCGAAAAGGGTTTGATGACAAAGAAAAGTGTGGACTTTGTAACTTGTTAATATGGCAGAACTTTTAGCTGTCCAACTACACATTCCAATTCACCCAGATGTTTCAACATCTAGGTCTAAATATCAAAAGTCAGCGTCAGGTGGCAGTACTCCGTCAAATAACTCCAGTCGATTCGAACAGTTCGCGCACCTGCCAAGTCGACGAGCAGTTGACATTGAATATAAAGATCTGACATACAGAGTTAGAGAAGGGCGGCATAAAGGTTCATACAAAATATGTTTAAAACAAGTCAACCATGTTTATGTATTCATCTATTTTCATATGTTCCTAAAGTTGATCAAATTATTATGTCAGAACAGAATATATGTTCCTGGTCAATGTGTTAATTATATTTTCTGCATCTAAATGCAAATTATCTTATTATACAATAAACCTTACTCCAAAATTCAAATATAATCGATCTATTTTAAAGGACAAGGATTGATATATATTGTAAGATATATTGTCATGATTGTGTACTTGTAGTCTTCTACCTCCTCAACCGCCAATATTTGGACAGGTGCAAGACAACTTGGACCGTCTTTTAAGTTAATTTAGAACTTCTAATATTCCAACTCATACAAGGTATTCAAGAAGAGTTTTGATTATGTAAATGATTAAATGAGTGTCTACAAAAAAGACAACTAGGACTGTCTATGAAGACAACTTAGATCTTGACATTTTCTTAAGACATGCATCAGTCTATTGTGAAGATTGGCATAATTAGATTTTCATTACTGATTGTTAATTAATTTAACGCTGTTTAATTATGACTTCAGGTAAAATGCATTGAGATTGTATTAAACAAATATAATAAATAATGTATGCAATTAACAGATAAATTCAGTTTGTTTTATGAATTAATAAAGATTTTATTAAGATATAAAATCCCCATGATGAAGTAGAAATTCAAATTTACATTTAAATTATTTTGGGCATTTGCAAATGCAGCAAGGTATAAGGGATCTCATAATACTTTGTCTGGGTTGACTTATTAGTTAGTCTAAGTTGACTCGGTCCTATTTGTCTCCAGCCGAGTTGTCCCATATTCACTGGTATACAGTGACTTATTGCTATTTCAGAATCTGCGAGACATGACCTAAGATGTTGCAAAACATGTTGAATTATTGAGGTCATACACTTGCACATATAAAATTAAGGAGGAGTGGAATGGTTGCCAATGAGACAACTATCCACTAAAGTTAAAATGAAGTGGATGTAAACAATTATAGACAACTGTACGACCTTCAACAATGAGAAAAACCCATACTGTAAAATCCGTTATATAAGGCATCAATCCTCCACTAACCTGGGACAGTGGTGTAACAGTACAACATAAGAAAAAACTATAAAAATCAGTTGGATAGAGCTTAACTAATTAGATTAATACAATGTAGAGAAACATCTAACAAAAACACATGGCAGGGAATTTATAAATCCCTCACAACAAAGAAGACACAAAGTACTAGCAGTTGAAGCACAGCTTCATGTAGTTCAAAGCAAATAACAACAAATTAAAAAAAAATCATTAATTTAAGAATAAAATATCAATCAGTACACATCCAATGGATTTAGTATTAAGATGTCATTAACAGGCAGAGAAAAACATGAGCAATGCCAAAATAAAGGTATCGACAGAAGAATAAGGATCCAAAAAGTGAAGAAAAAAAAATATATGCACTCCTCACACATTAGCAGACATTTGGTTAGATCTAAGTTAAATGTAAATACATTTTGTATTTCCTTGTAAACACATTTTTAATACATTGTTTCAAATTATTGAAATAATTTGCTTAATTTGCTTAAGGTGGACAGAACACCTCTAACATGTCTAAGGGAGTTACAGGTAACTCTTTAAAAATCAGCTGAACATTTTAATCACATACTATTTGTAATGAGAAATCAAGCTTCTCAATGATCAAAATAAGTGTTTGGCAACCTGCAATACATCCAATGAAATTATTTCTGTAAATTGTGTGGTTCAAATTTCTTGAAATTTTTGTATTTTTGTCGACAGACAGGTCAAGGTAAATATTTTGTCACAAATTTATGAAAATTAAACGAGCCAATATAAATAAGAAGATGTGGTATGAGTGCCCATGAGACAACTCTCCATCAAATCTATTTTAATCAAAGTGTTAGGTACTCCCTTAAAGTTAAATTAATATATCTTTTCAATGAGAAACATTCAAGTTTTGATACAGCTTTGTCATGTGAGTGATACCATTGAAAGTCAGAAATTTTGAATAAATTTTGTAATACTAAGACAAGATATATGTTTAATCTGAATCTGGTCTCTAATTGAATCACTGTTCTAATTGCTAACTACAATATGAAAAGTAAACAAAAGAGCAACCATCAAATAAAAAGCTATGCAATAATATGGAATATCTATCAATTTACCAATCTTTCTACCAGTGATTTCAATCACTTTGATTAAAACAGCACATATCAATTTTTTTTTTTTATGAAGTAATACAAATATATGTATATAGCATTTAAATGTTTTTGTAGTTTTTATACGACCGCAAAAATTGAAAATTTTTTGGTCGTATATTGGTATGACGTTGGCGTCGTCGTCGTCGTCGTCGTCGTCGTCTGGCGTCGTCCGGCGTCGTCCGAAGACACATTGGTTTTCGCACTCTAACTTTAGTTTAAGTGAATGGATCTCCATGAAATTTTACCATAAGGTTCAATACCACGAAAGGAAGGTGGGGATTGATTTTGGGGGTTATGGTACCAACAGTTAAGGAATTAGGGGCCAAAAAGGGGCCAAAAATAAGCATTTTTGTAACTTCCAGACAATAACTTGTGTGTAAGTGTATGGATCTCTCTGACATTGTACCACAAGGTTCCATATCACAAAGGGAAGGCTGTAATTGATTTTGGGGGTAATTGCCTCAAAATTTTAGGAATTAGGGGCCAAAAAAGGGGCAAAAAACAAGCATTTTTCTAGTTTCATGACAATAACTTGTGTGTAAGTGTTTGGATATTTCTGAAATTGTATTACAAGGTTCCATATCACAAAGGGAAAGCTGGAATTGAGTTTGGGGGTAATTGCCCGAAACGTTTAGGAATTGGGGGCCAAAAAGGGGCCAAAAATAAGCATTTTTTCTAGTTTCCAGGCAATAACTTGTGTTCAAGTGTATGGATCTCTCTGAAATTGTACTGCAAGGTACCATACCACAAAGGGAAGGCTGGGATTGAGTTTGGGGGTGATGAATCATAAGGGGGTTCAAAAAATTTGGGGGGGGGGGATTTTTTTTTAAATTTTTTTAAATTTTTTTCCTTTTTTTTTTCTTTTAAAACTTTCCATTTTAAGTTGGTTATTTCTGATTAATATTTAAAAGCAAATAATAATGATATGGTAGGAGATACACACCAAACAGGATGTGTAAATTATTATATAATAAGTATTGTGCAATAGCAAGAAATTTTCAATTGCACAGTATTGCACAATTGCAAGAAATCTTCAATTGCACAGTATTGCGCAATAGCAAGAAATCTTCAATTGCACAGTATTGCGCAATAGCAAGAAATATCCAATAGCACAGTATTGCGCAATAGCAAGAAATTGTCAATTGTACAGTATTGCACAATAGCAAGAAATATTCAATTGCACAGTATTGTGCAAAAGAAGATACTTCGTATAAATTGCTTATTTCTTGATCAATTTCAATGGGGTTTTATTCTTGAATTCTTGGGGTTCTTTAATATGCTGAATCTAACTGTGTATTAAGTTTTTGGATTTTGGGCCCTGTTTTTAAATTGGTCCACATTGAGGTCCAAAGGGTCCAAAATTTAACTTTGTTTGATTTTAACAAAAATTGAATTTTTAGGGTACTTTGATATGCTGAATCTAAACATGTATTTAGATTTTTGATTATGGGCCCAGTTTTCAAGTTGGTCCAAATCGGGGTCCAAAATTAAACTTTGTTTGATTTCAACAAAAATTGAATATATGGGGTTCTTTGATATGCTGAATCTAACCATGTATTTAGATTTTTGATTTTTGTGCCCCGTTATCAACTTTGTCCACATTGAGGTCAAAAGGGTCCAAAATTAAACTTTGTTTGATTTCATCAAAAATTGAATTCTTGGGGTTCTTTGATATGCTGAATCTAACCATGTATTTAGATTTTTTATTTGTGGACCCGCTATCAAATTGGTTCATATTGAGGTCAAAAGGGTCCAAAATTAAACTTTGTATGATTTCATCAAAAATTGAATTATTGGGGTTCTTTGATATGCCAAATCTAACCGTGTATTTAGATTTTTAATTTTGGGTCCCGTTTTTAAATTGGTCTACATTAAGGTCCAAAGGGTCCAAAATTAAACTTAGTTTGATTTTAACAAAAATTGAATTCTTGGGGTTCTTTGATATGCTGAATCTAAACATGTGTTTAGATTTTTGATTATGGGCCCAGTTTTCAAGTTGGTCCAAGTTGGGGTCCAAAATTAAACTTTGTTTGATTTCAACAAAAATTGAATATATGGGGTTCTTTGATATGCTGAATCTAAACATGTATTTAGATTTTAGATTTTTGGCCCAGTTTTCAAGTTGGTCCAAATTGGGGTCCAAAATTAAACTTTGTTTGATTTCAACAAAAATTGAATATATGGGGTTCTTTGATATGCTGAATCTTACCATGTATTTAGATTTTTTATTTGTGGGCCCGCTATCAAATTGGTTCATATTGAGGTCAAAAGGGTCCAAAATTAAACTTTGTTTGATTTCATCAAAAATTTAATTATTGGGGTTCTTTGATATGCCAAATCTAACCGTGTATTTAGATTTTTAATTTTGGGTCCCGTTTTTTAAATTGGTCTACATTAAGGTCCAAAGGGTCCAAAATTAAACTTAGTTTGATTTTAACAAAAATTGAATTCTTGGGGTACTTTGATATGCTGAATCTAAACATGTGTTTAGATTTTTTATTTGTGGACCCGCTATCAAATTGGTTCATATTGAGGTCAAAAGGGTCCAAAATTAAACTTTGTATGATTTCATCAAAAATTGAGTTATTGGGGTTCTTTGATATGCCAAATCTAACCGTGTATTTAGATTTTTAATTTTGGGTCCCGTTTTTAAATTGGTCTACATTAAGGTCCAAAGGGTCCAAAATTAAACTTAGTTTGATTTTAACAAAAATTGAATTCTTGGGGTTCTTTGATATGCTGAATCTAAACATGTGTTTAGATTTTTGATTATGGGCCCAGTTTTCAAGTTGGTCCAAGTTGGGGTCCAAAATTAAACTTTGTTTGATTTCAACAAAAATTGAATATATGGGGTTCTTTGATATGCTGAATCTAAACATGTATTTAGATTTTAGATTTTTGGCCCAGTTTTCAAGTTGGTCCAAATTGGGGTCCAAAATTAAACTTTGTTTGATTTCAACAAAAATTGAATATATGGGGTTCTTTGATATGCTGAATCTTACCATGTATTTAGATTTTTTATTTGTGGGCCCGCTATCAAATTGGTTCATATTGAGGTCAAAAGGATCCAAAATTAAACTTTGTTTGATTTCATCAAAAATTTAATTATTGGGGTTCTTTGATATGCCAAATCTAACCGTGTATTTAGATTTTTAATTTTGGGTCCCGTTTTTTAAATTGGTCTACATTAAGGTCCAAAGGGTCCAAAATTAAACTTAGTTTGATTTTAACAAAAATTGAATTCTTGGGGTACTTTGATATGCTGAATCTAACCATGTATTTAGATTTTTTATTTGTGGACCCGCTATCAAATTGGTTCATATTGAGGTCAAAAGGGTCCAAAATTAAACTTTGTATGATTTCATCAAAAATTGAATTATTGGGGTTCTTTGATATGCCAAATCTAACCGTGTATTTAGATTTTTAATTTTGGGTCCCGTTTTTAAATTGGTCTACATTAAGGTCCAAAGGGTCCAAAATTAAACTTAGTTTGATTTTAACAAAAATTGAATTCTTGGGGTTCTTTGATATGCTGAATCTAAACATGTGTTTAGATTTTTGATTATGGGCCCAGTTTTCAAGTTGGTCCAAGTTGGGGTCCAAAATTAAACTTTGTTTGATTTCAACAAAAATTGAATATATGGGGTTCTTTGATATGCTGAATCTAAACATGTATTTAGATTTTAGATTTTTGGCCCAGTTTTCAAGTTGGTCCAAATTGGGGTCCAAAATTAAACTTTGTTTGATTTCAACAAAAATTGAATATATGGGGTTCTTTGATATGCTGAATCTTACCATGTATTTAGATTTTTTATTTGTGGGCCCGCTATCAAATTGGTTCATATTGAGGTCAAAAGGGTCCAAAATTAAACTTTGTTTGATTTCATCAAAAATTTAATTATTGGGGTTCTTTGATATGCCAAATCTAACCGTGTATTTAGATTTTTAATTTTGGGTCCCGTTTTTTAAATTGGTCTACATTAAGGTCCAAAGGGTCCAAAATTAAACTTAGTTTGATTTTAACAAAAATTGAATTCTTGGGGTACTTTGATATGCTGAATCTAAACATGTGTTTAGATTTTTTATTATGGGACCAGTTTTCAAGTTTGTCCAAGTTGGGGTCCAAAATTAAACTTTGTTTGATTTCAACAAAAATTGAATATATGGGGTTCTTTGATATGCTGAATCTAACCATGTATTTTGATTTTGGACATTGGACCATAATAGGTAAATTAAAAAAATTGAAGTTCTTAGACCACATTCTTTCTGTGTCAGCAACCTATGCTGTGTCAAATATTTAATCACAATCCAAATTCAGAGCTGTATCAAGCTTGAATGTTGTGTCCATACTTGCCCCAACTGTTCAGGGTTCGACCTCTGCGGTCGTATCAAGCTGCGCCCAGCGAAGCATTTTATTGTATACATGCGATGATGCTCTTTTACATGCATAAATATTTAAAAAAAAAAAAGGACACCTGGTATCACATTGGCAATCAGACAACTATCCACCACTGTGACCAGAGTCTAAATTCATGGATGTAAGCAACTGAAAGTGAATAAATATTTAGGTCACTGTACACCCTTCAACAATGCTATGACATGACAAAATATGAAACAATTCAAATAAGAAAACCAATGGCCTGATTTATAACAGAATAATTAAAGAAAAAAAAATATGACAGACATGAACCAACAACAAAGTTAATTACAAAATCTAATATTTATTTGTTTTTGTCTTATATAGGCGTAAAAGACATTTTAAAATGTATATCAGGGAAATTTCAGTCTGGACAACTAACGGCTATAATGGGTCCATCCGGAGCTGGGAAATCATCTTTAATGAATATTTTGGCAGGTTATAGGTATGTACCAAGGAGATTGGCAATTTTTATACGACCGCAAAAACATTTTTGTGGTCGTATATTGGTATGACGTTGGCGGCGTCGTCGTCGTCGTCCGAAGACACATTGGTTTTCGCACTCTAACTTTAGTTTAAGTGAATGGATCTCTATGAAATTTTACCATAAGGTTCAATACCACAAAAGGAAGGTGGGGATTGATTTTGGGGGTTATGGTACCAACAGTTAAGGAATTAGGGGCCAAAAATAAGCATTTTTGTAACTTCCAGACATAACTTGTGTGTTAGTGTATGGATCTCTCTTGACATTGTACCACAAGGTTCCATATCACAAAGGGAATGCTGGGATTGATTTTGGGGGTAATTGCCTCCAAATTTTAGGAATTAGGGGCCAAAAAGGGGCAAAAAACAAGCATTTTTCAGTTTCATTACAAAAACTTGTGTGTAAGTGTATGGATCTCTCTGACGTTATACCACAAGGTTCCATATCATAAAGGGAATGCTGGGATTGAATTTGGGGGTAATTGCCTCCAAATTTTAGGAATTAGGGGCCAAAAAGGGGCAAAAAACAAGCATTTTTCTAGTTTCCTGACAATAACTTGTGTGTTAGTGTATGGATCTTTTTGAAATTGTACTACAAGGTTCCATATCACAAAGGGAAAGCTTGAATTGAGTTTGGGGGTAATTGCCCAAAAAGTTTAGGAATTAGGGGCCAAAAATAAGCATTTTTCTAGTTTCCAGACAATAACTTGTGTTCAGGTGTATGGATCTCTCTGAAATTGTACTGCAAGGTACCATACCACAAAGGGAAGGCTGGGATTGGTTTTGGGGGTAATTCCCTAAAAATTTTAGGAATTAGGAGCCATAAAAGGGCCAAAAAACAAGCATTTTTCTAGTTTCAGGACAATAACTTGTGTGTAAGTGTATGGATCTTAATGAAATTGTACTGCAAGGTTCCATATCACAAAGGGAAGGCTGGGATTGAGTTTCAGGGTGATGAATCATAAGGGGGTTCAAAAAATTTGGGGGGGGATTTTTTTTTCATTTTTTTTCTTTAAAATTTTCCAATTTAAACTGGTTATTTCTGATTTATATATAAAAGCAAATAATCATGATATGGTTTGAATAGGTAAATTAAAAAATTTTAAGTTCTTAGACCACTTTCATTCTGTGTCAGAAACCTTTGCTGTGTCAAATATTTAATTACAATCCAAATTCAGTGCTGTATCAAGCTTGAATGTTGTGTCCATACTTGCCCCAACTGTTCAGGGTTCGACCTCTGCGGTTGTATCAAGCTGCGCCCCAGCGGAGCATTTTATTAAAGTTGATAAACTATATTTTGATTGAATCAAATAGTAAATACATGTCCAGTTTAATTTTTTTTTAGAAAGAATACTAATATCAATGGAAACAATGACGATCTCATCCCTTAGAGCGATCTTTGATTTATGAAAAAAGTACTCAATAAAGTTATTTTATATCTCAATGGAAACATTTTAGTTTATTTCATAAAATTAAGAATTGATTGAAATTGAGGTGAGTATACCGATAATAAGAAACTGTAAAAAAATGACAAAAAGTTACATCTTTAAGTTATTTTATATATACATCTTTGAATTGATTTATAATACAAATGTAACAATTATATGTGGAACGTGTAATTGTTTTTGGGCTACAAATAAAAATAACCAAGTCTCAGTTAAATCACATGTTTCCATTCATTTATATCCGTATACCTTCAAGACACTAAGGAAAATGATATCTTATTAGCCCTAAAAGACCAATTTTCGACCCAGAAGCTTTATTATGGAAGGCAATTAGAGTTTCAGGAGGATTAGTTTGTATATTACTCGCTGTGTTGAAGACCCATTGGTGGCATTAGGCTGTTTTCTACTCTTTGGTCGGATTGTTGTCACTTTGACACATTCCCTGTTTCCACTCTCAATTTTATTCTTGGGAAAAATAACCAGAAAATTTGTTTATGCTTGTAGATCTGTATGAATGAACACATTTAATTTTTGAATGATATTAACAAAAGAAACTTATATAAGTTATATTGAAAAGAGTCTCATTTTTAATAAAATAATAATACAACAGGTAATTTTGAAAAGTTACTTGTTTAAAAATTTAAGTAATATTAATGCCCCTGACTGTTTATGAATAAAGTGCCCAGAAAATAGAATGAACAAATGCATCTTTAATGCAAAAGCACAAACATGCTATGACAAAATTAACAACATATATTACATAATTTAAAACATTGATAGACAGCAGAGAACAACAGTAAAATACTATCACAAATTAAAAGTTATGAAACTACAAATGTATACTACATGTATGAGATAAGATATTTTTATTCCAATTAAAGGGCCAATGAAGAGTAAAAGTAATTTAATACAATAATATGAGATCTAATTTTCCATGAAGTTTTTATATGATTACATAGTTTGATAATGAGAAACTTAATAAAGTCTTGAAGTAAATAAAAAAGAAAAAAAATTCACATTTGACAAGTCCTGATGGCACTAAAACCATGAAAACAGGGCTAAATTAGTATATTTTGTAAAATTTCTTTTTTTTTTTTAGACTTTTTCATCTGACCTTTTGTTAAATTTATTTTTAAAATGTTAGGAAGGAAAGACACCAAAGTTTTAAATTCTTGAAGTTTGTATTCACAGGAAGTTTTTAAATATCCCTGTAAGTTGTAGTCCTTTAGGTCAAATATTTTAACATCTTATGTAATGTTATAATTAGAGGAATGATAAAAGATGTACTTGTAATCAATGCCCTAACATGCTTCCGTTAGATTAGATACAAAAATTGCCTTGTGTCTAAATCTGCATGAGGAGTCTTTGGTCTTCTCTGCACCAGAATATTTTTAATGTCTTTAAAAATAGCATATTTTCAATTTTCAATTTTACCATACTATTTTGGAAGATTTGATATTTTTTAATATCTCATCTATAATATTTTATGAAATATCTGAATACTAATGTTTGCTGATTGTCTTTTATTTTCACTTTTGGATCTTGCATATTAATATAGAAACTAAGAGATGTGGTGTAGTGGGCAATTGGGGCTTGCTTCTGTGGCTGAGTAGTCTTTTATTTAGTAGTTCATCCACTGTATCACTAGCCTGTCAACACTGAGGTTGTGAGTTTGAACCCTGCACATGGCAGGTGCTTTCAACTTTAATCTTAAAGGACAGTTTGCCTGTCAAGGTCTGTGGTTCTCTAGGGGCACTCTGGCTTCCTCCACCAATAAAAACTGACTGCCTCAATATAGCTAATTATTTCTGAAAGTAGCGTTAAACAGCAACAATCAATCAATTAATAACGGCCAATGAGACAAGTAAATCAGTACTGGTAATGTTTTTATATCCATCAAAGACCAAAAGTACGAGAATGTAAACAATGTTTTTAATGGAAATGATTTATTTCAGGACAAAAAATATTACAGGACATATTTTGGTGAATGGTAGAGACCGTGATTTGAGATCTTTTAGGAAGATATCATGTTATATCATGCAAGATGACCACTTACTGCCACATCTGACAGTGGATGAATCCATGATGTGTTCTGCAAACCTTAAATTGACAGAAAAAATGTCAAATAAAGAAAAACATGCACTGGTTTGTCTTTCTTATTTCAGAATAGTAAACAGTCAAGGGTGTAACTTGAATAAGTTATTAGAGAAAAATAACATACATGTGTTATTACAAATACTTTCAAGAGTTGTCTACTCTTTTTTTCTTAATCTGTAGTAACATATGTTTGTTATTAGTTAAATATATCATAAATATTTTTATTTTTAGTGGGCACTTGGGAATTCTTGAAACTTTGTGCAGTAACTTAATACATAACCTTGATAGCTAATTTTCCAATTCAATTAATACAATTTTGATCAACCATGGTAAATCAATGAGACAATACCTTTAAGGGATAAACTAAAATACATTTTGATATATGTCTGAGCAAAGGCTTTGAAGAGATGAAGAGAAGCTGTAATAACACCCTTTAGTTATTACAGGCATATATTTTCTGTAATAACATAGGTATACTATGCATGATTGGCAGACTATGAACTGTTATATCTTTCTAAAGTTTAGTATACATAAAGACAATAATAATATCAATAGAACTTGTATACAATTTAACAAAATAAAGGATGTATATTGCTCCTTTGAAACATGTAACATACATGTAGGATCACAAATATTTGATTTTTTAGTCCACAATAACAAATGTATGTTATTTTTCTCTAATAACTTATTTAAGTTACACCCTTGACTGGTAAAATAGAATAAAAAATGATACTTTCACAGTTTTATAAAACATATTAAGAATAATTATCCATATCAAAAAGATTTAAAAGACAAAAGAACAAAAGTTAATCCTTAGTGCTTCAAAAAAAAGGAATGTGTTTTCTTTTCCAAATATTTTTTCAAATATATGTACAGATGGTTGGGTTTTGTGAGTTAGTTAGTTGCCCACAGCACTCCATGCTCCTCAATCAGTAAAAAGTTATTTAAAACATAGTGATTAATTAATTGCCAAGGTTAGTCAGTTTGTTGATTGTTGAAAACATTGTGTGTTTTGTGTTACAGGTTGATGATATACTGTATTCACTAGGATTATCAGATCATAAGAAGACAAGGACAATTAACCTGTCTGGTGGTCAGAGAAAACGTCTTTCTATTGCTTTGGAGTTGGTAAACAATCCACCAATCATGTTCTTTGATGAACCAACAAGGTAATATATCATAAAAGAGATTGTAAAAATTATCTTGTTTATGTAGTGTGTTTAAAGGTGAATTTACATCTGAATTTCAGATCTGATTCCGACAGAACACAACAACGAGAAAAATGTTAGCAGAACACTTGATACCTTACCTCAACTACAACATTTGTATTTACATGGCAAACATCATGTTTTGTCAGTGTTCCAGCTAGGTCGTTTTCACAGGGCGGTCCGCCCGCCCTTTTCCGAGTGCTGCCCTGTGCCCTTTTTACAGTTTGCAGGGCGCCCTGCCTTTTTTGAAGATCGATTGGTATATTATTTTGTTCGTATATGATATCGAAATTTACCTGGCGACAAGTATATGACTTTGTTTACGACCCCAAGCTAATCAACGGTTACAACAGGTGTCATAATCTGTTGTTATAGGTAATCCGTTTATTGGATGGGTCATTTAATGATCGTCAACATTCATTCATTCAAATAGAATCGGTCAGTCGGCATTTGTCTTTGAACTTGAAGAAATGTCTTGGGCACAATTAGCAATGTTTACCGTAGTTTCATGGAGAAAACGTAATTGACAGAAAGTCGAAAACCATAATCAACTCGTTAAAAACATTGCTCTTATTGTTTTCCGTGAAATAAATAGCAAATTAAGACGTATTTCTCATTGAATGCCTTCATTTTTTATACGAAAATAACAAAATCGGCCGCCATATTGTTGATTGTACATGTATTTACATCTGCTATGTACTGTTTATTATCCTCCAAAGAAGGAGCACATCCAAATAAAGAAAGATAACTCAATCTTATTTTTTCCTAGCATTGAGTAACCTACTAAGATATTATAAAATATGCCTTCATACTTCTGGCTTTAGAATTTATATGTTTAGGTGTTTTGAGTTATGGGAAAAGTTAAAGAGGGTCTTAGTAGCAGGGTTGGTAGGGTGCCTTGGTCATCTTTTTCTGTATTTTTTATTTTCAATCCAAATTTTCACTGTTCACTATATCCTAACATTGTGCATTTACAGCTGTTTTGTGCTGTATTGCCATTAAGCACAGAAAAGGTAGAAAGGTGAAACTTGTAAAGTGTGTCAGACCATAGAAACAGAATGAAGCAGGACATTTTTTAAAAAATACTGCATATAAAGCTTAACTGTGCCAAGCAATGATTTAAAACTTGTGTGACAAGCTGCTTGATAAGTTTTCAGCCTAAAAAGTAGAAAGATAGTTTTTCTCTGGGCTAATGATGTTGTTCTTGTATATATATAACCAGTGATTCAATGAACAAACAATGTTTGATTATAATCTTTATTAAAACATGCCCTTTTCATATTATCATATCACACGCTAAATGCCCTTTTTCAGGATTGACACCCTGCCCTTTTGAAATCCTAGCTGGAACACTGTTTGTTGTACATGTTGTAGGAAACCTCCAAAGTCATTTGGATTAAAAAAAAAGAGTAGAAGGTTTTCATTGCAATTAGATACTTAGAAAATCTCATTATAATTCACATGTTTTTGAGTGGTTGCATATACAAATAGAGGCAGAGGGAGTGCAGGCATGAACACAGTAATTACTCCAATATTATAACTAGGATGATACATGTTTTTGAGGTAAATTTTGGTATTGTCCTATGCACAAATGATGCATTTATTAAAGCATCCTGATTAACCTGTAACATTATGAAAGAAAAAAGAAAGGTTTCCAGATGCTATAGAAAAGGAAACTCCAGTAAATGATTAAAAGTTTTTGCATATTGTTAGTGACCCGCAAAATAAAGGGTGTATTTTACTTTAATGAATTTGACCTTTGACCTGTTAATGGTTATGACTCTTGGTTATAGAATAGTAATATAATTGATAAATAAATATACTCTTCACCACTGCTAGGGCCTATTGAGAAATATGTGTGTTTGTTAACGCATGTTTAGTAGGTAGGATTGGTAGGTAAATGCCTTCTTTAAATTTTTGCCAAGATTATTTTGAATAGTAACAAATGTTTACTTTATCAGTGCTTTGATACTTGAAAAACTGGTTGAAATAGGAGTTAAAATTTAGGTGAGTAGAGTTACCCTATCTCATGATTTTTTAAGCTGAGAATACATTCGTTGTCAGGTTAACATGACAGAAATATTTAATTTATTTCAGTGGACTTGACAGCTCATCTTGTTTCCAGTGTGTTTCTTTGTTGAAAGCTTTAGCTGCTGGTGGGAGAACGATTATATGTACCATACATCAGCCAAGTGCTAAATTGTTTGAGAAGTTTGATTTGGTAGGTTCAAAAGTTTTAAACTTCTTCTTTATCTCCTATTAGAGGGTTAGTTTAGGTTCTAACTTCATCAGTATTGCTGATACATTTTGACGATTTCTGGAAATGTTCTGCTTTATAATGCTGGGCTGTTGACATATGTCTTTGATCAGCATACAACCATCCTGAAATATTTATCTTGCATAAATTACAGCTAGCCAAATTGGGGCCACTTGTCCATATGAAATTGAAAGATTTTGTCCATTGTTTATTTCCTTATCAGCAATGTGAGCTTTTGTCATCACTTTGCGTCCATCATCCATCCATCATCTGTTGTCCGTAAACTTTTCTTAAAAAATCTCTGAAACTGCTGAATGGATTGAAACCAAAGTTTGTTATTTTTGTCCAGGTTGATTAACCAACATGGCCACCTTGTCTAAAAATAGAACATAGGGGTCAATCTACAGTTTTGTCTAATATTTCTAAAACTAGAGCAATTAGATAAAAACTGACAGGGCTGACCATTATTCATAAAACTTTGGGGTTTTTGCCAACCCTGTGTTTGAACTAGTACATGTGTATGCTTGTGTGCAGGTGTGAGATTTAATTATGCATCCAAATTCTTCAAAAATGCTAAAGATAACTTTGACACCTTTATCTTACATTCTTTTTTGGAAAAAGATGTTACTAAGTTGTAAAACTTGTGTCTGATCCATCTGTCATCTTGAAAAATAAAATATGTTTAAATTGTTCATTTCAAATATTTTCTTGAAGAAATAATGTTGAAAGAATAACCCAAACTCTAAATGTGCTTTGTATCGTACATGGATTTAACATATACGTCTCTGGTCTATGTTTTACCATTGTCAAGTCAACATCCGGTATTAGGAAAATGTGCTTGTCATAAACAAATTCAATGTTTTTCACAACATGATTTTGCATTAATAAAGAGTCTAAGGGAGATGTTAGTATGCTGATATTGCACACTTCAAATGATGCACTGTCAATGTAACAGTCTACGCCAGAACATCGAATTTATATCAAAATTCTGAAGTTTAAAATTGTTATAATGTTAATCATGATACCCAAATTATTACTATGATTGCATTTTGTTACTGAGTTTAAAGGTATTTAAAATCAGGATAAGAGAAAAAAATGTCTGGCTGGCTCAAATATTTTTTGGCAGCCCTGTGTTAAACATGTAAATTGCCAAAATGATCAGCAACACAATGGTAACTGTAGTATGTGCACATAAAAGTCCTAATAAGCAAACAAGTTATTTTTTTTCACAAGTTGAGCGATACAGGCACAGGTGTGCCTCTTGTTATGTGTCCCCTTTGGTCATGAAAGGAAACTTATACTTTTTGGTGATGATAATTTAAAAAAATGATAGAAAATACAAGATGTACTCACCCAACTGTGAATAGCTGGTAAATGAAAACTCAAGATTAACTTACAATTGGGAAAACTATGACATGTTCTGAATGAGCAAATGACAATTTCTGAATAGGGGAGATTCTTTCTCCCACGTTGGAGACGAGCACTGAATGGAAATTTTGGGGGAACAAATTTGGGAAAGTTGACACCTGTGTATACTCAAAGTATTTTTTTTCTAATTTACTAATTTCAGCCATTTTTGCAGTACATGAATATAGAAAGTGACTGATATATAATTTTCTAAAAAAAAATGGTTCATAATAGGATAGATATTTATTAATTAGTCATAAATATTGATTGATAGAAAATAAATGTTTTATAGTAGGTTCTTCACCACTCAATGAAGATCACCTTGATTGAATATAACATTGTTTTGTATTTTGAGAATGAAAATTACCTAAATTACCAGCCTTTTTCACTGAGCAAATAGTTATTCTTGATTTTTCACTTTTTAGAGATTGAAAATTGCCTTTGGAATACAGATAGTTCAGAAAATTTCAAGTAATACTTAAAAGTTACATACTTTGAAAAATTATATTAGTATTTTATTGAAATTTTTATTTTCAGCTTTATCTGTTGGCTGAAGGAAGCTGTGTTTATAAGGGATCTATTTCATCATTGGTCCCTTATTTTGAGTCCCATGGAATGTCTTGCCCAGCTTATCATAATCCTGCAGATTTTGGTATGTAATACTATCATAATTAGGGCCCCGCCAAATGGCGGATGCCCTATAGTGATCAGTCTGTCCGTCCGTCTGTCTGTCCGTACGTCCGTCCGTCCTTAACAAATTGTGACCGCTCTATATCTAGAGAACCTTTATGATTTCAAAGTTTATACTTGACATGTATATTAACCAACACCAGAGTGTGTGTCATAATGTATGTACAACTTCCTAGGTCAAAGGTCAAGGTCAAAAACTTTGGTTTTAGTTGACAACCCCATGTCCTATGGTAAAGATCGTGTCCGCTCTATATCTTGAGAACCGTTATGATTTCAAAGTTTATACTTGACATGTATATTAACCAACACCAGAGGGTTTGTCATAATGTATGTACAACTTCCTAGGTCAAAGGTCAAGGTCAAAAACTTTGGTTTTAGTTGACAACCCCATGTTCTATGGTAAAGATCGTGGGACTTTAGGTTTGCACTCCGTCCATCTGTCTGTCTGTCTGTCCATCTGTCTGTCTGTCCATCTGTCAGTCTGGCAAATCAGTTTTCCAGACTTTTTTTCTTTGTGCTTGAAGATATTGATTTGATATTTGGTTTATTGATTTATCATGACAAGTTACAGGTCAAGTTCAATTTTCACGATTTTAGCTTTTCTCTTTGTTCAGTTAAAGCCATTTCCCTAGAATTAAATTTTTGATGAAATACTTATTAATTAGTAGATTTCTGTTCAAAGGGAAATAACTCATTTTCTAAAAGACAAAATGACATTTTGGATTTTTTTCCTTTTCTTTGGTAAATTGTTTGAAGAATTTAGTGGTAGGTTTGGTTTGTCATTCTTGAAGATATTGATTTGATAATTAGTATATAGTTTTATCATGACAAGTTACAGATCAAGTTGGAATTTTGTTCCAGTCTGATAACTTTGTGCAGAGTTATGGTCTTTGGACATAGAAAATTCACTTAAATAATCAGTTTTCAACAATTTTTTTCGTCCTGCTTGAAGATTTTGACTTGATATTTTTATGTAGTTTACACCATGACAAGTTATAGATCAAGTTAGAATTTCGTTCCGTTACAATGAATTTGTAACCGGTAGCGGACCATGTATTGCCATGCAATACTCACAGAATGCTTGTTGTTATTTAGTGATGGAAGTAGCCTCTGGTGAATATGGAGAAGATAAAGTAGACACATTAAAACAAGCTGTCAGGAATGGACAGTGTGACAATCTAGCTGCTGATCTAGTGAAAAAGCCTGCAAATGGTAGTCTGACAACAGTGGCACCTTACCAGCTGTCTGGATCGAATGGTCAACTGCCTCCCATACAGGATGATCATGTCCATATTAATTGTTCAGAGAAAGGTGTAGTCAATGGACATGCCATGACTAATGGATCTAATGGTAGTGTTACGGTAGGTTGATTTGCCCTTAACTATTTGTCACACTTATTTCATGGTTGTTGAAGTCTTTCTGCAGTAAATATTAGATTAGAATGAGCAGATGGACCTGTTTCATGAAAATGCTGAAAACCATAATACCGGTTCATTGTGTTCTGTTATAAAATTTTGAAACTTTGAGTTTCTAGAAATACTTACATATGAATTGAAAGCAAAGCAGTACTTCTGGCTCTTCGCCCACTAATCTCAATCTGCTATGTTTCTTTTTTACTTTGATATCTGCTTTGTCTATTCTTCTGTGTTGTATTTTATGCAGAAAGATCATTTTCACAGTAAATGGACATGCCGTTAATATTTATACTTTATTTTGATGTAGTATGATTTTATTATTTTGAATTTCTTATTTCAGTTTAAGCTTAAGGATTAAGGCATTGAAAATATCTTATTGCACATGACAGTGTTCTCAAATGAATTTCAGATAATGATAATTACTTTCTTTTGTGATGAACTGTAATAATAAGTGCTTTTACTGTGTGAAGGAATAACTTAGTGGGAATTTTAATAACTGGCACAATTGCAAAATCAGAGTGTGGCAAAGAAAGAAGAAGGTATAATAAGGCAACATTTCTGGCCCTTTTAAAGTAAAAAATAAAAAAAGTATAATAAATTGATCAAATATTTACATGTTGGTCAGATATTTTAAACAATATATTTGAATTTTGTCATATATATTTGCTTTATTTCTCCAAACCTCTTCCTTTATAGTAAAAGTTGTAAATGTGAAAAAAGCTTTCATTTTCATATCTTCACAAACATGTTTAGTTATGAACAACAGCCTTAAACAAAAAGATAGTTTGTCAAAAGGTGAAGGACACAGATAAGTTGATTTATATGGAATATTTGTTTATACTAAACCTTTATGTAAAATGACCATTTATTTAGTTATGCAATGTCAACGGTGTCACAGCTCTTGAAAGATGACAAGACTGTTTTATATATTGATAAAATTAAAATAACTTGAAAGGTGTGAAGAATTTTACTGTTTTGCAATTTCAGGGTCCAAAATAATGGCCCTTATCATACCTCTAACTTTGATGTCATATTCCATTTTACCACATAAAGAGCTTATTTATTTTCTTCTTTTTTTTTCTTAACCTATGCACTAATAACATTTATCGCTTTTTATAGATTGATCCATTTGAGGTAATTTTTTTACTAACTGGTTGTGGGTGTTAATTCTAACAAACACTTAATACTATAGTTAAATGCTAGACAATATTGGCTAAAGTCATCCTAATGAATGAGCACACATTAAACATTTTAAGAAATTTGTTGTATCTAATTACATTTGAAGGTTGTTTGGCAATAAATGCGCTATTCATTTTGAAAGATGAATACTCTTTGATAACAACTTTAATGGATTTAAATCAAAATCAAAACAAAAAAAATTCATTCAATTCGAAAGGCATATTTTCTATTTTTTTGTAAATTTGAAATCACAAATTTAAAGAAAACCTGAAACCATACAAACTAGTAAAATTAATGCAAAGCCTGGATATTTAATCCACAAATAAAAGAACTTTGAAAATTTATGGTATCATGGTGTTTACATTGTTTTTGCAATACCTGAACATTTACTCAACATGTTGAGGAATCTACAATTCAAGCATATTTAGCTCCATTAGGCTTAAATAACTCAATTCAGCCATTAAAATTTATCTCCTTTTGACAATTTTCAAAGAAATTTCAGTTTCTGCTTTATTACATTTTTGTACTTGAAAATGCTGTCTAATATTTTACAGGTACAATTAAAAACCATAGTTTAATATATCTTTGTATAAAATTTCAACTTTTATCATGTTTTTTGGGGTGATTATTTTTTCTGTGTAAAAAGAAAAAAATTATTGCAAAATTATTTTCAGGTGAACTTCTTATAAATTAATATATGCCTGCAAAGTTTTAGATTGTATTTTCAAAAAATAAGTTAGAAAAAGAAATTTTGGTTAATTTGCAAAGGGAGATAACTTTGTTTTGCCAGATTAATCTTACATAGCTCGAACAAGTCGTATAAGCTCCAACTGCATATTTATACAACCTGTTCAAACAGATTTTATAACGAATATGTACAAAACTGCCCATACACAAAATCTCTGATTAGTGTGTGATAAATGTAATGAATATTTAGTTTTAATCCCAATATGCTGCATTATGTCACAATTATGCTTAGTGAATTAAATTATTTGATTGTATGCTTTTACCAAATGCTTTTAAACAGCTGGCTTATATAAGCTATTGACCTTTTTTAAAAGAAATATATTTAAATAATGTTACAATAGGATCATCATTTCTTCATCTGTGTGAATGTAAGTCTCTATGAACAAAAGAAGCTGTGATATAAATGTCATAAATTCAACAACACTCCTTCGCATGAATCGGTTACAATTTGGTGCACATTGATGAACACGCACAGAGTTCATTTTTCGTTCAAGTATCAACATAATCAAAGCTGTAATTCTTAGGCCAGAAAACTTTAATGTTGACCAGGTTAACCCTTATACCACCACTCCATAGGGGTGAAAAACTTTAACTTGAAGACCAAACCACTCATGATCCTAATAATATAATGTATGAATTCTAATTACTGGGGATTCATTTATTTTCATGGTACCAATTTTTGAGGATTGAGCAAAAATTGCATTTTTATGGATATTTGATTTAATGGTTTCGCCAAAGTCATCAAACAATCCTATAAAAAATTTGTACTTCGTTTAACATTTATATTCAGGATTCACCCTTACCCATTCATCCACGAAAATTGGTATCCCAGGAATAATAATGAATCCACAGTAATCAACAGTTTCTTGCCTCTACATCATCAACTATTTGTTAAAGTTTGTTATTAAGTCAATTTGAAAGGAACCACGTGTGTTAGGTCAAAGAGATTTGGTAAGCAGTTGTATAAGCATTGACACATATCATTTTCATGGTTTAGCCCTGCCCAGTCATTCATAGTTTATTGAATTTGAAACTTTAGCTTATTTAAAGTATTAAAGTTTGTGATTATCATTAGGTCAGTTTAAGGGAAACCACTAATGGTTAGTCAAGGATATTTGAAGTACAGTTGTATTAGCATTTGCGCTTGGGTCAGATTATAGGCATGCTATAAAATCTATTTAAAAAGACATGTCAAAAGTGGAAACAAATCTCACTGAATTTTTTACCAACAGATTGGTTGATTGATAGATTGCTTATTGTCAAATACAAAAAGAGGGACTAGTATAATTATTAATAAATGGTATATATATAACTTTACTTGCAAATACTTTAAGTATAGATTGATGCCTGCTATTATATATTTGAAGCAGGTGTCGTTCATTTATGACTTGTTTCATAGATTAATAAATTGCTTCTCATATTATTTAAGAGTTTTATAGTGTGCATAGTTTGTTTTATTGAATGACTTTATTGATTTGTCTGTTATTAAATGCATATATAGAAGAATAATGTTGAAATCACTCTTATTGATCTTTGGCTTTTTTTAATGTCTTCAGTTGAGAAATAACAGGACTTTTGAAATAATATTAAATAATGATTTAAATAAAATCTAAAAAAAACTTTGTGGTGTACTCTGTATATATTTAGGCAACAGATTGGAAATAAATGCTGCTTTGCAAATGCTTGATAGCAATTCACATTTTGCTCAATGAAGTGTTGCTATTTCACTATGGTAGTCCATATTTAATATATATAATGTATAATACCATGTATAAGGGCCTTAATTAAATGCTGACCGGCATGAAGAGGATAGGTGAGGTGAGGTATAATACCATGATAAAAGTGTATGAAATTGTAATTGTTCTCATCATTCTCACTAAGGGCTGTTCAATTAAAACATACAAGGAATCCAGTGAAGGGCTGAAGGCACATTAAAATTTCAACTATGGGTGTGTGTCAAGAAGTGAAATTCTGAATTTGCCTCTATGGTTGGTGCTATTGAAAGTGCCTTCCCTGGTTACCATATATGTTTAAATTTAACCATCTGAAAAATATTACCATACAAGAGCATATTTTAGTTCAATGTTATGAAAAAACAGATCAATAATTTTAATCATCTTTCATGTCTTTTTCAAAATGTGAAAAATTATACCAACTGTAAACAAAATTTTTGAGGGATATATAGGAATCACCCTGTTTGTCCATGTGCATTGTAACTGTAACTCCTCCTTAACGGATAGATATATATAGATTAGAATTACATTTTTATAGATCTTTACCCCAGGTTGTGCATCCCGGCGAAAAAATATAATCCTAGTCCAACATGTTAAAGAGGAGATAATCAAATTTCATTACCGTACTTCAATCGGTCACTGTCTGTCTATATGTCCATGTGCCTTGTATAAAGGAATACAGGATGGGGAGTTGGGGTATCCCCTACTGAGTTCTCTCTCAGTTCTCCTTAAGATTATTACAGCGCTAATATATGGTGTTATATTCAACTTTTGTACTGAAATTATGCTGACTGTACCCAACTGTTACAAGATGGATGGTTTTGGGTCTCATCAAATCTGGAGTTCTCTTGGACTTGTCTCTTAGTTAGAAACTTTTGATTTGACTCAGTATTCTAGAAACAATGCAAGGGATATTGATGTAGAAGTGTAACAAATTACAATATTAAATCAGACAATAGAATGTTTGATTATGGGTATGAATTTTAGTTTTAGTAAATCGATAATTCCTGTAGTACAAAACTTGGAAGTAGTCATTTGCCCAATTATTTTATTAAAAATAACTATGGTAATACATTTTTACAGTATGATTTTTATGCCCCTGCCGTAGAGGAGGGGGCATTAAGTTTTCCCCTTGTTCGTTTGTACGTCCGTCCATACGTCCCAAAATTAGTTTGCCTCAACCAAATGTTATGAAACTTATACACTATGCTTATTACCCTCAAAAAACAGATCCAGTTTGATTTTTGGTGGTGTCACTTTTACTGTTCTAGAGTTATGCCCCTTTACAAATGGAAAAATTGCTGAAATATTCGTTTCTGTTCTCTAACTTAAGTTTGCCTCAACTAAATGTTATGAAACATATACACAATGCTTATTATCACAAAACTCAGATAAAGTACAACTTTTTTTTCTAATATCTTTTATAATATTTTAGCAGTACCAGAATGACCAGAATAGCTTTGCTACCAGTAGCTTTACACAGTTCCATATACTATTTGTCCGGACATTTAAATCCATAATGAGAGATGCAGTAAGTACATTACCTCTGGAGATTAAAGAAATAATTCATGGGGGCTTGAATTTATTGTGATTTTACCACAGGTTGGCCCTTTATGCTAAATATTTTACCACGAGCGACTGCGAGGGGTAAACTATCAGCATAAAGGGCCAACCCGTGGTAAAATCAATTTAAATTCAAGCCCACATGAATTATTTCTATTCTAATAGGACACAGACAGCAATTCTCTGGGATCAAAGAGCTCTTTGTGAAGGGAAATTTTTGCTGTTCCCGTAATTGAACACACTAGTAATATTGACGTAAATGACAAATAAAATTGAACGATATACAATAATATACTGAGACAGATTTTGATGAATTTGATTGACTATCTTACTTTTATTTAAGAATATATGGACATTATACAAATTCTTACCATCGTTTGTTTATGTTTTTCAGTTTCCCATTCGTGCATTATCCTGTAAAATCCTTACATTCTTACGTCATCGTTCAATGACGTCATTTACACAATCTGACGTGAGGTAAATCACACATAAAAAGCATACAAAGTAGGAGTAGGATTTGAACAGCCCAAACAAATCATGACATATGAATATATTCGAATTTTACCACGGTGTGTACTCAAAGCATTTGAAGATCGTCATATTAGAATTCTTTGTTTGGTTGTTTTTTCATTGACATATTTGCAATAAAACTTTTTTAATCAAAGTATTTTTAGATATGTAATAGTATGCTAAATGTGTCCCTGAGTAAGATAGTTGGCGAGGGAATAACATTCTTTTATGTAGAGTATTTTAATTGTGATCACATGTAAACTACATGTTCATTTAAGAAAAAAACTACTAATCAAAATTAATCCAAAATTTATCCAGCCCACTAATGTGATAAACGGACTCAGCTTTTAATATTCTGAGTGCAGCCCAGGCATTTGGCTGTCCATGTATCAAAATTTCAGTTTCGGAAAAAAATCTGTTGAGCCCTAAACAACATCTTTACTAAACTGTGATTGAAAATTACTCATGGGGCAAGGAAGCCCCTTACTAATTTAAGGGTCATATTGTCAAAGGTCAAGGTCACTGCAGCTATTTATAGACTGAAATCTGGGCTAAACTTTGGTTTCCAAATGTTATCTTTTGAACCATATGTTCAACATGTACCAAATTTAATTTGTTTATCCAGTATGGGGTCAGTAGGTCAGGATCACAGCAGCTATTAAATAACTCAAATTAGGGCAACATTTTAGTTTACAAATGATATCCATTGAACCAATCTTCACCAAATTTACCTTGAAAATGCGCCTTTTACACTGTACATTCAATATACAATGTATATACATATATTTGTTATTCAATAATTCTAAAAGTTAAATAACCCTACACCCAAATTCCAGTCATCATTTACCAGCAGACTTACAGCCCATAAAAAAAAGGAAAAATTTCCAACCCAGAAATTATTTCCTCAAATACAATACGTACAGATCTATTTAGATACCAACTCAGCTCATGCAGCCATCATGTTTGTATCTTCTTTTTTTTTTTTTTTAAACTATTCTATAAAAATGTTGTACTTGAAACAACGTATTTTCTTTTTTTTTATTTCAAACAATTCTATAAAAATGTTGTACTTGAAACAACGTAATTTCTTTTTTTTTTCAAACTATTCTATAAAAATGTTGTACTTGAAACAAAGTAACTAAATGTAAGAAAGTGGGGAGAGAGGGTTTCTTCTGTCAGCAACTCCTCACAAGTCACCCAAAGGTTTCACAGGTGGGTTATTGTAGGAACTGCTGTTGTTCAATAGATAAATATTTTTGAATATGTTACATGTATGAGATTGCGACAGAACTTCCATGGAATGTTTAGATCTAAGTTCCCTATATTGTGGATCAAGTAATGGTATGAAGAAAACTATAGTTGAAATTTTACTTCAATGTATATATGATATATTCTTTTACATTTCTTAAAAAAAATACTACACATAATACAAATTCTTAAGCCACAATTCAAGTAATTGTAATTAAAAAACATGTTATGGAAGAAAAGTACCAATAGATTTAAACATTTTTCCTTTTCATTACAGACGTTAACAAGATTGCGATTGATTTCTCACTTAACTGTCGGAATCCTGATTGGTCTGTTATATCTTGGGATAGGCAATGAGGCAACCAAAGTGATAAACAATACCAGCTTCCTCTTCTTTTGTATACTGTTCCTCATGTTTACAGCTCTAATGCCAACAGTCATGACATGTGAGTTATCTTTTGTTGAAAATTCAAACAAAGTTTCAATTATTTCATATCTTTTATCAGAAGAAACAGCTTGGTATGATCAGAATCTATTAACATTTTTAAGGTGTCTAGCTGATATTCATGGATACCAGCATACAATGTACCAATGTACTGTAAAGAATCATTTTCAAATACAAACCATAGAGTTAAAACTTGCATTTGCTGCTGCTCTGCCAAGAAGAAGGAGAAAAGATAGATTGAATAACATGTGTACTAGTAGGTATAGTACCTGCTTATAACATTAACAGGTTAACATTATGATGCATTGACCATTTATGTTAACAGTCATTAATAGGATAATCAAACACATTTTCCTGCTATCAACTTTTAGGGTACTGCTTCAGATGTAAACAGATGTGAGCAGAGAAAAGTAATTCATTACCAAGAATGTTATCTTAAGTTTATATCATATACTCTTGTTATGTGTTCATACATACACATTGTTATGTGTTTATACATATACTCTGTTATATACTCTGTTATGTGTTTATACATATACTCTGTTATATACTCTGTTATGTGTTTATACATATACTCTGTTATATACTCTGTTATGTGTTTATATACAAATACTCTGTTATATACTCTGTTATGTATTAACTTCAATTGCACATGTGCTGTTTTTATGCCCCCGCCATAGCAGAGGGGGCATTAAGTTTTACCCTTGTCTGTACGTCCCAAAATTGGTTTTCGTTCTCTAACTTTAGTTTGCCTCAACCAAATGTTCTAAAACTTATACACAATGCTAATTACCACAAAACACAGATCAAGTTTGAATTTTGGTAGCGTCCCTTTTTCCGTTCTAGAGTTATGCCCCTTTACAAATGGAAAAATTGCTGAATTTTTCGTTTCCGTTCTCTCACTTTAGTTTGCCTCAACCAAATGTTATGAAACTTATGCACAATGCTTATTACCACAAAACACAGATCAAGTACAAATTTGGGTAGCGTCACTTTTACATTTCTTTAGTTATGTCTCTTTATAACTTAATATGCAATTGGGGGCATCACCTGCAGTGTCCCATGGACACATTCCCCATTTATTTTTATTTTTTTAAGAGTGACTTTCCAAATTAACCTTGTTTTATTATATGCTAGATGGATGTTAAACTTTTACTTTGCTATCAGCAGTTTTTGTGATACTAAAAGTATAAATGAGATGTGTTAAAAAAAATGTTAACATAATTGTTGTATATATTTACAGTTCCATTAGAAATGGCAGTATTTGTGAGGGAACATTTAAATTATTGGTACAGTGTAAAAGCCTACTATCTGGCTAAAACATTTGCTGACATGCCATTCCAGGTAGGTTATTGATGTAAAATTGTAGTATTGATTATCACAAAGGATGTATACTCATATATTTACATATATATTACTCCTTGGATTTGAGAATTTCAACTAAACAGGGTGTGAACAAAACCATTGAGAGGAATTTTTACACTTATGATATAAGTGTCAATAATATTAACTGATCTGTTAACTTAAAAATGAAATAAACCAATATGTTATCTTATTTCATCAGTTCTTATCAACAAGTTAAGATTTGTGTAAAATATCAATATTGCATCTCTATATAATGAATTGAAAAATAAATTTCTGAATTCAGTGATATGGCCCACCTATGGGCAAGTTATTCTATATTTTAAGCCTGTATTAATGTTTTACAGATCATTTTACATTAATATATATGCAGGATACTTTATATATTTTTTATATCCATACAAGTTGTAGGTAGATCCAGGTATCTAATGATGGGATGTCCATCCAATTATTTTATGTCTCATCTGTATTTATTTGTTTAAGATAAAACTGTTGGGTTTATAAAAAAATTGAATTTTGTTGAGAGGGGAAAGTACTTTGCGTGCATTTGTTTGTGATTAGGTCAGTTTAAGAGGAACCACTAGTGATATTTGGTAAGTAGATGCATTAACATATCATTTCCATTGAAATTTTTTGGCTTCACCCGGTCAGTCATGGACTTTGAATGGCTTGCATAGTTAACATGTTTAGTTTGTGATAAGATCTGTTTAAGGTTTATGACCCCTTCTGTAGCCATGCGTATTACAAAACTTTCAAAGTGCAATAATAACAAAATAGCAAAGATAATGAATAATAGAGATGTGCCATTTTGTACATATACCAAAGAGAAACTTCGTTCAAAGCAATATTATTTATAACTGTTTTGTTTTCTTCATTCTAAAAATAAATAAAATATTATCCTCGGTATTGTGTCATTTTTCTGTGTATCGTAATACAGTAACCATCATTGCATCAATCAGCTTCAGTACCTGACTGTTCTCATGTTTTTGTTTCTGTTTATATAATCTATCTTCTCTCTGTGAGTACTTAACACTTTGTAAATTAAGGCCATCTTATTTGAAACTGTTGATGTTGGCTTTAATTGCAGTACAACTTGATCATCAATACACGTGATACTTTTCTTTTTGTGTATTGATTACCTGACCACGTGACTTTTACAACTGATGCGGTATTTATAGATAACATTGAGGAGGCCCGATGAAGGATATTGTTTTAAACCGTGTAAAATCTACTGAACAGTGATAACATTTTTCTTAGTACAATTTCCCAACCTGGTTTAGAAAATAAGGAATAAATAAAAACATACTCAGTTGATAAATAATTTAATGAATAACAACATGATATTTTATGTAAGCATATAACAACAATAAAATATCAGAAGAGCACAATGCTGACAAACACACGCAATACATATTACAATGAGCACATTGAAAAGAAGCACAGATCACAGCACAAGATTAGAGTTCATTTAGTCTAATTTAAGATTTTACATTCATGAGCTTGCTAAATGCATTGTTCTGATAAACATGGCGGTTACGAACGGATTGCCATTTGCGGATAGCAGGAACAGGGTCAAAGTCTTTAACATCTACACCTACTAAGCTTATCCTCATAAGTTGATCTAAAGCGTCAATACCTAGACTACACCTTAGTCGATCATAATTCCCACGGCGGGACTTAACTTTACGTCGGACATCACCTCTTTCTCTATAACATCGGAAATTGTCTGAATAAATTCGGAGCAGGCATTGTTCTCTTGATATAATTTAGAAGTGATCACGGCACCATTTAACTTAGTTAAATCATTTATTGACTGAAATTTGTCCATTGGTTTTTCCTATATATTTTAGTAAATTTTCCCCTTGAGAGTACCCCAGTATTTAACACGATGTACAGTGTTAAATAAAATAATATATATCATACTTATTCATTTATAAATATCCTTATTTGAAGAATAACTTTTAAATATCAGGATACTTTTTAAACTGAATGCTCATTTAAAATAATATCTATAAAGCGTAATTAAATAGGATGTTGTTCCATACACGCTTACATGTTTGACCTCGTTTACCGGATTACCTTTATGTACATTGTTATGCATCATTAATTCTATTGATAAAGACAAGCTAAGGACACCTCATCAAAGGTAACAAACCTGTAATCAGTGAATGATTTATGGCTTCAATATAACTTATATTGAAGGGATAATTGTTTGACAGCTTGTTGTTATTTAAATAAACGAAAAACGTGTTTTTTCTACTTTTTATTGATGTACACAAGCTAAAGACCAAGCCGTACATTTATGTACCCAGAGGATTAGACTAACTGAGACACTTCAAAGTATCTGAAATATGCTGCTTCTGTTTTATTAAACCCAATTATGACCGAAATATCTTTGTGAAATAGATTGCCACAATTATAAACTAAAATGCCCAAACGGACATGCCCAAAGCCCCAAACGGACATTTTTATCGATCGATAGTTGGTAAAAATTGAAATGACCGTTTCATGAAAATGCCTTGAATAACAAAATGTGGCACACCAATTCTATTTGACCGTTTGAGGCTGAGAGCAGCCGGTCTTTTTATGAAAGTTTCGGTCAAGTCCGGAATATATGACCGTTTTGGAAGCCCTGATCTCTGTGTCAGTAGTTTATTATGGAAGATCATAATCATGGACATGAAAAGAGAGGTGAAAGATACCAAATGGACTTTCAAACTCATTAGTCAAAATAAATGCCATGGCTAAAAAAGAAAAAGACCATAAGACAAACAACAGTACACAATACACCATATAGAAAACTAAATACTGAGCAACAGGAACCCCACCAAAAACCAGGAGTGATTGCAGGTGCTCCAGAAGGGTAAGCAGATAAAAATGAGGAAATAAAACCATACACCTTTAAATCAAGAAACTACAATAAAAAAATGGTTTACAAGAGAACAAGTAATCCTATGTAATATGATATAAAAATAATGTGATTGCTGTATAACTCTATATTACAGATAATTTTTCCATTGATATATGGCAGTATAGTATATTGGATGACATCACAACCAGATAACTTTCTACGATTTGTCATGTTTATGACACTAGCAGTACAGACCTCACTTGTGGCTCAATCTTTGGGACTCATTATTGGGGCAGCTACATCACTGCAGGTGAGATGATTTTAAATATTGTCTGAGCTTTTAGTGTGGATTTTTTTATATAACCCCCTCCTTTACCAAAAAAAAAAAGAACTTAAATCTTTAGGATTTGCCTTTTTGCATTTTGTTGTGAAATCCAACTGACTAATGTCATGTTTAAAGTTTTCATTGCCAAGACATTTTTATACGACCGCAAAAAAATTTGCGGTCGTATATTGGTATGACGTTGTAGTCGTCGTCGTCGATGTCCGAAGACACATTGGTTTTCGCACTCTTACTTTAGTTTAAGTGAATGGATCTCTATGAAATTTTACCATAAGGTTCAATACCACAAAAGGAAGGTGGGGATTGATTTTGGGGGTTATGGTACCAACAGTTAAGGAATTAGGGGCCAAAAAGGGGCCAAAAATAAGCATTTTTGTAACTTGCAGACATAACTTGTGTGTAAGTGTATGGATCTCTCTGACATTGTACCACAAGGTTCCATATCACAAAGGGAATGCTGGGATTGATTTTGGGGGTAATTGCCTCCAAATTTTAGGAATTAGGGGCCAAAAAGAGGCAAAAAACAAGCATTTTTCTAGTTTCATGACAATAACTTGTGTGTAAGTGTATTGATCTCTCTGACATTGTACCACAAGGTTCCATATCTCAAAGGGAATGCTGGGATTGATTTTGGGGGTAATTGCCTCCAAATTTTAGGAATTAGGGGCCAAAAAGGGGCAAAAAAACGCATTTTTCTAGTTTCATGACAATAACTTGTGTGTAAGTGTATGGATCTTTATAAAATTGTACTACAAGGTTCCATATCACAAAGGGAAAGCTGGAATTGAGTTTGGAGGTAAATGCCCAAAACGTTTAGGAATAAGGGGCCAAAAATAAGCATTTTTCTAGTTTCCAGACAATAACTTGTGTTCAAGTGTATGGATCTCTCTGAAATTGTGCTGCAAGGTACCATACCACAAAGGGAAGGCTGGGATTGATTTTGGGGGTAATTGCCTCAAAATTTTAGGAATTAGGGGCCATAAAGGGGCAAAAAAACAAGCATTTTTCTAGTTCAGGACAATAACTTGTGTGTAAGTGTATGGATCTTTATGAAATTGTACTGCAAGGTTCCATATCACAAAGGGAAAGCTGGGTTTGAGTTTGGGGGTAATTGCCCTATACGTTTAGGAATTTGGGGCCAAAAAGGGGCAAAAAAAAAAAGCATTTTTCTAGTTTCCAGACAATAACTTGTGTTCAAGTGTATGGATCTCTCTGAAATTGTACTGCAAGGTACCATACCACAAAGGGAAGGCTGGGATTGAGTTTAAGGGTGATGAATCATAAGGGGGTTCAAAAAATTTGGGGGGGGGGGGATTTTTTTTTCGTTTTTTTCTTTAAAATTTTCCATTTTAAATTGGTTATTTCTGATTTATATATAAAAGCAAATAATAATGATATGGTTTGAATAGGTAAATTAAAAAATTTTAAGTTCTTAGACCACATTCATTCTGTGTCAGAAACCTATGCTGTGTCAAATATTTAATTACAATCCAAATTCAGTGCTGTATCAAGCTTGAATGTTGTGTCCATACTTGCCCCAACTGTTCAGGGTTCAACCTCTGCGGTCGTATCAAGCTGTGCCCCAGCGGAGCATTTTATTATTCTTATGTTTACTTGTATTATTGTTTTATTGCACAAATATTTTTTGTATTACCTTGAGTAGAATACTATATAATATGAGCTTACAATTAGAATTAAAATTTTACACCAATATTCATGCCAAGTTATCTGCTGTATTTATATTTTTGTAGATTCATTATACTTTGGCTTACAGCTATGTACTCCCTCTGTTCTATTATTCAGTGGTATCTTTTTATATATTTTAGGTAGCAGTATATTTGGGACCAGTTACAGCTATTCCTGTTTTGTTATTCAGTGGATTTTTTGTAAATTTCCAGACCATGCCTGTTTATCTACAATGGTTATCATATATATCCTATTTAAGGTATGAATAAGCCTCTTTAGAATGTATAAGTTTGGTAAACATCCGCAAGACATCACCCCAACAAAAATGGATCATACATCATCTCCTTATTTCTATATCTGAGGATAACCAGTATATACTATGTTTACTAGGCTGTAAACTCGGAAAGATTCATAGCAGTTTTAATTTTGCATTTTACTATAGTAGAATTTCAACTGCAGAAATCCAAGTGCTTGTAATGAGAGAAATGTGAACCATTCTGCAAACTATTCATTTTAAATTTTAAATAAATGCAAAGATCTTAAAAATCATGAAAATAAGAAACCTATTCCTATAATTCCTATAATACAGTACAGACACAACATAATAGACAACTATATAAAAAGCCATACCCTAAGACAGATTACAAAATTATGGTTGGGTTGAATAAGTCTTATGATATGAATTAAAATGATATACTGGATAGGTGTCAATGAGACAGCAATACAGCATCACAAACAATCAATGTCATCTATATATCTACAACAATAAACAAATACCATTACAATATGTCAAGCTCTTTATCATCAAAAGTTCAACAAAGTTGTGAATGATTTCTCCAGAAACAATAAAGCATTAACATTTAATTCCCTAAAGGACGAAAATCATTAAGATATAACTATAAACAACCACTGACTTCCGGATGTAGGATGGATGCATGAACGTGTCTGGGTTAAACAAGTTTTTAAGGGTACTCAACCCTCATCGTTTTGACCCCTGAAACTAGCCTAAACTTGAAAAAAAAATCATAAAGTAGATTTGTCGTTCTTTAAATTTTTATACTGATATAATCTTCTAATGCACTAAAGAATTTGTTAAATTTTTTTTCTTCAAATTTGTCCAATAGAATTAATTTAAACATTTGACTTTACAGATACTCATTTGAAGGTATACTTCATGCTATATATGGATTTGATCGTGAGAATTTAGACTGTTCTGAGGACCATATAATGAAATGTCAGTTCAATGAACCAAAAGACATCCTTGAACAATGGGATGTGGAAAATGTATTCTTTGTGGATTTCATTGTTCTATGTACATTTTTTGTTTTACTGAGAGTTGGCTGTTATTTTGTACTGAGATGGAGAGTTAAGTCAGAGAGATAAACATCGTTGAAATATTATAATGAGAAGTCAGAAAGATAAACATCGATGGAATATTATTATGAGAAGTCAGAGAGATGAACATCAATGGAATATTATTATGAGATGACAGGGCAAAGATAATCTAAGTCAATATTTATATAATTTAAAATACTGGTAATGTTGATCTTGTCAAATTTTATTAGGAGTTATGCACAATTGCCACTTGCAGACTTGATATACACACAAACTTTGGTTTTATATATACACATATTTTTTCCTATGTTTCTAGGAGAAAAAGAGCATCATTGATTTGTATTTTTTGTGTCTTCAGTTCTTAAAGTATTATCATACCAAAGTTTTAAAATGAAGTTCTTTCTTATATTCACTGCAAAAATAGCGAATTTTGAAATGAATAAATAAGCTCCTAAATATTCACAAAATTAACAAGGACATCTTTTAGAAATACTTAGGATTTTGTTGTGTAAAAATTAGGAACACATTGTTCATGTAATTCCCAGATAATCATCAGTATATACTGCAAAATTCTTGTTGAATTATTTTATAATCTGAATTAACGAAGAAATATATACATATTTATTTACAGTGAAACCACATGAAAATAAGTAAGTCAGTTGACAATTCATTTTATTTTATTTTTGGATGTATAGGTAACAAATAAGTGTCATGATTGCCTTTTTGTTTGAATGTATGATGAATTCATAATTCTGACAAGAAGTTTCCAGAATATATTCATCAAAAACCATTGAACTAATTTAAATTCATTTTAAAATTTGGTGTGTTTATGTCTTTTGTCCTATCATATTTATGTATTTTAAAATTTGGTTTAATGTTCATTATGATACATGTAAATCATTTTGTCCAATACTTTTTGAAATCAAACATTATAATTCAGTCAGGCAAATCTTTATTGAGTGTCTGATTGTAATGTTAGACATACATAATATCTTTGAAGGTTAGACATTTATTCTTTCAGTCACACACATATTTAAAGATCTGACCAAATGTCAGCAAAGATGTAATTAATATAAAAATAAGGAGATGTGGTATGATTGCCAATGAGACAACTATCCACCAAAGTTCAAATGAAATGGATGTATACAATTAAGCACAGGTTGTTAAAAAATATGGTTTTTTGAAGGTAAAAACCTTGTTTATGATAAATCTGTACTTGACTGTCTGAAAAACATTTGCAATTACCCCATGGTAACCTCTCACAATCGCTAACTTTCAAATTATCTCCCTTTAGCGATCTCCCGATTAGAAGATCACTTTACCTTTAGCGGATAATGGCTGTAGGCTAACCGCATTTTGGTGCAAGCAATCGTTAAAATACTATAAAAAAAAAAGACATCTAGTGAAATGGAAGATAAATATAAGAGTTGTTTATTCATTTCTATATTGCAAACAGTTTTGTTTTGTTACCAAAGATTTAAAATTTGAACCAATGAGTATAAAATCAAAACTTAGCAATTCTGTACAATAAAGCTGATAATAAAAAGGTAATAATATATAACCTTCAACACAGCAACAAAACTAAAGAATGACAATGCATATAGAAAATTTGCTATGAAATGTCTTAGTTGTTTTGTAATATGAATTAGAAAAAAAAAATACTCATTGTACTTGGCATACTTCATTTGTATTGAAAGGATCAATAGGTTGAGTAATGTGTTGTATTAGTTGATAATTTTCTGGAGGTATGGTAAAATAAATTAAATTATTCATTTATGGAAAAGAATGTTTCCAAACTCTTTACAACATAAATTATAAATATGTATAATGTTTTAAAAATATGAGATTTGTTATTGTTTACCTGTACTATATACATATTTTACTATAATTACAGATATCTCCACAATGTAAACAATTAATCGTTTATTACAAATATAAAGAATTTGTTTTACTCGCATGCTGTCTCACAATTTTAGACTTGTGATCTGTTTATTTATAACATAATTCAATTCCTCTGATTTGTCAAGAAAAATCACTATTTTTTACAGGTGAAATTTTAAAATTTGCTATTTTACCAGATTTATATAAAATTTATGTTATGTTAATTGGTGATGTGATATACTTTCTATGAGTGATATTGAGTTTGTATGTTTTGATGCAATTCCATTTTTTTTACAACTGAAATTATTTCTATTTTAACCAATTTTCTTGCAAGAAGTACATACAATATGTTGACATTTTTAAAAGAGTTACTGTAAAATAAATAAATAATACAGTAATTTGAATATAACTGTTCCCTGACAACAGAAGCAGGATACCAGGAGACTATAAACGCGAGGTTTATCGCTTTATGTTATCTGTACACCTGTATTGTTATACATGTATTAGAAAGTTCAATTGCAGGATAAAAAGGAATCACATGTCGATATATATATATATAGGAAGTCATAAATACAGTGTAACATGATGTAATCCAAGAATGGCATATTTGACAACTTGCAGGAAAATTGGTTAATAAAATCAGCTAAACTATTTCATTGTGTACTTAGTTCAGTTAAGACAGATGTTTTGCTTGTTTGTTAAAAGCATTACCCTTTTTAGTTCACCTGGTCCAAAGGGCCCAAAAATTCTCATCCTTTGGCGTCCAGTATCTGTCTAGTCGTCTATATTAACTTTGACGAAAATCTGCTCCTTTTAAACTTCTGGGTCAATTGGAACCTAATTTGGTCACAAATATCCTTAAATAGGTTACATAGCTTATAAAATATGTCGGATGATCAAGCCTGCCATTGCTTAAAATAGAACATAGGGGTAAAATGCAACCTACTGCGACTCCTTAATCCTTATAGGATTTATTGCCCTTAAATGATGCTTTTTTTTTGGGGGGGAGGGGGGCATTTTAGGTGAAAACTATAGAAAATAAAGAAAATCTGAAAACAGCACGATGAACAAATAGGTCAACATAGCCAAAAAGTATCAGTTGACTCCTTAAAGGTGTTATTGTCCTTAAATAACAATTTGTACCCTTTTTCATGCTTTGGGCAAAAACTAAAGATAGAGGGGAACTGTAAACAGCAAAAATTATCTGCAAGACAAGATCTACAAACTGTTTAGCAAAAAATGAATTGTCAGTAAACTTCTTATAGGACTTGTTGCCATTGAATGATGAATTTTATCCCTTTTTTGTGTTTTGTGCAAAACTGTAGTAGATAGAGAGAAACTGAAACAGAAAAAAGTTCAAGAGTACAAGATAGAAAAAGAGACATTTTAGTCATGAACTATATTCAAGTCTACAATGTTGGAAAGTGTCTGTTGCTAAAGATGTACATAGATCAAGGTGAGCAACATCGGCTCTTAAGAGATTCTAGTTATTGGTTGTTGTTACTAACAAACACTGTTCAAACTGGTTGTTTAGTCGTTTTTTTTGTCAGTTTGTCTATGATTTGATTGGTTAAGAATAACAAATGTCACTCTTTCAATAACTAGTGAAAAAAGGTAATGTTGTTTTCATAAATTAACAAACAAACTTCAATTGTCTAGGTATCCACTCAAATAAATATGCTGTGAATGGTCTTAGCTGTAATCATATATAATTAGTTGACCATGACCAATATGTGATAATGAATTATTGTTATTAGAGGTATATTGTTTTTTGTTGTAAATATTTTTTCGTTGTTGTACTAGATTGTTTTTTTTTTTCATCATTATATAATTAGAGGGTGGTGTGGGAATTTGTTTGCAAAAAGATAATCCATACTATTTTAAATATTTAAAGAAATTTAGGTACTTTTTATGTTACCGACTAAATGATCTGTAATACACATTTTCATTTCAATCTTTAATTGCACAGGGTATGTTGAATGGATTGTTTTCTAAACATGCATTACTCTAGAATATTGAGGTTAACAGTCATACAACTTTAAAAAAAAATCAAGTTTCTTTATATTTCTTTTTAAAAACATTTCTATTGAGGCCATGGATGAAAAAATTTGAATTGTTTCATATTAACGTGTCCTATAGATGTAAAAATTGGCTATGAAAGGCAATGCATTCTCCTGTATTTTTTTTTTAGCTATATCTAAATGACTTAACAGACCCTTCATGTTGGAAGCACCCAGTTCTAATATTGTAAAATACAATATGTTGATTTGTCACAGTAAAGAGATTAGCTGTACATATATATGTTTAAGAGTTAAAATCAAAATTTGAGGAGAACATATGGTATGATCTAGAAAAAGATTTGATAGGATTGTGTTGAAAACAAAATTATATTATAGAATGAAAAGGTTTTTTTATGAAATAAAAGCAATGTTTTGATTTTTATAGACTTAACTATTTACAGCATCAACATGTAATATGTAAAAAAAAAATTCATGCAAGTGGTCAATTTTATTTAGATTTTGAAAAGGTTTTTAAACAAATGAGGAGCTGTAAAATCAGATTTGCTCATGTGAAATAGGTTGACTGTTTGTTTGTTCAATGCAGTTTCAGTTTCAACTACTGTAAATTCAGAAATTATTGTGATGTTTTTATTAATGTGAATAATGCGACTGGATGAGTATTGCAATAATCAGAACTCGCATTCTGAATTTTATACATATATCTGTATGCAGATTTTTCTTGAATCGCAATAATTAATCTCGCATTTTCATCCATTTTTCAAATATCACAATAAAAAATGCAAGCAATAATTTCTGAATTTACAGTAACAGTTTTGTAAAGAACTTATAGAATTGATCACTTGCAAGAAAACATGGTAAACACAAGCATGGTTTACATTGCAATATAATAATGAAGCAAACTACATGAAGAGAGCTTTTAGTTTTCTATATTATAGTTAAGCAGAAGCATTTTTAAATTTTTTTGAAGATGTCCATCAAGGAAGTGCAATATTGTTAGTTTATTATTTTAAAGTAGACTTGTTACCTTGTATTTTTGCTTGTTTTCAAAAATCGTGTTAAAAGATATGGATTTTTAGTGTGTTAAATATTTCTTTAATATATGACCTTACTGTTATTGTCTATTTTATTACTAAGCAATGTTTCCCTCCTCCAGATATTTGTGATTTACTTATGTTGTTTCTATTATTTTTGCAGAAATAAACTATTTTTAAGAAGCTTTATTGATATCAATCTTCAAGATAACTATGAATTTACAAATAAAATTTCATGTATATAGCATTCTATTTTCATTTAATAACACAAAAAAAAGTTAAAATATTTCACCAACCTTTTCTTTTATTCTACATCTCCTATCACGTAAAAATTTAATTGCAATGTGTTACCATTTTAAGATGTTCTAGTTTGATAAAATACCTATAGAATACAGAATGTTCTTATTTCATAAAATACCTATAGAATACAGAATGTTCTTATTTCATAAGAACCCATATAGAATACAGAATGTTCTTATTTTATAAGAACATTTATGGTGTATATTATGTAGACCGTTAATTTGTTAATGAAAGAATTCTTGTTATTACTTCTATTACTTCATCTGTGATGTAATTTCTTTAAATATTAATAAAGGTTTTCATCATTTTTTGTTTTTTGTCTGACCTGCAACAAATATTGCTGAAAGCTGAGACATTGTTATACTTTTTTGGTATTTTTGGAATTGTGATGCTGTAAACTAGTTTTTAAGGAATTTATTATTTCAGGAGTTAAAAGAGCTAAACAATCTATATTTGTGCCGAAGTTTCTGTCTTTAGTCAGTTTTTTTCAGAGCTTGACCTCCCTGTCATTGCTCTGTGACTCAAATACCTGAGTTGAGTTTTTGTCGAGCCTGCGACTTCTGTCGCAGAAAGCTCGACATAGGGATAGTGATCCGGCGGTGGCAGCGTTAACAAACTTCTTAAAAGCTTTATATTTTAGAAGGTGGAAGACCTGGATGCTTCATACTTTGTATATAGATGCCTTATGTTATGAAGTTTCCGTCTGTCATATGTCCATTGTCCTTCATCTCATTTTCATGGTTCAGTGACTACTTGAAAAAATGTTAAGATTTTTTGTAATGTTGATTTCTCGCTTATTATGAGTAAAAGGATAACTATATTTAGTATGTGCGTACCTTGCAAGGTCCTCATGCCTGTCAGACAGTTTTCATTTGACCTCGACCTCATTTCATGGATCAGTGAACAAGGTTAGGTTTTCGTGGTCAAGTCCATATATCAGATACTATAATCAATAGGTCTACTATATTTGGTGTATGGTAGAATTGTTGGGTGTACATGTCCAACTGGCAGGTGTCATCTGACCTGGACTTCATTTTCATGGTTCAGTGGTTTAAGTTAAGTTTTTGTGTTTTGGTCTTTTTATGCCCCCGCCTAAGCAGAGGGGGCATTAAGCTTTACCCTTGTCCGTCTGTCCGTACGTACGTCCAGAAATTGGTTTCCGTTCTCTAACTTTAGTTTGCCTCAACTTAATGTTATGAAACTTATTCACAATGCTTATTACCACAAAACACAGATCAAGTTTAAATTTTGGTGGCATCACTTTTACCATTGAGTTATGCCCCTTTACAAATGAAAAAATTGCTGAATTTTATGTTTCGATTCTCTATCTTACGTATGCCTCAACTAAATGTTATGAAACTTATACACAATGCTTATTACCACAAAACACAGATCAAACTTGAATTTTGGTGGCGTCACTTATACCATTATAGAGTTATGCCCCTTTACAAATGGAAAAATCGTTGAATTTTTCGTTTCCGTTTTCTTACTTAAGTTTGCCTCAACTAAAAGTTATGAAACTTATACACAATGCTTATTACCACAAAACACAGATCAAGTTTGAATTTTTGTGGCGTCACTTTTACCATTCTAGAGTTATGCCCTTTTACAAATGGAAAAATTGCTGAATTTTTCGTTTCCGTTCTCTAACATAAGTTTGCCTCAACCAAATGTTATGGCTTATATACACAATGCTTATTACCACAAAACACAGATCTAGTTTGAATTTTGGTGGCGTCACTTTTACTATTCTAGAGTTATGCCCCTTTAAAAATGGAAAAATTGCTGAATTTTTCGTATCGTTCTCTAACTTAAGTTTGCCTCAACCAAATGTTATGGCTTATATACACAATGCTAATTACCACAAAACACAGATCTAGATTGAATTTTGGTGGCGTCACTTTTACTATTCTAGAGTTATGCCCCTTTACAAATGGAAAAATTGCTGAATTTTTCGTTTCCATTCTCCAACTTTAGTTTGCCTCAACTAAACGTTATGAATCTTATACACAATGTTTATTTCCACAATACCCAGATCAAGTTTGAATTAAGGTAGCGTCACTTTTACCATTCTTGAGTTATGTCCCTTTATAATGTTGTATGTAAGCGGGGGCATCATCTGTGTCCTTTTGACACATTCCCCATTTATTTTCTAATACTATATGCAATAGGTTAATTATATTTGGTGTATGGAAATATTTTACGATGTACATGTCGGTCTTGCAGGTTTTATTTGACCTTGACCTCATTTTCACGGTTCATTTTGGTTCACATTGGTTTTCGCACTATAACTTTAGTTTAAGTGAGTGGATCTCTATGAAATTTTACCATAAGGTTTAATACCACAAAAGGAAGGTTGGGATTGATTTTGGGGGTTATGGTACCAACAGTTAAGGAATTAGGGGCCAAAAAGGGGCCAAAAATAAGCATTTTCTAGTTTCCAGACAATAACTTGTGGAACGGTGTATGGATCTCTCTGAAATTATACCACAAGTTTCCATACCACAAAGGGATGGTTAGGATTTGCCTAGGGGGGTTATGGCTCAAACCATTTAGGAATTAGGGCAAAAAACAAGGTTGTCCTGGTTAATGGACAAATACTTTAGTACAAAACATAATTTAAAGCAGTGTAAGGGAGATAAATTAAATACATCATTTGAATTACCTCCCTTACACTGCTTTTAAATAATGTATAAAGTAATGGTTAATGAACAATTAAGACAATTTAAAAGCAGTGTAAGGGCGGTAATCCAAATACAACATTTTGATTACCTCCCTTACACTGCTTTTAAATTATGTTTAAAGAAATGCATATTTATAAAGGAAGACCAGTAAAAATAAATTCTATTATAAAATAGATATATAAGTTAGCACTATGGTAAATTTAAATGGGTAATTATGGTTGCAAACTCCATTGGAAATTTGAATTGAGATTATGACCATATCTTGAGGGAAAGAATTTTTTTGGGGAAAAAGGGGTGGGGGGGGGGGGGGGGGGGGGGGTAAAAAGAAATTGTGGGGGGTCAATTTTTTCTCATTTCAGATTTCAGAAATTAAAAAGAATTATTCTTCAAATATTTTTTTTTCAAATTTCAAATATTGAAAAATTTTAAGAAGTTATCTTTAATTGCACAGTATGGCGCATTAGATTTGTAAAATCTTTGACCACATTTATTTCTTTGATATGCCGAATCTAACCATGTATTTAGATTTTTAATTTTGGGTCTAGTTTTCAGATTGGTCTACATTAAGGTCCAAAGGGTCCAAAATTTAACTTAGTTTGATTTTAACAAAAATTGAATATATGGGGTTCTTTGATATGCTGAATCTAAACATGTATTTAGATTTTTGATTTTGGGCCCAGTTTTCAAGTTGGTCCAAATTGGGGTCCAAAATTAAACTTTGTTTGATTTCAACAAAAATTGAATATATGGGGTTCTTTGATATGCTGAATCTAACCATGTATTTAGATTTTTTATTTGTGGGCCCTGCTATCAAATTGGTTCATATTGAGGTCAAAAGGGTCCAAAATTAAACTTAGTTTGATTTCATCAAAAATTGAATTATTGGGGTTCTTTGATATGCCTAATCTAACCGTGTATTTAGATTTTTAATTTTGGGTCCCGTTTTTTTAAATTGGTCTACATTAAGGTCCAAAGGGTCCAAAATTAAACTTAGTTTGATTTTAACAAAAATTTAATTCTTGGGGTTCTTTGATATGCTGAATCTAACCATGTATTTTGATTTTTGGGCCCCGTTATCAAATTGGTCCACATTGAGGTCAAAAGGGTCCAAAATTAAACTTAGTTTGATTTTAACAAAAATTGAATTCTTTGGATTCTTTGATATGCTGAATCTAACCATGTATTTAGATTTTGGATATTGGACCATAATAGGTAAATCAAAAAAATTTAAGTTCTTAGACCACATTCATTCTGTCTCAGAAACCTATGCTGTGTCAAATATTTAATCACAATCCAAATTCAGAGCTGTATCAAGCTTGAATGTTGTGTCCATACTTACCCAAACTGTTCAGGGTTCGACTCTGCGGTCGTATCAAGCTGCGCTCAGCGGAGCATTTTATTCATAGTTAAGTTTGTTTTTTAGATACTAAAAGCAATAGGTCAACTATATTTAATGTATAGATTGATTGTAAGGTGATCACGTCTGTCTGGCATGGTTTATCTGACCTTGACCTCATTTTCATGGTTCATTGGTCAATATTAAGTTTTCCTGGTTAAGTTTGTGTCTTAGTAACTATAAGCAATAGGTCAACTATATTTGGTGTAAGGAATGATTGTAAGGTGTACATGTATTTCTGGTTTGGTTTATCTGACCTTAACCTCATTTTCTTGGATCATGTTAAGTTTATGTGGTACTTGTAGTAAAGCTTTATATTTAGGACTATCAACATAAAATTAATGGTAAGTAAAGCAGGCGAGACATTTCACTGTGTGCACTCTTGTTATATATTTGGATATGTATCAGAAAGTGGAACACTTCAACCTATTATATAACCAATAAAATCTGTATATGCACCACTCTAACCCCTATTTGTCTAGCTTGACATTTTTTAACCGGATTTTCCAGGGAAAAATGGGTTATTGATATGGGGATGTACAGCGGGTGGGAGGGCTATCGGCCGGCCAAACAGTGTCTGTTCATTAACATGCAAATGCTTTGACGAAATCTTTTCAAATTTAGATATGTTGTTTCCTGTGATTAAATGAAGGTCAAGTTCAATTTTCACGATTTTAGGTTTTCTCCTTGTTGAGTTGTAGACCTTTCAATAGCGAAAAGTGGTATCTATTATATGATTTATTTTTATTTGATTATTTCCCTTTGAATAGAAATGGTGTAATTAATAAGTATATGGTTAGATAGTCTATCTGATTGTATCTGTTACTTGATCCTGTTTGGGGGTCCAGACTTGCAAATATGATTTTCATTCAGGAAAATCCTGTTTGCTGTCACTCTGACAGCCTCTTGTTTACCTAATTTTCATGAATAAATGAATCCTAAATATTTGTGTTAAGTTTTCATGATTAAATTAGGTTCTTGGTTATATAGTAGATCAACTAAATATCATTGTTATTTGTATATATACCTGTCTCACATGGGAAGAAATCTGTTTGCACCAAAAATGAGTTTTTTTGGGCAACAACTGATTTGCACCAATAATATGTTTGCACCACTAGTTTTAAAAATACCTGGTATCCTTAGAGCCTAAAGTTTAGTATAAGATTGCGCCAATTCGGAAATATAATTGTATTTTAATTTTACACTAAACAATTGAATGCTGTTTATGGAGAAAAAAAACCAGTCAATAATGGAAATGAAAGCAAGTGATTACACCCCTTGAATGTACCATCAGCAAATACATCTTATGCATCCCAAAAGAGAAGATATATAATAAGCTTCAAATCAACAATTACAATCATACTTTACTTACATAAAATGAAGTTGTCATCTTTTTTCATCAATACTAAACAACTCCTTGTATTTTCTGAAATTCTTTTAAAGTTTTTCATTGGACCTACATATAGTTTTCTTCTTTTTGTGTGTATAGGCATCAGGTGTGTGCATGAGTCTGTAACCTATCAGGTTCAAGTTTTGGCTTAAGAAAGTTTACCACGAAGTTGTGGTCCCATCAACTTGTAACTTAGTACACATGCTCATTATAATGTGAAAATTTATGCCAAATTAGGGTTTTACCAAGATTCAATCTAATTAACCGATATCCCATTGCTCCTATTTCTGATATGTCAGGTGCAACATTTCGTAAAAAGGGAGTGATGCGAGATCAGTTTTTAATTAGATTGACCCAGACTTCCCATTTTACTGAACATGGAAATGTGAAAGTGTAAGCAGGAAATTGTTTTGTATGCTTTTTTTAATGCTTTTTCGTAGGGGGGATTGTGTTTACGCTGCTTTGTGAAACAGCCTTCTATGTTGCAGTGTGGAATAGTGTGAATTCATATCTGCAAGTAATGAGTATTTCAGTACTTTAATTGGGTTGCCTCAGTGAGCATTCTATGATTGATTGAATTATTTTTGCTAACTTCATGTACAGAGGCAAATATTTCATGAATATACAGGAAGAGAACAAATTATTACTTTCAAATACAAAAGGTAGGTTCTGCAAGGTAAGGCAGGCTAGAATGAAGAATGTCATATTTGGACTTCCACTGAAAATTGAGGGTATGCTTGATGTTGGATAGAAGCAGAAAATTTGCTTTGCGGCTCAACTGTTATATATGGTAGAAGTAGTTCCTTACTCAATTACATATTCATACAGCAGCAAGGATATGTATGAGACCTGTATCAAATATTATGTATGCCTGTTAAGGTAGTCTCCAATGACAGACACATTGACAAATTGACAAATTATATAATCTTTATTTACCAAAGTCTTAACAACTATAGGCATACAACATATAAGCTACACACAGTTTGTATGTGTCAATGTGTTGATTTGTCGATGTGTCGATGTGTTGATGTTTCCAGATTAGCCATTAAATATAATGCCGATTCACTTATTAATAATCTGCTGATGATCCTGCTTTGCAACAGGCTATCTACATACCCCTCAGAGATTTGAAGCATTTTCTGTTGCCATATTGCTTATTATTGTTGTTTGTTTACCTATGTTTTTGTCCTGGGGATGTATAGTTGATTGCTTTTTTATGTACTAATTTTCATTGTACATTATTGTATGCACCTTTTTTATTCTGCTGGGATTGGAAAGGGGGAGAGTTTGGAATATCAGGAGCAGGTTAGGCCAACCACATTTTCATTTGCCTGGCCCAAATCTTGATGATTTTGTCATTTGTGGTTTTGGTGTTTGTGTGGGATCTTTCTTGGTCTCTGTTTAGGGACGACCATATGATATGTTGGGGGTGGCTAGGTGAATTTATTTCCACACAAGCATTTATTTTCAATCATTACCAGGAACTAATATTAATAATATTTATTTTCATTTTTCATGCATTTTTAAATTTATGCATATAAACTATTTTCAAAATTTTGTGGGTCAGGCCATTCACATTCAAGCTGCCTATGGAAAGATTACTAGTACCTAATGTTTGTCCGTTTCAATGTCAGGAATGGTTTGCAAAAAGTAAAATAACAAAAATACTCCAAGGAAAATTCAAACAGAAAGTCCCTTATCAAATGGTAAAATCAAAAGCTCAAACACATCAAACGAATGGAAAACAACTTTCATATTCCTGACTTGGTACAGCCATTTCCTTATGTAGAAAATGGTGGATTAAATCTGGTTTTATAGCTAGCTAAACCTCTCACTTGTATGACAGTCATTTAAGTTAAATGTAATTTAAAAGATAAATAATAGACACAGCAGTTAAATATAAATAATGCTCAAATAATTCCTGCTAAATGCTGTAATTCAAAACAGAAAGTTAAGTGTTTGTTCAATTTTATACCGTAAATGTGAAGTATGTAACGACACTTTTGTAAAACTATTGCAACTGTACTTTCGATTTCCATTCGCAGGTGCATGCAAAAATTAAAATACATAATTCCTCTGGAAACATGCAAATCTCAATAATCCTTCATACATTTCACATCTATCTTCTGAATTCAATATGTCATATGGCTTTGTGTAAAAAATTGTAGAACTTCCAACATTTTCTTCATCACTTGCCTCTTCTGGTGTGGTTATTGCAAGAAAATGTTCTCCATCCATTTCTAATGCAGTAAAAATTATCTGAAATGTATATAACAGCATTAGCAATACTTTCTAATTACAGTGACAAAATAAGAAGCATGCTAAATGTAAAGATAACTAAAGATGATTCAATTTAAATGACTTTCATAACCTGACTAGTCAGAAGAAAGTAGATGGATAAAACAAGTTCAAAGCAACGTCACATTTATATAACACTTGCTTGAACAGTTTTTTCCTCTTTTTTTTTTTTAATTACGTCTCCAAAACTAAAAGTTATGGAGACAATATTATTTTTGTCGGGTTTCTTCCTATTAAGTTGCCCAAACAAGGTTTGGGGACCTTAATTGTTTTTGCATTGTTTCTTATTATTATTACTATTATTTTTTTCCTTAGTCAAATTTTTCTCAGAGCTGCTTTGCGAAAAATTATTTATTTTTCAACACAAACGACAGCTCTGAGTTGGGGACGGCCATTTGAATCTTCAAATATTTATTTGATTTTGTCTAGGTAATGTCCATTGTCATAATTTAGTTCATGCATATTCAGGACGAGTTGAATTATTTTAGTATAAAATTGAGAATGGAAATGGGGAATGTGTCAAAGAGACAACAACCCGACCATAGAGCAGACAACAGCCGAAGGCCACCAATGGGTCTTCAATGCAGCGAGAAACTCCCGCACCCTGAGGCGTCCTTCAGCTGGCCCCTAAACAAATATGTATACTAGTTCAGTGACAATGGACGTCATACTAAACTCCAAATTATACACAAGAAACTAAAATTAAAAATGATACAAGACTAACAAAGGCCAGAGGCTCCTGACTTGGGACAGGCGCAAAAATGCGGCGGGGTTAAACATGTTTTTTTGAGATCTCAACCCTCCCCCTATACCTCTAGCCAATGTAGAAAAAACAAACGTACAACAGTACGCACAGTTAAACTCAGTTTAAGAGAAGTCCGAGTCCGATGTCAGAATAAGAAACAAAAGAAAATAAACAAAATGACAATAATACATAAATAACAACAGACTACTAGCAGTTACTGACATGCCAGCTCCAGACCTCAATTAAACTGATTGAAAGATTATGTCTTCATCATATGAATATCAGGCACAATCCCTCCTGTTAGGGGTTTAGTATTATACCATCATAAAATATATGAGAAGAACATAACCCGTGTCATGCCAACAACTGGTTTTAGAATAAATATGTTTAATTCAGATGCAAAGACCCTATAAGTGAATCAATATTAAAGCCAAAATATGCAATCTTTAATGACCTGACAACAGTATCGTAACTATATCCCTTCTTAATAAGTCTGTTTAAAGGTTTTGTTAGCTTTTGAGGTGAATACTGACATTTTTGTGCTTTGTAAAGAATATTACCATAAAAGTTTGGATGTGAAATACCCGAACGTATAAGATGTCTGCATGTTGAGTTATATTTACGAATGATGTCCTTATACCGATGATGAAATTTAGTAAATGTTTTGACTAGTTTATGGTATCGAAAACCCTGGTGTAATAATTTTTCAGTAATACATAAATTTCTCTCGCTAAAATCTAATACGTTGTTACATACACGAGCGAATCGTACGAGTTGAGATATATAAACACCATAAGTATGTATATCTTTGTGACTTATAAATGACATTTGTAAATATTTAAGATACAGGCTGTAGCTATCTTCTTATTAGATGTACAATGTATTAGGAATAAGAGGAGATTATTAACTGTATCAAAGTAAAGTCTTCACTTTCCAAGCGAGCATGTATGTGTCTTGTTAAATTTGAGAAATCAACCGTTCTGTAATCAACATTTACGGAATGATGTTATGGGTTCACGTACAGCGGCAAATATATTACACATGGATATTCAGGTCAAATACAAATTTTTGAAAAAAACATGTATTTGCAATTTGTATAATGAAAACAAAAAGTAAATATTATTTACATTTCCATACTGACCATAGATTTATGACAAGTTCTAATTAAACAAAATTATATTTAAAGTTGTAATCAGAGGACATTAGCTCACAACTGAGAGTTATGAAATATACACAAACTACAGAAAAATCTTGAAAAGGTATTTATTAATTGAAGTCAAATTGATTTAGTGAATAGAGTTTTTGTTTACACCTTGTCACATACACAAAGCCATAAATGTAGGACACTCTCCCATACACAAGGTAATTATGGGAAACTTTGATAATGTTTTATATTACATAATGAAATCTAATTAAATAGGATTTTAACACCTAGTAATATACAAAGCCATAAGCTAAGGGCATGCTTTCACACCTGAAAGATTAATAACTGTTATTTAATTTGTCTAAATTGCAATTAATAATTTGTTGTTTGAAGTGAAAACATTTCAGAGCTGGAAAAGGCCATTGCTATATAACCAATTAATTCTTAACTCTCCATTGTTAAACAATGTTGTTCATCTTTATGTCAATAAACCACAGAACCACATGGATAGTTCAATGAGGTGATGTTTTTTTTTTGCAAATTGACTATTCATTTCTATTTCTATCTGTTGCTATGCATGCTTTTTTATTGGCTGCGTGTGCAAAAAAATATTTTCACTTCTGAACACAATTATTTTTCCTGCATTTTGTGTTGCAGAATATTCATTTTATTCCTGACTTGGCCAAAATATTTATTTCCAGCTTTTACCAGGCAAGGATATTCATGTTTATAGCCCCCCTCCAGTAATCAGTTTCTAACCAAAGGAGGAGGCGCACATTTTCGTTTGTATATAAACGCAATGTAAAGTTTGAAAAATATTGGTTCAATACAGTCAGAGTTACAAATTACACAAAGTATGTACCCCTAAGCTGGAAGGACGGGCAGATGGAGGGAGTTGAGAGGCTAATAGACCTTCTTTTACTGTTGGTGATGCAGGTTAAAATTCAGGAAAAAAAAGGAGCTTCCTTCCAATAAAACACCTGTTATGCCAAAAAATCATACAAATCCCTAACAGCTTTTTAGACTTATTGTATCATACATGTACAAAACATCCTTTAATTTAATGGTTAAAGTCCCAATACTCTTAACAAAATTCACCAAATTATTAAAAACAAAAATGAAGCTTCCCTCTAACAAAACACATATTCTAGCGAAAAAATATAAAAAAATATTAAAGCATCCTTTAGATATCTTATTATGGATGAACAGTAGCATACCATAATACATTCATAAAAAAACGGAAAGCATAAAAAAATACCTGTGTGCCAATACACATTGCTCCAAAAACAAGTGTACTTCCTTCATAAGACATAAAAGGGGAAAAATCTCTTTCCAGCAGTAATTCTCCTCCGTGCTGTCCCAATACATTCCTGGCAAATCTGTTCAGTTCTGAAGCTGTAAACTTTTCATGCTTCATTCTCTGTCTTTCTTTTTTCTTTTTTACCTACAGCAACATGATATAAGTTAAGGCTCTAGTATTTTATTTTGGCCTGCTCAGAAAAATATGCTCAATTTTAAGCAGGTATTGAAACATGAAAATGATATCAAAGTAAACAGATATACATATGATAACCAAAATGAAAATACATAAAACAAGTCATCTATATACAACATTTGACACATCAACCTTTTCTACCTTGTCACCACAGTCTACTGTTAGCATGCATACCGTATGTATATTTGTTACCTGTCCTAAAGTAAGACAACAAAACATAAGGCAATAATTACAAATTAAGTATGAATCTTATCAAGGGCAACATGAAGCGCGACATCCAATCACTGTCTAAATATTTGACCATAAGGCCTTGACCAAAAAAATCAATTGGGTTCTAGATTTTCCTAAGGACTAAGTATGTACCAAGTTACATGTCGGTCAAAATCCATTGAAGGATGATTCCAAAGCATTCACAAAGATTTAATGGAATGAAAATTTGTTTCTGTAACCCTGACTTTTGAAATTAATAAATTGCTTCGCTGAGCGCAGCTGGATACAACCGCAGAGGTCCAACCCTGAACAGTTGGGGCAAAAATGGACACCATATTCGCGCTTGATACAGGTCTGAATTTGGATTGTAATCAAATATTTGACACATAATAGGTTTTTGACACAGAATAACTGTAGTCTAGGAACTTAGAATTGGTTATATGATTTGAATTTATATTCAATTTTTTGCTTTTGTGCAATACACTATGCTGTTGCCAATTGACCCTCTCCCCTCCCCCCCTCCAAAAAAAAAAAAATCCCCCCCCTTCCCCCCCCCAAAAAAAAAAATTTACCCCCCCCTTTTTTTGCTTTTGTGCAATACACTATGCTGTTGCAAATTGACCCCCCCCCCAAAAAAAAATATTTGAAGAATTTTTCTTTTTAATTTCTGAAATCTGAAATGAGAAAAAATTGTACCCCAATTCACAATTTCTTTTTTACCCCCCTCCCATTTTTTGTTCTCACCTCCCCCCTCCTTTTTCAAAAAAAAAATTCTTTCCCTCAAGATATGGTCATAATCTCAATTCAAATTTCCAATGGAGTTTGAAACCATAATTACCCATTTAAATACATCATAAAAGTCTTAAAATAGAAAATGACATACATAATCATGGCTAAAATTAATATTTCTTAATCAGCATTATTAAATAGTAACTTCTAATAAAATGCTTCGCTGGGGCGCAGCTTGATACGACCGCAGAGGTCGAACCCTGAACAGTTGGGGCAAGTATGGACACAACATTCAAGCTTGATACAGCTCTGAATTTGGATTGTTATTAAATATTTGACACAGCATAGGTTTCTGACACAGAAAGAATGTGGTCTAAGAACTTGAATTTTTTTAATTTACCTATTATGGTCCAATGTCCAAAATCAAAATACATGGTTAGATTCAGCATATCAAAGAACCCCATATATTCAATTTTTGTTAAAATCAAACAAAGTTTAATTTTGGACCCCAACTTGGACAAACTTGAAAACTGGGCCCATAATCAAAAATCTAAACACATGTTTAGATTCAGCATATCAAAGAACCCCAAGAATTTTTGTTAAAATCAAACTAAGTTTAATTTTGGACCCTTTGGACCTTAATGTAGACCAATTTAAAAAACGGGACTTAAAATTAAAAATCTAAATACACGGTTAGATTTGGAATATCAAAGAACCCCAATAATTCAATTTTTGATGAAATCAAACAAAGTTTAATTTTGGACCCTTTTGACCTCAATATGAACCAATTTGATAGTGGGGCCCACAAATAAAAAATCTAAATTCATGGTTAGATTCAGCATATCAAAGAACCCCATATATTCAATTTTTGTTGAAATCAAAAAAAGTATAATTTTGGACCCCAACTTGGACCAACTTGAAAACTGGGCCCATAATCAAAAATCTAAACACATGTTTAGATTCAGCATATCAAAGAACCCCAAGAATTCAATTTTTGTTAAAATCAAACTAAGTTTAATTTTGGACCCTTTGGACCTCAATGAAGACCAATTTAAAAAACGGGACCCAAATTAAACATCTAAAAACACGGTTAGATTTGGCATATCAAAGAACCCCAAAAATTCAATTTTCGATGAAATCAAACAAAGTTTAATTTTGGACCCTTTTGACCTCAATATGAACCAATTTGATAGCGGGGCCTACAAATAAAAAATCTAAATACATGGTTAGATTCAGCATATCAAACAACCTCATATATTCAATTTTTGTTGAAATCAAACAAAGTTTAATTTTGGACCCCAATTTGGACCAACTTGAAAACTGGGCCCATAATCAAAAATCTAAATACATGTTTAGATTCAGCATATCAAAGAACCCCATATATTCAATTTTTGTTGAAATCAAACAAAGTTTAAATACTGGACCCTATCTTGGACCAACTTGAAAACTGGGCCCATAATCAAAAATCTAAACACATGTTTAGATTCAGCATATCAAAGAACCCCAAGAATTCAATTTTTGTTAAAATCAAACTAAGTTTAATTTGGACCCTTTGGACCTCAATGTAGACCAATTTAAAAAACAGGACCCAAAATTAAAAACCTAAATACACGGTTAGATTTGGAATATCAAAGAACCCCAATAATTCAATTTCAGATGAAATCAAACAAAGTTTAATTTTGGACCCTTTTGACCTCAATATGAACCAATTAGATAACGGGGTCCACAAATAAAAAATCTAAATACATGGTTAGATTCAGCATATCAAAGAACCCCATATATTCAATTTTTGTTGAAATCAAACAAAGTTTAATTTTGGACCCCAATTTGGACCAACTTGAAAACTGGGCCAAAAATCAAAAATCTAAATACATGTTTAGATTCAGCATATCAAAGAACCTCATATATTCAATTTTTGCTAAAATCAAACAAAGTTTAATTTTGGACCCTTTGGACATTAATGTAGACCAATTTGAAAACTGGACCCAAAATTAAAAATCTAAATAACTGTTAGATTTGGCATAACAAATAAATAAATGTGATCAAAGATTTTACAAATCTAATGCGCCATACTGTGCAATTAAAGATTACTTCTTGAAATTTTTCAATATTTGAAATTTAAAAAAAAAATAATATTTAAGAATAATTCTTTTTAATTTCTGAAATCTGAAATGAGAAAAAATTGGCCCCCCACAATTTCTTTTTATCCCCCCCCCCCCCCCTTTTTTCCCCCAAAAAAATTCTTTCCCTCAAGATATGGTCATAATCTCAATTCAAATTTCCAATGGAGTTGGCAACCATAATTACCCATTTAAATTTACCATAGTGCTAACTTAATCTATTTTATAATAGAATTAATAAAAATATAGTGTCAAATCTTTCATATGGATTTTTTTGTAAAAAAAAAAGATGAAAACATTTGCAGATATTTTTACTGGTCTTCCTTTATAAATATGCATTTCTTTAAACATAATTTAAAAGCAGTGTAAGGGAAGTAACCAAAACATTGTATTTGGATTACCTCCCTTACACTGTTTTAGATTATCTTTATTGTTCATTAACCATTACTTTATACATAATTTAAAAGCAGTGTAAGGGAGATAATTTCAATGATGTATTTGATTTATCTCCCTTACACTGCTTTAAATTATGTTTTGTACTAAAGTATTTGTCCATTAACCAGGACAACCTTGTTTTTCCCCCTTTTTTGCCCCTAATTCCTAAACAGTTTGAGCCATAACCCCCCAAAGCAAATCCTAACCATCCCTTTGTGGTATGGAAACTTGTAGTATAATTTCAGAGAGATCCATACACCGTTCCACAGTTATTGTCTGGAAACTAGAAAATGCTCATTTTTGGCCCCTTTTTGGCCCCTTATTCCTTAACTGTTGGTACCATAACCCCCAAAATCAATCCCAACCTTCCTTTTGTGGTATTTAACCTTATGGTCAAATTTCAAAAAGATCTATTCACTTAAACTAAAGTTAGAGTGCGAAAACCAATATGTATTCGGACGACGACGCCGGACGACGACGACGACGACGACGCCAACGTCATACCAATATACGACCACAAAATTTTTTTGCGGTCGTATAAAAATAAATTGACAGCTAATCACCTCAAGACAATACAACATTTCTTTATACATAATTCAAAAGCAGTTTAAGGGAGGTAATCCAAACATAATATTGTACTTTTTTTTAATTGTCCATTAACCAGGAAACCCTTGTTTTTCCCCCTTTTTTGCCCTTTAATCCTAAACGGTGTGAGCCATAACCCCCAAAGCCAATCCTAACCATCCCTTTGTGGTATGGAAACTTTTGGTAGAATTTCAGAGAGATCCATACACCGTTCCACAAGTTATTGTCTGGAAACTAGAAAAATGCTTATTTGGGCCCCTTTTTGGCCCCTTATTACTGAACTGTTAGGACTATAACCCCCAAAATCAATCTCAACCTTCCTTTTGCAGTTATAAACCTTTTGTTTAAATTTTATAGATTTCTATTAACATTTACTAAAGTTATTGTCCTCAAACCAAATGTCTTAGGACGACGGTCGACGACGATGACGTGATACCAACATACGACCACAAAATTTTTTGCGGTCGTATAAAAATCAGTCATGTTAGTAGTGATCCAGATTTTTTTATTAGGATTATAGTCTGTTTGAATTCTATATGATAATGAATTTTTTCTTATTAAAAATCACATTTTCATCAGAATCCAGATAAATAATTCTGGTCAATCCAAAAACACTTTTATGATTGTAACATGGATTTTATGGAGAGAGAATAGCATGCGAAGCCTGTTGCTCAATTCTATTCAATTTATTTAAATAAAATATTGTTAAAACTAAATTTACTATAATAAAATAAAAACACCTACCCTAATTTGAAATTACATGTAATAGGAAACACACATTTGTTTTGGCCTTATCAAAAATCATAATCATCAGGATCACAGCTGGAATAAAGTGTTACTTTTCATAATTTTCTTGTTTTCATAGGGGCAGGGGTAAACATTTTTGCTGAAGGTATCTAAAACTTTATACCCGGTACCTTTCAACAAATGTTATGCTTATTATCAAAGGAGCAAAACTCCCACAAAATTTCCTGGTAATATGCACAACAAAATATGGTATTTCCTACTTACCAAGTTTCATGAAATTCTAGTAAGTAGTTACAGATGAGTTGCGCTTACAAGCTGAATCCTGAGTACATTTCGGAAAATATTTTAAGTTTAAAGTGGCATAACTCCAACAAAATTAAGGGGATCAAAACTTCCTGGTAATATGCACAACTACATACGGTGTCTTTACTACCTACCAAGTTTCATGAAATTTTGTTGAGTAGTTTCAAAGGAGTTGCGCTTACAAAAACAGGACTGATGGACTGACCAACTGATTGATGGACAGACAGGTCATAACATGATACCCTGTGCAACTTTAATTATTTGAAACATTCAAATCATCAACTTCAACACAGTGAAGACTTATGTAGGCACAGTCACAAGGATCAATATTAATTGAAAATTTCTTTCTCCCTTCTATGATTTTCAAGATAGATGCCAAAAACAGCCTATTTGACCTTCCAATATGATATTAAAGGATGATGAATCAATTTTACCAAATTAATCGAAAATTTGACCTTTATAGGGCAATAACTTAGAAAACCTGATCACTTTGATCCATATAGGATTATTGATAACCTTTAATTGTCATAAGAATCATTTCATCAGTTGCAAGTTTCTTCATTTCTGATACAGTTTTCATGCCATAAGCCAAAATAGCAAAGTTTACCTTCCAAGGGCAATAACTACTACCTATAAACATACACCACATAACCACAACCCAATTGAATTTTGGTAGCCCATGTCATAAGGTTCATTTCATTCACAGAAAGTAGCCTTATAGCTGTATTAAGGGACTTCCCCCAATTAGCCCAAAAAAACCCACAAATTTGACCTTCTAAGAGCAGTATCCCCTTTAAAAAGGCACTTTGACCCAAATGAATCATTGATAGCCTTTATCAATCAACAGTTTCTTCAAAACTGACATGATTTTCACCCTATAACCAAAAAACCATTATAGGAGTTATCACACATCTTTGACTCAATAGAAACTTCTTAAAGAGCTCTTCAAATTGAAGAAGGAATGTCACGTTTATTTTTCTTCACCTACTATCTTTTGATAAAATCCTATGTCCTAAAAATAGCAGTGGAGGTATTTTTTTTAATCAAAAGATACATAAAACAATATTTTAATATAAAAAACTTTAAAGATCCATTAGGTAAAGTTTTGATTTATTCTTACCTAGTGGTTTCAGAAAATAAGTTATTTTTTTTTTTTGAATTTACGACGACGAATGACACAGAATGATGGTAATAGCTCACTGGACCTTAGGTCCAGATGAGCAAAAAAGAAGAGCACATGCAGTTTTGCCTATTTAAAGATTAAAAGATATATTAACTGACCTTTCCAATCAACAATAAACTTGGAACAAAAGGATCATCTTTGTCTTTTGCTGATATTGTGCATCTCAAATCAGGTTCAGAACATACAAAGTATTTTCTTACTTCTAAGACTTGTTTTTTACTCTCTCCACTCCTGTAAAGGACAAGTAAAATTATTGCTGGAACTACCATATAAACTTCTGAAAATCTCTCCTTTATTTACATTGCAGTTATCTAAACACTGTTTACAGCAAGACCTCTGTGTGAAAAGTCAAAACAAAATGTGGATTTAATGAGGGATTTCAAAACTAATGCCAAGAAAGAGGTAGATATCAGGATAGATTCAGAGGACAAATAAAATATACTTGTTAACTAATAAATAACCAGAATGCACACACTGAAATGTTTCACCTAACAAATCAATAATTCTGCAGTCAACAAACCATGAATGAGAGCTAAGACAGGGAAAAAAAAGAATCTGAAAAGAAATAATACTTTCTATTAATACAAATACACCTCAGTGCTCTAGAGTTCTTTTAAATTTCTACTTACCCTGGGGCATATGGACATCAAAACTCACTTTCCCACAATTGAATTAAATATACAAAATTCAAAAATATAACTTTCCATGGGCTAAATCTCACTAGCCCTGGGTAAGAGAAAAACAGGAATTCTAGAGCTCTGCAACTTCATACCGAATACAAATGGCTTACTACAAAAGGTTCTCCTTAACATGGATTTTTCCAGATTTCCACAGAGTCTAATTAAAAGACTAAACAGAGTATTCAATAATTCTAAATAAGGCCTGGTAATGAGGATTATTTCATTTATTGTAAGTTTATCTTCTTTTTGTTATGGTTTTCAAGAAAGAAGTCAAAAACCACCAACAAAAGTTTTTAATTTGGTTTATCAATGGCAATAACCCCTATAAAGTGTCATTGTACAACTTCAATCAAATAGAGACTTTCATACATGTAGGCCTGATCCTAAGGATCTTTCAGCGGCAGATCCATATAAAATTTTACAATCACTAACTTTCAAATGTAAACAATGCAAAATTTTTGAAGTCAATCATGTCAAATGGTCAGGACAAAATTCCTGTAGCTAGTCAGATTTAGAGGATTGCAAAGTTTTCAGAAAATTTCACTATACCTGAAATAACTAAATTTTACCTAACTTTAAGTCCACAAACATGTAGAAAACTTCGGTGGATATCTCGATACCTCATCTCTGGAATAGTTGCTTTTTGAGTCTTTATTACCATATATTCAATCAGATCTTCCACAAACTCAATGGCAGAACTCCAGATTGTGGCAATCAAACTAAAATGGAATGATTAACTTATTAAACCAGGTTTGATATTCACTTACCTTTTAAGTATGGATGCACTCATAGGCTGGAATCATTGACAAACATGTACATAACCTCACTGCAGAAGCAGAATTTTGTCATGTGATGAAAAGTATAGAAAAGAACAGCAACAAAACCTGAACTAGAGGCTCCTGTAGACATAGAAAACTTATATTTGACTTTTAAAAAGCCATTAGTCTTTATAGTATATGATACAACTTTGTCTAATAATAATAGACTTTATTTCTAGAGGGTAACACAGTTAGTTTACAAGAACTAATCTTCCCTGAGGCCCTGATGCAATACAAATGAAGACAGAAATAAATGTGGATAGTGTCCACATGTGGACACAGATGATGCCCCCGCTTGCATATCATATAGTTATAAAGGGACGTAACTGAAGAATGGTAAAAGTGACGCTACCCAAATTTGAACTTGATCTGAGTTTTGTGGTAATAAGCATTGTGTGTAAGTCTCATAACATTTGGTTGAGGCTAACTTAAGTAGAGAACAGATACTAAAAATTCAGCAATTTTTCTACTTGTAAACACGCATAACTCTAGAACGGTTGTGTTTAAGTTTTATAACATTTGGTTGAGACAAACTAAAGTTAGAGAACGGAAACGAAAAATTCAGCAATTTTTATGTTTATAAAGGGACATAACTCAAGAATGGTAAAAGTGTCGCCACCAAATTTTCGTACTTAATCTGTATTATGTAGTAATAGGCATTGTGTATAAGTTTCATAACATTTGGTTGAGGCAAACTAAAGTTAGAAAACAGAAACAAAAAATTTGTACTTGATCTTAGTTTTGTGGTTATGAATATTGTGTATAGGTTTCATTATGTTTGGTTGGGGCAAACTTAAGTTACAGAATGGAAACTAAAAATTTTGCAATCTTTCGATTTATAAAGGGGCATAACTCAATAATGGTTAAAGTGACACTACCAAAATTCAACTTGATCTGTGTTTTATCAGTGGAAGTCAAAATTTAACATTGCATTGTATAAAGTATTGATTGTAGTTGATTCAACTATAATCATGGACAAAGGAAGATAACTCCAATTTTATAAATTACTTGATATTTAGAAGAAAATAAAAATTTTGCATTTTTTCCATTTATAAAGGGGCATAACTCTAGAACGGTAAAAGTGACGCCACCAAAATTCAAACCTGATCTGTGTTTTGTGGTTATAAGCATTGTGCATATGTTTCATAACATTTGGTTGAGGCAAACTTAAGTTAGAGAACAGAAACTAAACATTTTGCAATTTTTCCATTTATAAAGGGGCATAACTCTAGAAAGATTAGAGTGACGCCACCAAAATTCAAACTTGATCTGTGTTTTGTGGTAATTAGCATTGTGTATAAGTTTCATAACATTTGGTTGAGGCAATCTTAAGTTAGAGAACGGAAACTAAAAATTTTGCAATTTTTCCATTTATAAAGGGGCATAACTCTAGAACAGTTAAAGTGACGCCACCAAAATTCAAACTTGATCTGTGTTTGGTGGTAATAAGCATTGTGTATAAGTTTGATAACATTTGGTTGAGGCAAACTCAAGTTAGAGAATGGAAACTAATTTAGGGACGTACGTACGTACGTACAGATGGACAAGGGTAAAACTTAATGCCCCCATCGCTACGGCGGGGGCATAATCAAATACATAGAATATACGTGCAAAAAATTGTACAAAAAATCAAAATCACATCAACTTATACAACATGGTTACTTAAATATTGTTTGATTTTATGTTTTAAGCAGTTTGTATTGGAAATATTACGCAATGTAATGGGCAATTCATTCCATAAAATTGAACCAGAATATTCTATTTTATGCATTAGCTAACATTTATGATATGTAATCCTCAGGTCATCTTTCATAATACCAAGTTGTCTAAATAATAGTAAATTCTGTCCATGGACAATATATTTAATTATTCTAATGTGTCCCCGACACAATTTACCTATGAAAATATGTACTAAACTGTGAAATAGTGTCCATGTTATCACTGGACCTTTTTTTTACCATTAAATTTGGTCCTTGAACAGTAAATGTGATAATGTAGGATTTAATAAATTGTCCCCCATGAAATAATGTTTAATAGATATAAGAAGATGTGGTATGAGTGCCAATGAGACAACTCTTCATCCAAGTCAAAATTTATAAAAGTAAACCATTATAGGTCAAAGTACGGTCTTCAACACGGAGCCTTGGCTCACACCGAACAGCAAGCAATAAAGGGCCCCAAAAATTACTAGTGTAAAACCATTCAAACGGGAAAACCAACGGTCTAATCTATATAAAAAATTCGTAAGGGTTCCACAGAACCCAGTGTCTCGCCTACTTTTGCTGTTAATCGCAGGCTCAACAAAAATGAGGAAAAAAATTAATAAAAATATTCCTCTCTATACTATCTTTTGATTGTAAGTAGCTTCTGTCCAAGTTTGGTAAAAATCCAGGATAGTTTATGAATCTAATAAATGTTTTAAAAACTTTAACTGCAGACTGTATGTAATGTTAACTGGATGAAAAACTAAGTCCATTTATAAGTAAAATACGGAAAAAATGGAACAAAATTTTAACAAAATTTCCTTCTAGATACTAGCTTTTAATCATAAACAAGCTTCTGTCCAAGTTTGGTACAAATCCAGGATAGTTTAAGAAAGTTGTTAAAATTTTAAAAACTTTAACCTCAGAGTGAATGTAATGTCAACTGGCAGAAAAACTAAGTCCATTTATAAGTAAAATACGGAAAAAATGGAATTTTTTTTTTACAAAATTTACTTCTGGATACTATCTTATGATCATAAACAAGCTTCTTTCCAAGTTTGGTAGAAATCCAGGATAGTTTAAGAAAGTTATTAAAATTTCAAAAACTTTAACCACAGAGTGAATGTAATGTTAACTGGCAGAAAAACTAAGTCCATTTATAAGTAAAATACGGAAAAAATGGAATTTTTTTTTTACAAAATTTTACTTTTGAATATTATCTTATGGTCATAAACAAGCTTCTGTCCAAGTTTGGTAGAAATCCAGGATAGTTTAAGAAAGTTATTAAAATTTCAAAAACTTTAACCACAGAGTGAATATTTGTGGACGCCGCCGCCGACGACACCGACGGAATGTAGGATCGCTATGTCTCGCGTTTTCGACAAAAGTCGAAGGCTCGACAAAAACGAGAAACGAGAAACACTTATGAACCACATCAAAAAACGACAACTACTGAACATCAGAGTTCATTCATTTATGCCTGTATCTAATCAAGCAATCTTTACTCTGTTTCATACTGGTTGTAGATTTTGAGGCTGATCTCATTTTAGATCAGCAGTTTATGAAATATGGGTAACATCTATATACCAAAATGTAAAATGAAGTGAAATCTGAGAAGTCTGGTATAAACATGAATTCATTATTTCAAAAAATATACATAATGAAATTTTGTCTCTCAAGTGGACAGAATTTTACAGTAACAGTAATGAAATAGTGTCCTACCACAGGGCACTTATACTTTCATAGCAGTTGTTATTAAATAATGTCCTCCAAGGGAAGCAAAACAAAAGTCATCAAAATGTTTTATTATTCTTGAATTTTATTTAATTAAAAAAGGTGTATTGTTGGAGGACACTATTTCATAACTGTTGCTGAAAATTCTGTCATCTTAAGATACAATTTCATGGCAATGAACATTATTTAATACTTTAATTCTGTGAAAAACTGCATGTACGGGGACACTTTTTCACAAGAATTATGTCTTACACATCCACCCCATACAATACAACAGTAATCAATCAGAGGTAGTATATAACCATTATAGAAAGTTTTCCTTGCCTCATTGTTAAGAAAATACTTAATTTTTGATAGTAAATAAATTCTGGAAGACATCTTTTTACAGATTGTGTCAATTTGCACTCTCCAAGTAAGACAATTGTCAATTCTTACAACAAGTAGTGTTTCACATGATGAATTGTGAATACTTTCTGATAGAATGTTCAGTTCTGGTTGACAAGTTTGTGATGACAATCTTGGTCAGGTTCCAATTAACATATATTTAGTTTTTTAAGTATTAAATATAAATAAGAAGATGTGGTATGAGTGCCAATGAGACAACTATCCATCCAAGTCCCAATGTGTAAAAAATAAACAAATTATAGGTCAAAGTACGGCCTTCAACATGGAGCCTTGGCTCACACCGAACAGCAAGCTATAAAGGGCCCCAAAAGACTAGTGTAAAACAATTCAAACAGGAAAACCAACAGTCTAATCTATATAAAAAAGGAGAATCGAGAAACACTTATGAACCAAACCAACAAATGACAACCACTGAACAACAGGCTCCTGAGTTAGGACAGGTGCATAAAAATGCAGCGGGTTTTTAACGTTTTAACAGGCGCCAACCTTCACCCTAACCTGAAACAGTGGTATAACATTACAATATAAAAAGACACACAATAAAATATCAATTGAAATGGCTTAACTCGATTAAAAAGACAATACACAAAAAGAAGTAAATATACACTGAACGAACAAGTTTAATCTATGACACAATATAAATAAAAAAGATTTTTCAATGTCAAAAAGACAACTTTAACCATGACAAAATGGCGTTAAATAAAGTACTGTACAGGTAAATTTAAATATAATAATTTTGTTTTTAGTACAGAAACATTTTTTACAAAATAAATTTGTTATTCATAGTACGAGTACAGAATCGAAATTTTTTTCGTCATACTAAATACTTATCAAAGGGGCTACATATTAAAAATAGAAAGACGAGATATAACACAAAATAAGTAAACATTGAATAACAGAAATGCATTAAAAATTGTGTCATCAGGTAAAGTTAACAAGTACATCTTATTATTATTACACCACTTTTCTATATAAAATAACTAAATAGGAAATATAAACAGTTGTTTTACAACTTCAAACCAGTTCAGTCTTTAGTAGGGCTGGTTATAAGGATCATATGATATCATCAGTGAAACCTTCTCTCTATCTTTAATGGTTTTTAAAACAGAAGCCAAAAACCAACAAAAAATGTCAAATTTGGCTTTTCAAGGGCAATAACTCCTATAAAGAGTTGTTTTACAACTTCAACCCAGTCAATTCTTTTGTAGGGCTGGTCATAAGGATCATTTAATCAATTGAAATTATCTATCTATCTTTCACAGATTTTAATATTCAACATGTAGAGGCCAAAAACAGCAAAAAACATCAAATTTGGCCATTCAAGGGCTAAAACTCCTACACAGAGTTGAATCTGTTGTAGAGTTGTCATCAGGATCATTTCATAAACTGAGAGCTCTGAACCTTCACGCTTTTTTTTTATGATAAAAGCCAAAAACAGCAAAAAACATATAATTTGGGCTTTTAAGGGCAATAACTCCTACAGGGAGTGGTTTTACAGCTTCAACTCAAGTTGAATCTTTTGTAGGGATGGTCCTAAGGATCATTTTATCAATCAAAATTTTCTTTCCATCTTTCACGGTTTTTATAATAGAGGCCAATAACAGCATGAAGTTGTAGATTCGATTACGTAATTTTACCTGTCAATGTCCTATCATTATTAATTAAAAGTGGAAGAGATTTACCTGGAGAATTGCTAATTAGCAAGTTTTCCTTATGACCAGCCCTACAAAAGAATAGATGAGTGTCACGAAATAATTAACAGAACGTTTATCATTCATTGTCAAGCACAATATAAATTAAGTAATCAATCGGTTGTAAACAGTGGATCTGACAAAGCTGATTGAAACAACATTGTAGGGCATTCATTTTGACAATTTTAATCGGTTAACTGGTTCAACCAGTTGAGCATTTTGTAAGCATTATAATTGACTGATGGCAGTGAAATATTCATTAGTTGAACATATGTTGAAGTGCATTTGTTTATTAGATATTGAACACTCTATGTCTCTTTACAAACTTGATTATCTCCCCTGAAAATGACTATTTGTTACCCATTTACTATTTGAAATTTTCTTTAGGGCTGAAGAAGAGTATCAAATTATATAAAAAGTGCTTCTTAAAGAAATGGATATGAAGCAAGATGATTTTATGTTGATATTTTTGCATGTTTCCATAATAACAACCCCAGAACATTCATTCATTTGTAATAAATACTCTTTTCACTACAGCATTTGAACAGAAGTAGCTAAACCCTTTAATCGCCAAGCTGTTAGATGATGAAGTAATTCAATTGACTATATGGAAAGTCAACTCCATAAACTCATGATAAAGCAGTTACAAAGAGATTAAGGGATAACCATTCCTCCATTTGTGAGATAGATAAACTACTGCACTTACCATGAATTAAACAACCAAGCAAAGATATAAAAATACTCCCAATCTATAAGACAAATAAATACCATCATGACTGTATTGCATTTGTGCTGTATTACCATAGTACTGTACTTTGAAACAAATGTCCTTTTAGATCTACACTGCCCTTATTAAGTCTTAGCTATATGTGTAATGCAGAATTGAAATAAATGTTGTAGTGCTTCCAAGTAATGATTATCAGTCTGCACCAAAATCTTTTCCAACATCTCAATCTCGCTACACTCCCCTAATTTAGGGGAGTGTAGCGTATCAGAACATCAGATTTTAATGAGATTGCCAACATCTAGTCCGGAGACCAATATTCCAACATTTTTCTTATGTGGCTGAACAAAGTTTTGCAAAAACTTACGTCTGAATAAAATTTTACTAGTCTGGGGCATCGCACTAGTGACTACCGGGGCAGACAGGATTATTCAACTTTTTTTGTCCTTGTCATTATGATCATAACTATACAAGGGTGTACAATGTGAGATTTGCACAACAACTAACTACACACATGGTTAAATTTCAATCCATGGAGATCCCTGATAATAGTCAAAAACTGTGAAAGTTAATAACTAAAATTCTGGCTCACACTTTGATAGAAAAAGCCTATCTGTAATTTAGCTGTCCACTTACTATAACCATGGAAGTATATATTTCATTTTACTTCCATGCTACATGTATAACGATATATTGATATTTAAAGGCATATATATGTTCTATTCTAGACAAAAAATAGAAATTTACGTCTCTATCCGTCAAAGTGTTTCAGAGAAATTATCAAGACCAGTTAGAGGGAAAATTAAAAGCTATCCCAAAAATAACATCGGAAAAGGAATCCAGAATCAAAGACTTATGGTCAAATTATGCCGTTCTATTTAGGAAACAAAGATATTCAACTTGATTTGACATGAAAAAAAAACTATTGTTATTTATAATACCCATTGTTAATAATTATAATTCATCCATTTCAATTCTTATCTTTGTATACATGTATTAAGACATATGATACATCCTAATGTTTTCCCAAGAAATTTGTGAAGGCATGGTAGAATTTGTATTATGAGGGCCCTCATTCATTAAAATTGATAATACTGGGGGCACCAAACATTGACAAGAGGGCAATATACTTTTTAAACCTTCAATAAACAGCTTTCTGTCTTCAACCTAGTGTGATTTTGTAAAGATGTCATAAATATGTTCTAACACAGCAGGATTACATGATAAGGCGAAAAATCAGTTTCAAAAGGTAAAATTAACATGATTAATCTAAATATTGTCACTAAGATTGGCTTCCAGGGGGGCGCATTGTAAAATTCATTTTGAGGGCAGCATGGTGCTAGATGATGAAGGCATGGTGCAGTGCCATGCTAAATTGGCCTATGGAAACCTCTACGTCCCACTTCATATTCATATTTGACCACAACTTTTTTTTCTCCTGTTGATCATTGTTGAACACTGATACGTGTCCTCTTTGTAATCTTTTGTTGGATGTCTCATTGAGCTAGTTTGGAAATATAATCCTAGATTTAAATGGACCATGTCAAATATCTTCTTTTCATCCCACCTAATCAATTACCAGTGACTATAATTTAACATTAAAAATTCATACATGTATTAATTCGACGTCTACTGTCAGATTTCTTTTTTTTTTTCATTACTTCATTTGTTCTTAATGGTTTCAGAAGGAAACTTTTTCAAAATCTTGTAAAGTCTAGTAACGACCAAGTTTTTGTTGAGGCTGTAAAAGAAAAAAAAATCGGAGTTGCAATTCTGAACTTTTTTATACTGTTCCCAGGATCAAGTAAAGCATGTATGAGGGGGGCAGGACCTTTTTCGGGACGTTGGGATGGGGAGTTTTTAAGCTCGGGATTTCGGGATTGATCCTTTCAGGATCCGGGAATTCCTTTTTCGAATTTCGGGATGTCAGGATTTAAATTTCTTTAAATTCTGGACCTCGGGATTTCATGTTTTTAAGCCCAGGATTTCGGGATCCGGACCCCTCATACCCCCCCCCCCCCCCCCTTGTATAGATTGGGTAGACATGGTAGATGAACAGTGTCAAATGTGCTAAATTTTGACCTACAATAAAAACTTTATATGTGTATATTAGCTGTACCTTTTGAACTTTACAGAGTCTTCCTCGTTTTCTGGTATATTTTTTAGCATATATTGCAAGTGGGATCCAGAGGATTCGTTCAATAGTCTTGTTCTGCATGATGTCATCTGCTCCACATCTTTCTTGTGTTCGTCAATATTTCTGTGATCATCATAGTCCCTAACGTTATAATCAAAGTAATATTTCAACCAATCTATAACAGGCTGAAAACATGTTGGTAATTTCGGTATAACAGGAGACGATGCTTTGTCTATCAGAATATTTAAATCAACAAGAGGTCTACTGTCATAAAATATGCCAAGAACATCTAAATGGTTTTGAGTCCACGATGAGACCTGTTTGGGGAATTCTCCAATGTCAGATTTACTAAGCTTTCTTTTTTTTACAGACGAAACTGTAGGGCTAACAGGTTCTTCCATATTCCACACCACGGGGAATATAAGTAAGGGGAGGGAAAGCAATGATAATATGCTGGGAAGATCTCATTCGAAAGATGTAAAATAACAAAAATTCCGAATTCCAAGGAAAATTCAAAACGAAAAGTCCTTTTCAAATGTAATAATCAAAAGCTCAAATACATCAAACGAATGGGAAAAAAGGTCATATTCCTGAACAGGCAGTTCCTTATGTAATATGATGGATCAAACCTGGTCACAAGTTTATATACTAATTTATAGGTAGCTATCTCTTGTATGACATTTTTTTCATCTGCTTACCGAGTCCCTGTGCCGTAAACACGTTTGTCTCTTACTTGTTTAATGGTCGGATTTTAATTTGATAAACAAAAAGACGTTACTTTATTGGGTTCTTTATATTTTATGGACGTTATGGTTCGTTAGAAAACGATATCAATATGCGGTTATTAGTAAATTTTTTAATGAAAGGTCATTTCCAAGCGCCATATTGATTTCACGCAGGAGGTTACATGTGCATGTTTTGATGTCAATAATAGCTCAAACAGGAAGAAAAAAAGAGATAAAAAACCCCTTATATATATTAGATAGGTAAATAAAGCTTTTCAGATGATGTGTTATATATCACGCTACTAGATCACAACATCATATTTGTTTAAATGTCCAGAAAAGTAACATAAAAACCTTTAATTATATTTCTCCCGTCACATGAATCAACAAGATAATATGAGCACGTAGTGAAAGAGTATTGTCGGCTAAAATCAGTATGTTTGATAACGGAATTCCGCGTATCATTAATAAATAGACCGGTAGCATGCAGCGATTTGAATCGTTCAGTCAACATGGAAAGGTCAAAATTACGTTCATTGCAAATTGTCAACAAATATCATAAGGACCATATGAGTTGCAACTACATTAGATACTAAGATAGAGCCTTTTGACACTGTCTTTGTGTACTTCTCAAAATTAACTCTCAGTTCAATCAAACTTGTGCAACTGAAAACGTTTAAAGCCTGACAGGACCAAGATATATAGACATATCACATCTTCTTATTTATATTTACATAAAATTTGTCTCCCAGAATCGTCAGATGTCCTTAAAATATATGTCAAATTAAAAACAATATAAACAAACTATCAAAGAACTTCGATAAATACTAAATTCTCAAAATAACAAAAAAACATTAAGATGTGATTGTGACATAAACAGTCACTAATCTGACAATTTATTGGTTTCTAAATTGCGACCTATTAAACTATATGAAATCAGATATGAGATATAAGAGTTTTAAAATCTAAACAATCGAATTGCTACCTTACTACACAAATAAACAATAAACATGATGAGATAAAAATGTAACCATTTACAAAAAAAAAAAAAAAAATTTCAAACCTATGTTTTTTTTCTCCTTACTTTCTTAATAGCTAGACAACAAATCTCTCTCCTCAATTGGCATAAAAATTATTATATTTATAACAGTAAAAAGAATAAATTTTGCTTTACCTCTATTATATATATTAGGTTATATTAAAAAAAAAAAAAAGATATCCATATAAAACCAAACATGTAAAATCCACTATTCATGATTTCATCATGTTCATGCACAATTCAATTGTTCATATTTTTTCTGTAATTATACATCTCATTTATGCCATTAACAATAATAATCAATGTCATACTCTTCACAAGAAAAATTAAAATATTTTTTTTATGCCCCCGCCATAGCGAAGGGGGCATTAAGTTTTACCCTTTTTTCGTCTGTACGTCCTAATGTCCCGAAATTGGTTTCCGTTCTCTAACTTTAGTTTGCCTCAATCAAATGTTATGAAACTTATACACAATGCTTATTATCACAAAATACAGATCAAGTTTGAATTTTGGTGGTGTCACTTTTACCGTTCTAGAGTTACAATGTACATGTATGCCTGTTTACAAATGGAAAATTGCTGAATTTTTCGTTTCTGCTCTCTAACTTAAGTTAGCCTCAACCAAATGTTATGAGACTTATTCACAATACTTATTACCACAAAACTCAGATCAAGTACAAATTTGGGTAGCGTCCCTTTTACCATTCTTCAGTTATGTCCCTTTATAACTTTATATTATATGTAAGCGGGGGCATCATCTGTGTCCATGGGACACATTCCCCATTTATTATCCTATATTTTTACAACAATTTATGCACATACAGTGTATATCCAATTTACAAAACGATGTGAATGTGCATGGTTTTGCAAGAAAACATGATACAAACTTGCATTGCAAATAAATATTTTATCCATCAATTCTACCTTCAGGTTATGGACAAAGGGAAATGAATCAAATTACGATATTGCAATGTATAATATTGGTTCACTGCATATATGCATTTGGATCATGTTGATGCAATCTTTACTCCTGAAGTGCTCAAACGAAATTTTATTTTTAAGTCTTTTCTTGCAGTCTCATATTTCAAATAACATAAATAAAGTGGATCAACAAATTTTTTGTATAAAAAATAATTTGAAAAAGTTATGATTATAAATGTCTAATAAATATTATATATGGATTATATATGTCATGTACATGTGTGTCTATGATTTATAATACCAGTATTATCAATTAAGATTTGTTACTGATTTCCTATCATGTCACTCTGTAGAGTAGACTTAGATAAAGACATCAAACTGAATGCTACCTCTTTGATAAAAATACTACGGCTATCACATTTCATACTACAAAAAATTGGTGAATATGTTGAACCCTAACATAGTACTACTCTTAAACCTATAGCTATAGTGCCCAAAGGTTTGTACTAGTTGGCTTTCAGTGTATAGTTCCCAGATTTCTATATTAGTCTTTTTAAACTTTTGTATAGGTGTCTCCCTCTTTCAGGTGAGAGGGAGAATAGACTCCCAGATTGGGTCCTTGCATTGGTGGAATGTATGTTCGCTTGAGTGGAAAAAAGGACAACAAATTCAAATCTCAATTAAGACAAAATAATAAAGATATAAGGTTCTGTTCTGAAGGTGGTAAGTTCTGCTTACTATGTAATAATCCACAATAACTGCATGTATATGCTTAAGTAATTATTTTCATAGTATTTCTCATAGACTTTATTTTCTTTTTCATATACCTTTACATAAATAAAATAGGAATATTCTTTGTTTTAAATATTCTTTGTTTTATATCCTCCTCAAAGTAGAAACTATTTTTGTTTTGGATTGTAGTATCATTATAGTTTTTCTTTGAGAAATTTTTTCTTCTGTATGTTTTAGAGTTGAAAATACGGGTTAAAGGAGGTTACCATTTGTATTTTGTACCTTTGGTCATCATTCATTTATGTGCACTTAACTAATATTTATCTGTCCATTAAGCATTGCCATGGTGGAGGGGCATTAAGTTTTACCCTTGTCTGTACTTCCGTATGTTCCAAAATTAGTTTCCATTCTCTAACTTTAGTTTGCCTCAACCAAATTTTATAAAACTTATACACAATGTTATTACCACCGAACACAGATCAAGTTTGAATTTGGGTGGCGTCACCTTTACCGTTCTAGAGTTATGTCCCTCTATAAATGGTAAAATTGCTAAATTTGTCGTTTCCTTTAGTGTCCCTCAACCAAATATTATAAAACTTATACAGAATGCTTATTACCACCAAACACAGGTCAAGTTAGAATTTGGGTGCCGTCCCTTTTGCCGTTCTTGAGTTATGTACCATTGTAAATCTGTTTCCCATGGACACATTCTTCATTTATTTTATCCTTAAATTGGAGATTAAACAAAACAGCAGAAGAATAGAGGAAATATTTTAATCCGGGACTAATATGTGAATTTTTGCCTCGCCTGTGACGAAAGTCACAGTATACAAAACAGGGATTATTTGTATAAAGCTTTATATTTCAGGAGGTAGAAGACCTGGATGCTTCATACCTTTTTACAGATGCCTTATGTTACGAAGTTTCCGTCTGTCATATGTCCATTGCCCTTGACCTCATTTTCATGGTTCAGCGACTGCTTGAAATTAAATTATTGTTTTTTTTTTTGTCATGTGAATTTTTCACTTACTATGTATGAGTAATAGGATAACTATATTTGGTATATGGGTTCCTCTTGAAGTTCATGTCCGTCAGACAGGGTTCACCCGACCTTGACATCATTTCATGGATCGGTGATCAAAGTTAAAGAAGTTATGTGATAAGGTCCGTTTCTTAGATACTATATTATAATAAGCAGTAGGTTATGTGGTGTATAGAATGATTGATTGTAAGGAGTACATGTCATTCTGGCAAGTTTCATCTGACCTTGACCTTATTTTCATGGTTAATTGGTGAATGTTTAGTTTTCGTATTTTGGTCTGTTTTTCAAACAGTATAAGCAGTAGGTCAACTATATTTGGTGTATGTAATGATTGTAAGATGTACATGTTTGTACATGTCTGTCTGGCAGGTATAATATGGCTTTGACCTCATTTTTGTGATTTATTTGTCGATGTTAAGTTTTTGTGTTCTGCCCATTTTTATACGACCGCAAAAAAATTTTGTGGTCGTATATTGGTATGACGTTGGCGTCGTCGTCGTCGTCGTCGTCCGGCGTCGTCGTCCGAATACATATTGGTTTTCGCACTCTAACTTTAGTTTAAGTGAATGGATCTTTTTGAAATTTGACCATAAGGTTAAATACCACAAAAGGAAGGTTGGGATTGATTTTGGGGGTTATGGTACCAACAGTTAAGGAATTAGGGGCCAAAAAGGGGCCAAAAATGAGCATTTTCTAGTTTCCAGACAATAACTGTGGAACGGTGTATGGATCTCTCTGAAATTATACTACAAATTTCCATACCACAAAGGGATGGTTAGGATTTGCTTTGGGGGGTTATGGCTCAAACCGTTTAGGAATTAGGGGCAAAAAAGGGGGAAAAACAAGGTTGTCCTGGTTAATGGACAAATACTTTAGTACAAAACATAATTTAAAGCAGTGTAAGGGAGATAAATCAAATACATCATTGAAATTATCTCCCTTACACTGCTTTTAAATTATGTATAAAGTAATGGTTAATGAACAATAAAGATAATCTAAAACAGTGTAAGGGAGGTAATCCAAATACAACGTTTTGGTTACTTCCCTTACACTGCTTTTAAATTATGTTTAAAGAAATGCATATTTATAAAGGAAGACCAGTAAAAATATCTGCAAATGTTTTCATCTTTTTTTTTTACAAAAAAATCCATATGAAAGATTTGACACTATATTTTTATTAATTCTATTATAAAATAGATTAAGTTAGCACTATGGTAAATTTAAATGGGTAATTATGGTTGCCAACTCCATTGGAAATTTGAATTGAGATTATGACCATATCTTGAGGGAAAGAATTTTTTTGGGGGAAAAAGGGGGAGGGGGATAAAAGAAATTGTGGGGGGCCAATTTTTTTCTCATTTCAGATTTCAGAAATTAAAAAGAATTATTCTTCAAATATTATTTTTTTTTCAAATTTCAAATATTGAAAAATTTCAAGAAGTAATCTTTAATTGCACAGTATGGCGCATTAGATTTGTAAAATCTTTGATCACATTTATTTATTTGTTATGCCGAATCTAACAGTGTATTTAGATTTTTAATTTTGGGTCCAGTTTTCAAATTGGTCTACATTAATGTCCAAAGGGTCCAAAATTAAACTTTTTTTGATTTTAGCAAAAATTGAATATATGAGGTTCTTTGATATGCTGAATCTAAACATGTATTTAGATTTTTGATTTTTGGCCCAGTTTTCAAGTTGGTCCAAATTGGGGTCCAAAATTAAACTTTGTTTGATTTCAACAAAAATTGAATATATGGGGTTCTTTGATATGCTGAATCTAACCATGTATTTAGATTTTTTATTTGTGGACCCCTTTATCTAATTGGTTCATATTGAGGTCAAAAGGGTCCAAAATTAAACTTTGTTTGATTTCATCGAAAATTGAATTATTGGGGTTCTTTGATATGCCAAATCTAACCGTGTTTTTAGATTTTTAATTTGGGTCCCGTTTTTTAAATTGGTCTTCATTGAGGTCCAAAGGGTCCAAAATTAAACTTAGTTTGATTTTAACAAAAATTGAATTATTGGGGTTCTTTGATATGCTGAATCTAAACATGTGTTTAGATTTTTGATTATGGGCCCAGTTTTCAAGTTGGTCCAAGTTGGGGTCCAAAATTAAACTTTGTTTGATTTCAACAAAAATTGAATATATGGGGTTCTTTGATATGCTGAATCTAACCATGAATTTAGAATTTTTATTTGTGGGCCCCGCTATCAAATTGGTTTATATTGAGGTCAAAAGGGTCCAAAATTAAACTTTGTTTGAATTCATCAAAAATTGAATTATTGGGGTTCTTTGATATTCCAAATCTAACCGTGTATTTAGATTTTTAATTTTAAGTCCCGTTTTTTAAATTGGTCTACATTAAGGTCCAAAGGGTCCAAAATTAAACTTAGTTTGATTTTAGCAAAAATTGAATTCTTGGGGTTCTTTGATATGCTGAATCTAAACATGTGTTTAGATTTTTGATTATGGGCCCAGTTTTCAAGTTTGTCCAAGTTGGGGTCCAAAATTAAACTTTGTTTGATTTTAACAAAAATTGAATATATGGGGTTCTTTGATATGCTGAATCTAACCATGTATTTTGATTTTGGACATTGGACCATAATAGGTAAATTAAAAAAATTCAAGTTCTTAGACCACATTCTTTCTGTGTCAGAAACCTATGCTGTGTCAAATATTTAATAACAATCCAAATTCAGAGCTGTATCAAGCTTGAATGTTGTGTCCATACTTGCCCCAACTGTTCAGGGTTCGACCTCTGCGGTCGTATCAAGCTGCGCCCCAGCGAAGCATTTTATTTTTTATAAAAGCAATGAGTCAACTATATTTGGTGTATGGAATAATTGTAGGGTGCAAATGTCTGTCTGACAGGATTTATCTGACCTTTACCTCATTGCCCTGGATCTTTAGAAATGTTAACTTTATGAGATACTTGTAGTATAACATTTATCTTCAAGACTTTCAACATATATGTCATAAAATCATTGGTAAGTAAAGCCATGAAAGCAGGCGAGACATTTTGAACAATTGCACTCTTGTTATATATTGGTCCCAGTTTAAATTCACAATTACAAAAGAATAATAATTGATTTTGTTGGGCAGGGAAGGAAAATCTGAAAAAAAACATAAGAAACCAACTTACTTACATGTATAGTTTTGCACCTTACTCCTTTCTCTCATTTTTTCTGGGGCTCCTGTTGTTCATTGTTAAGTTTTATGTGTAGTTACTGTAGTGTACTGTAGAATTATATGTTTTTTTTTCCTTTTTTGTCATGGTGTTTTCTGTTCTTCTTGGACTTTGCTTGGTTAATGAATATTGATTGCTGCCTATGTGTCTTGTACATATTTGTTTGTGCATAATATGAAATATCAAAAAACATAGCCAAAACAGAAAACATTTAGGATACTGAGCGAACATCTCAGAAAAATATAACTATCAGTGCTAGAAATAACGTTTTTTATTTACACCACTGGAACACTTTATTACATTATAGTTTACATGTACAGTCAAACCTGTATTAAGAGACAACTCAAGGGAGAAGGCAAAAGTGGTCTCTTAATACAGGTGGTCTTTCAATACAGGTTCCACAATTATTTTGTAAAAAATTGCTATCAATGATAGAGAAGCTGGGAAATGGTCACTTCTGATTTTGCACAAATTATAAATCCAACATTGTCATGTAATTTTATTTTGTCCCCAATAAAGATAGCAAAAAGGTATACAAATGTATATCTGTTCATACTCGGCTTGTTTGTAACTGTACAATCACTTGACTTACTATTGACATAGAAAAAACACATCTCCACCAAACTAGTGTCTATTTTATTTTAATATGTAGTTCAGATAAGAATCTGTATTTGATTGAGATTTGAATAAGATAATTTATGAAAGGGAGGCTAATCTGTACAGGGTGAAAATATCTGAAATCAGCTTCTAAAACATTGAATGGATTAATTTTGCAAAAATCTTTTCAATTTTTACTTTGGAGTGTACATGTAGTTCAGTATCCTGTATTTGGTTTCTGCATTAAGGGTTCATGAGGAGATTAAATTTTGAGTATCAACGATCATCATGATCACCTGGCACAATATATTATTTTGACAGGTATGAGAAATTTTATCACATACATGTATGATAATGATTCTGACACACATTGAAAATGAAATGGTGTTGGCCATTAAATAAACCCCCAATATTGATTTGATATGATTTATCATGGGACTTAAAAGATTTTGAATCTTGAAGGCTTTTTGCATTCAGCTTATATCATATTGCCATCTTGTATTCTTTCTCACAGTTATATTGTTCTAGTCCTTCTGCTTCAGACACAGGGAAGATGGTCATAGTCTGTCTCTCAGCTTATAGTTATAGTTAAACACATAGATTGTACTGGTTGAATATTCAGGCTGATCACATTGAGATAAATATTAGTTTTATACATACACTGGTGCAAACATTCTTTACCGATCAATTAATGTATTTGTTATGTCAGCCTTTTAAATATTCTGGACAGAAAGGTTATTTAATTTTTTATGTTAAAATGTTAGTTGTTCATCATGTCATGTTTATGGCCTCAATAATCGACATTAAATAAGTTTTCTTTTCAAGGTAATTGAACTATTTATGAATAGTAAAGTTTTGTATGTTCTCCAATGTTGCTATAGGTCAATACTGCCATTTTATATTTTTATATAAGTATGTAAATGTTTGAGGTCCTAAGTTTAAAATAGAAGTTGATAAGAGAATACAAAATTGATTTTATCCTATAATATTATAGGTTAAGTCTTTAAAAGTTTTAGCTATCGTCTGTTTAACAAATACAAAGAAACTGTATGGTTTAAAATACAATTTAAACAGAGGGTTCTTGTTTGTTTACTGTTAAGAGCATAGTTTACTTTTTGTTGATGTTTTTTATCAAATTTGAGGGCCAAATAGTGACAGTGGTTTTTTTTGTTGATATAATTAGCAGAGTTGATTCCCAAAGTTTATCAAGGAATAGTGAATAGATTCTTAAGTTCAGAAGGAATTATTTAAAGTAAATTGACAGTAAGTTTTTAAATGTATTCATTTATTGATGAATTTTAAGTACACAGAAAAATATGTATTATCGTCAAGATTTTTACAAGTGTAAAAACTTATATTGTACTGTTAGAAGTGCCATTGAATTTGCTGATGTATGATACTTGAATATGCAAATGTATGCATGTAAAGAGAATCCCTTTAAATATACATTTGTGTACAAGCATGACAAGGTAGAATACATATTTAAATTGTATTGTAAATTTACAGATGACATGCTGCATTGTTTTGCCTCACTTTGGTTGCATGGTTATTTTTACTGTTGGGTAATTCTGTGGTTACATTGATCTATTTTTGGCATTGGTTAACACAACTGATCAAACGATAAAGAAGTGTGTGCAGTTATTATTACAAATAAACAGTCAAGTTTAGGAATTTTATTAAGTGGACATTCTTTGTTTTCATGATTCCCCACATTGAGATCTTATACTGACTTTGTCACATGATATTATAGCTATATAAAGGAAATGCTTTTATAATTGATGAAAGCTTCAGAAATTGTGGGTCATTCCATAGTTTCAGTGTTCTATTTTTAAATTGGTTTATAATGAAGTGCATTTATTGCAGAACAGAATAACATGCATAACATTTAGTGTTTGTAAATTATACATTGATTATAAAGTGGTGATATTCACTATAAACAAAAGAGAATTTTTATCATTGAACAGTAAGTATATCATAATTGATAAACCAAATTCCTTCTGTACTATTAATGATAAAACAGAGAAACTTCATTTCTGATAAGATCAGAATAAACATATATATATACATGTATATATATATAGCAGTAGGGTACTACAAAAGAAAAAATACTCCATGAAAAAAATCATGAAGATGGATTGAGGAAGTTCATAATTAATTTTCTAAGAAAATCCCGCATATATCACATTTATTTCATCTTTTTATTTCCTGCCTCTTGTCACTGAGAGGTAACGTAGGAGATGACTATTTTTAGATTAGGGGAATCCCCAAACATTTCCCTGGGATCTATATACAAGTGACTGAAGCAAGTAAGTTTTCTCTCACTTGTATACATTTTTTAATGTTAATCTTGTATTTAGTAACTCTGTTATGTTTTATTTTATGATTAAAATGTATTTCTTTAAAATATGTCATTGCTTCAACCTTGAAATAGGTCACTCAGATCACCTGATATTTACATTTAAATGATGATGTTATATGTTTAGAAAATGTAAATTGAAAACATAAAGAAAAATATTTTTAAACCATTTTGAATTGATAAATATAAAATATGTCATGTATGTAATTGCTGTAGTTGTAAGATGTAAAAAAAAAAAACACATTTATAAATCAGTGGTGAAATTTGTTTGTGTCATAAAAATAAATCTTTATTTTACTAAAAATATCAAAATTTCACCACTTTGTAAGTGTAGTTGAGGGGTCTATAGGAACACACTTTGCACATATCCAGATATATATCTCAGGTATTGTACTGGTGAGGCTCATCATAATCCTCATGTACATGATATAAACTGGTCATGTAATCAAATTTTGTACCACATCAGAAATAGTTTAAAATTTTCACAGTACAATTATTGTAGCAAGTCAAAATATTATCACTGACCTAAGAATGCAACTACAATTCAAATATATAATTATCTACATTACGTTTTTTTTTTCCTTTTACAGTGAAGAGTTTAGAACATTTAAACGACAATATGTCAGACTCAGATTCTGATGTGCCTGCTCTGGTTCCTTCGTCTGATGAAGAGGATGATGTGAAAGTGATTAAAACTAATGGTATTATATTATTATATTTTTCAACGTTAGATTTAATAGCCCTCAAGTTCTATGCCTCACTGATTTGTAAAGGACTGGTTTTGTTTGGTACCAATAATAAATAGATATGAGTGCAATCTATTATGAACCATTCAATCAATGCTTTTCAAATTTTGATATGTAGTTACTGATGACAAAATGGAGGTCAAATTTAATACTGGCAATTTTTACTTCTACCTTTCAGGAGTTGTGGTCCTTTTTAGATTGGAAAGTTACACTTTATGATGTTCCTGTGTAATAACTTATGAACCATTAGATGCTTTTAATATATATTTTATTTATATGATATTACTGATGACAAAATGAAGGTCAAGTTTGATATTGATGATTTTTATTGTTACAGTGCAGGTGTTATGGTCCTTGATTATGATAGATTGGAAAATGGCACTTTTTTGTTCCCTGCAATTATTAATGAATCATTCAACCAATGCTTTTCAAATTTAAATATGTTGTTTTTGATGACAAAAATGGAGATTTAATTTGATATTGATAATTTTCACTTCTACAGTTCACAGTTCAGGTGTTCCATAACCCTTGTGTATTAGAAAATTTCAGATTTTAATATGAGGTCAAGTGTGCTATTGACAATCTTCACTTTTAGGGTTCAGGAGTTATGGCCCTTGATAGATTGGAAAATAGTACTTTATATCATTTCCATGCAATTTCTTATGAATCATTCAACCAATGCTCTTCAAATTTTGATATGGTGTTACTAATGACCAAAGTGGAGGTCAAGTTCAATACTGACAATTTAACTTCTGCTGTTTAGGAGATATAAAAGATTGGAAAAAGTAACTTTATGTCATTTATATGTAATTTCTTATGAACCATTCAACCACAGCTTTTCAAATCTTAATACTTTGTTACTGATGACTTAATTGAGTTCAAGTTCAATAATGATGATTTTCACTTTTGCCATTCAGGATTTATGTTTAAAAAACAATTCTACTTTAATTTGAAAATCTTTAAAAATACTGAAAAGGTGAGAAAACAGAAAAAAAATAATGCCCAGTTATATGATTCAAAGGGGAATTATGCTAAATGTTATTTAGAAATGCAAATATGGAGAGCGAAATAGTAAGTCAGCAGGAAATTATTTCAGGGAAAAGATTGTTCTTATAATGAATATAATTATTCAAAAATTTTCACATAAGCACATTCAGTATTAGTTTCAGTTTATCTTATTCTTACAATTTCCTTTATGTAAAATACATTTTGAAAATACATCAAAATTAATTACAAGTTTCCATTGTTTTTTTTTTTATACACTACATACATTTTTAACAAGTCGAAGTTGTTTGAGATTTTATTTAATGGAACCAAAAAAGTATTGTAATGGTAAGACAAATATACTATAGGTCAACATTCTTCATGAATTGGAAAAACTATTTGTTAAAGATTTATTTCCATTTTCAAAAAAAAAACTGAAATATATTCTAAATTTAAAATCATTGCAGTACTTAAATTTTACATGTTTGGTATGAATTGAATGATCAAGGTCATCATACGAGAGACTTGCATATACAATGTGCATCACTGCATTAATATTTTGAAATAGGTACAATTTGCTTTTTTTTTCCAGATGAATGTGTGGACATATGGTTATCAAAGAATGTGAAGTTTCTAGAAAAACAAGAACACAACATCCACATATTCTCACTTGGACCATTCATAATGGGATTGGAAACATTTATATCAAAGCCATGGATGTTCTGCCTTAATGATGCTAAACTATTAACTGACAAAGTGTAAGTTTTACTAAGTAACTAAAACAGCTCAAGCCATGGATGTTCTGCCTTAATGATGCTAAACTATTAATTGACAAAGTGTAAGTTTTATTAAGTAACTAAAACAGCTCAATACATATTCAATAAATTTTATAACTCTGTTTGATTTTGAAGTTATTATGTATTAGATATTACATGTATATGGGAAGTCACTTTTGCTAGGATGGTGTTTGACTGTTAGAGTTATTGACAACAATGCTGCACAATTGCAGTTGACTTTTTGGGGATTATTTAAAGGTTTTAATTTGAGATTTTACTACATACATTGCATCATTTTTCTGGCTTGAATTGTTTGTGCTTCCATTTTACCCATGACATCAACCAAATTCTGTATATCCAGGAAAATGTTGAATATACACACCATGTTCCAAAATACTGTTGAAAGTTATGTTATCCTATAAGATTTACTAATTCGGTTGTACTTTTCCCTTTAATTCTTATATATGATTACTAGAGTTTTTGTTGTCTTTAATTGTTTAACAGGCGTCGACGTCTGCTTCACAGGATGAAATACAAAATTCTATTCATGTACAAAATACACACAAAAAAAGAACTGATGAATGGAAGACCCACCAAATTTAAAAGGTAACACCACAAATACTTGAAAAACAACTAAAAATAATAGTATTGAAGACAGAAAGTGGCAGCAGAATATTTCAGACTAAAATGTATTTGTAAAGTGTTGTTGAATAGAGAGAAAAATGACAAGATTGCAGGACAGAGCAACAACTAGCTTAAAGTGTTCATCAGGTCTTGAGTTTCGGTAATGCCCTCCTGTAAAAACAAAAAATAAAACTTAAAACAAATAATCTTTTGATGCAATCAATAAAGTAGCAAAATTGTTACATTCCAGGAAAACTGGTGATGTATTTATAGACTGTAATAAGTTGCAATAATATAAGAATTCCAATCAGTTGTTTATGCATACACATCATATAGAAAATAGTTGTGACCAAAAAAAATATGGCGGTTTATTTATTATTGACTGTCATCATGTTTATGTATTCATGGTATTATCTAAAGAATGCAGATTTTGTTTCATACAAAATTAACTCATCCATTTTTTTCATCGTTAGTTTCAAAACTTAATTTATATTTTAATTATGTGACAAAAATTAAAGAGCATCAAGAGCTTACAATAAATATTATCTACCAAAGCTACTTTTCTTTGCAATAAACAAGTTGCAGTAAATTATGCTATGTAAATGTAAGTGCACAGATTAACTTTCAGTAGTTTTAGATTTGATATACCGTTATTCAAATGAAGTAGGGTGTTGCATACCTGTATTATCAGTATATATTTGGATTGCTTTTGATTTGCAGGTACAGAGAGAAAACTGAATATTCCAAGTTAACTGAAGATGAATGGGCAAATCTAGATATACTTGATGTTGTTACAAAACTAGTTGTCAAGAAGATGGTAAATAAAGATATTTTATATAAGAATAAGGAGATGTCCATCAGGAAATGGATGACTACGTGGAATTTGTGACGTTGATCTTATCACTACATTATTTAAGTGTGAAATAAATGAATGGGTGTACTTGAACAAATTTCAGATTTTTTAGCTCACCTGGCCCAAAGGGCCAAGTGAGCTTTTCTCATCACTTGGCGTCCGTCGTCCGTCGTCGTTAACTTTTACAAAAATCTTCTCCTCTGAAACTACTTGGCCAAATTTAACCAAACTTGGCCACAATCATCATTGGGGTATCTAGTTTAAAAAATGTGTCCGATGACCTGGCCAACCAACCAAGATGGCCGCCATGGCTAAAAATAGAACATAGGGGTAAAATGTAGATTTTGGCTTATATCTCTGAAACCAAAGCATTTAGAGCAAATCTGACATGGGGTAAAATTGTTTATCAGGCCAAGATCTATCTGCCCTGAAATTTTCAGATGAATCAGACAACCCGTTGTTGGGTTGCTGTCCCTGAATTGGTAATTTTAAGGAAATTTTTCCGTTTTTGGTTATTATCTTGAATATTATTATAGATAGAGATAAACTGTAAACAGCAATAATGTTCAGCAAAGTAAGATCTATAAATAAGTCCCTTAAGGAGTTATTGCCCTTTATAGTCAATTTTTTACCATTTTTCGTAAATTTTTGTAATCTTTTACAAAAATCTTCTTTTCTGAAACTACGAAGACAAATTTAACCAAACATGACCACAATCATTATTAGGGTATCTAGTTTAAAAATTGTGTCCGATGACCCTGCCCGCGAACTAAGATGGCCGACATGGCTAAAAAATACTACATAGGGTAAAATGCAGTTTTTGGCTCATATCTCTGAAACCAATGCCTTTAGAGCAAATCTGACGAGGTTTAAATTGTTCAATAGGTCAAGATCTATCTGCCCTGAAATTTTCAGACCAATCAGGCAACACGTTGTTGGGTTGCTGCCCCTGAATTGGTCATTTTAAGAAAATTTTGCAGCTTTTGGTTATTATCTTGAATATTATTAAAGATAGAGATAAACTGTAAACGGCAATAATGTACAGCAAAGTAAGATCTACAAATAAGTCAACATGATCAAAATTGTCAATTGTCCCCTTAAGGAGTTATTGCCCTTTATAGTCAATTTTTTACAATTTTCATAAATTTTGTAAATTTTTGTAAATTTTTACACAATATTTTCCACTGTAACTACTGGGCCAAGTTCATTATAGATAGAGATAATAGTAAGGAGCAAGAATGTTCAGTAAAGTAAGATCTACAAACACATCACCATCACCGAAACACAGTTTTGTCATGAATCCATCTGTGTCCTTTGTTTGATATGCACATAGACCAAGGTGAGCGACACAGGCTCTTTAGAGCCTCTAGTTTTATTTGGGAAAAGTATGAAATTCCTGGTTAGTAAGATGATCTTAAGTTATAGAATCAAGTAGATTTTAAGGTCATATAAAATTGTTTTCAAATTCAAAAAGACTTGTAACTAGAATATGTTTTCATATGAATTTATCATTTGCTATTAATAAAATTAAAATAGCAAGCAAATATGTGTATTGCATTACTACTTCATAGTTGGAATTGTCACAGAAATTCTTGAAATTTATTATCTATCAATATGAAAAGTCAAGATATCTTTGAAATCTATCAAACAAAAGCTAATCCAGGACAGTTTTGCCATGGAAGTCTTAAGAAACATGTATAGATTGTAATTAAATATCTATCAAACAAAAACTAATCAGGGACAGTACACCCAAGAAAAAGAATTTTAGATAATTATCAAACAAAAGCTACTTCAGGACAGTACACCTAGGCATAGTCTAAATGCTGTGGGGTATGTCTCTTCCTATATCAAGGTATACACAGATGTCTTTCAATAAGATATCTGTATTAATGCTGTTTTATCTGTTTAAATCAAATTAATGTGTAAAAAATTGCACATGTGATAACTGAGAAGCATGAATGGCTTTTGATTTTGCCTTGATATATATTTATGGGTCGTAATTTTCAACAGACTTCAATATATGAATGGGGTGCTTTTTAAATCCCAGCAGCAGCAGGTCTGTACCGAAAATCCCATGTTGAGTCCAAGAAATTATTAAAATTTAGTATCCAACAAACAAAAGCTAATCCAGGAAAGTACATCTAAGCATAGACCAAGAAATCATTGAAATTTAGTATCCAAAAAACAAAAGCTAATCCAGGAAAGTACATCTAAGCATAGACCAAGAAATCATTGAAATTTAGTATCCAACAAACAAAAGCTAATCCAGGAATGTACATCTAAGCATAGACCAAGAAATCATTGAAATTTAGTATCCAACAAACAAAAGCTAATCCAGGAAAGTACATCTAAGCATAGACCAAGAAATCATTGAAATTTAGTATCCAACAAACAAAAGCTAATCCAGGAATGTACATCTAAGCATAGACCAAGAAAACATTGAAATTTAGTATCCAACAAACAAAAGCTAATCATGGAAGGTATACCTCAGCATAGAACAAGAAATCATTGAAATTTAGTATCCAAAAAAACAAAAGCTAATCCAGGAAGGTACACCTAAGCATAGACCAAGAAATCATTGAAATTTAGTATCCAACAAACAAAAGCTAATCCAGGAAAGTACATCTAAGCATAGACCAAGAAATCATTGAAATTTAGTATCCAACAAACATAAGCTAATCCAGGAAAGTACATCTAAGCATAGACCAAGAAATCATTGAAATTTAGTATCCAACAAACAAAAGCTAATCCAGGAATGTACATCTAAGCATAGACCAAGAAATCATTGAAATTTAGTATCCAACAAACAAAAGTTAATCCAGGAATGTACATCTAAGCATAGACCAAGAAAACATTGAAATTTAGTATCCAATAAACCAAATCTAAACCAGGAAGGTACACCTGGTACGTCATTGGCTAAAGCAGGTCTAGTAACCGCTCAACTCCGTCTGTCATCTGTCTGCCCGAAATAAAACTTTCATCTAAGTTTTCTCCGCTTCTATGAAAGGGAATAATTTTATATTTGGTCTGCAGCTTTATAATGTTGATTTGTAGTAAGTTAACAATTTTTAGATCTACCATGTAGCCACTTCCTGTTTGCCAATAGTTTGAAATTTTACAACACTCGTTGTACAAGGAAAATTTTTCTTGGCATCAGTGAAAGAGAATGATCAGTTATGCTACAGTATACATATTATCTCAATCAATTTCATGCAGCAATGCATCTCCAGACCTGGTATTAGCCTTGTTCATATTTGAATTTTATTATACCCCACGCAACGAGTTGCGGAGGGTATAATGTTTTTGACCCGTCCGTCCGTCTGTCAGTCTGTCCGTCCGTCAGTCCGTCAGTCCTATTTCTTGTCATCGCAACTCCTCTCAAAACACACAACAGAATTTCACGAAACCTTTTTATACGACCGCAAAAATTGAAAATTTTTTGGTCGTATATTGGTATGACGTTGGCGTCGTCGTCGTCGTCGTCGTTGTCGTCCGAAGACACATTGGTTTTCGCACTCTAACTTTAGTTTAAGTGAATGGATCTCCATGAAATTTTACCATAAGGTTCAATACCACGAAAGGAAGGTGGGGATTGATTTTGGGGGTTATGGTACCAACAGTTAAGGAATTAGGGGCCCAAAAGGGCCAAAAATAAGCATTTTTGTAACTTCCAGACAATAACTTGTGTGTAAGTGTATTGATCTCTCTGACATTGTACCACAAGGTTCCATATCACAAAGGGAAGGCTGTAATTGATTTTGGGGGTAATTGCCTCAAAATTTTAGGAATTAGGGGCCAAAAAAGGGGAAAAAAATAAGCATTTTTCTAGTTTCATGACAATAACTTGTGTGTAAGTGTTTGGATATTTCTGAAATTGTACTACAAGGTTCCATATCACAAAGGGAAAGCTGGAATTGAGTTTGGGGGTAATTGCCCAAAACGTTTAGGAATTGGGGGCCAAAAAGGGGCCAAAAATAAGCATTTTTCTAGTTTCCAGACAATAACTTGTGTTCAAGTGTATGGATCTCTCTGAAATTGTACTGCAAGGTACCATACCACAAAGGGAAGGCTGGGATTGAGTTTGGGGGTGATGAATCATAAGGGGGTTCAAAAAATTTTGGGGGGGGGATTTTTTTTTTTCTTTTTTTTTCTTTTTTTCCTTTTTTTTTTCTTTTAAAATTTTCCATTTTAAGTTGGTTATTTCTGATTAATATTTAAAAGCAAATAATAATGATATGGTAGGAGATACACACCAAACAGGATGTGTAAATTATTATATAATAAGTATTGTGCAATAGCAAGAAATTTTCAATTGCACAGTATTGCACAATTGCAAGAAATCTTCAATTGCACAGTATTGCGCAATAGCAAGAAATCTTCAATTGCACAGTATTGCGCAATAGCAAGAAATATCCAATAGCACAATATTGCGCAATACCAAGAAATTGTCAATTGTACAGTATTGCACAATAGCAAGAAATATTCAATTGCACAGTATTGTGCAAAAGAAGATACTTCGTATAAATTGCTTATTTCTTGATCAATTTCAATGGGGTTTTATTCTTGAATTCTTGGGGTTCTTTAATATGCTGAATCTAACCGTGTATTAAGTTTTTGGATTTTGGGCCCCGTTTTTAAATTGGTCCACATTGAGGTCCAAAGGGTCCAAAATTTAACTTTGTTTGATTTCATCAAAAATTGAATTATTGGGGTTCTTTGATATGCCGAATCTAACCGTGTATTTAGATTCTTAATTTTTTGTTCCGTTTTCAAATTGGTCTACATTAAGGTCAAAAGGGTCCAAAATTAAACTTAGTTTGATTTTAACAAAAATTGAATTCTTAGGGTTCTTTGATATGCTGAATCTAAACATGTGTTTAGATTTTTGATTATGGGCCCAGTTTTCAAGTTGGTCCAAGTTGGGGTCCAAAATTAAACTTTGTTTGATTTCAACAAAAATTGAATATATGGGGTTCTTTGATATGCTGAATCTAAACATGTATTTAGATTTTAGATTTTTGGCCCAGTTTTCAAGTTGGTCCAAATTGGGGTCCAAAATTAAACTTTGTTTGATTTCAACAAAAATTGAATATATGGGGTTCTTTGATATGCTTAATCTTACCATGTATTTAGATTTTTTATTTGTGGGCCCGCTATCAAATTGGTTCATATTGAGGTCAAAAGGGTCCAAAATTAAACTTTGTTTGATTTCATCAAAAATTGAATTATTGGGGTTCTTTGATATTCCAAATCTAACCGTGTATTTAGATTTTTAATTTTGGGTCCCGTTTTTATACGCCCGTTTACGGGACGTATTATGGTATACCGTTGTTACGTATTATGGTATACCGTTGTCCGTCTGTCCGTCCGTCCGTCTGTCCGTCCGTCTGTCCGTCGTCAACATGTCGGACATTAACTCAAAATTGCTTAAACCAATTTGCATAAAACTTTGGTGAATTGTTTATATCTATTGACGTGAGCTCCCTTTCGTTTTTTATAAAATTTAGATTTTACGTTTCCGAGTTATGGGGTTTTATTCATTAAAAAAAGGGGGATTTTCCAGTTTTCGGACAATAAGTCAAGAATGCTTTCACCAACTTGCAAGAAATTGTGGTGAATTGTTTATATCTATTGACATGAGCTCCCTTTTGATTTTTATAAATTTTAGATTTTACGTTTCCGAGTTACGGGGTTTTATTCATAAAAAAAGGGGGGACTTTCCAGTTATCAGACAAAAACTCACAAATGCTTTCAGCAATTCTTATGAAACTTTGGTGAATTGTTTGTATGTATTGATGTAAGCTCCCTTTAGAATTTTATAAATTTTACATTTTACATTTCTGAGTTATGGGGTTTTATTCATTAAAAAGGGGTGATTTTCCAGTTTTCTGACAATAACTCAAAAATGCTGTCACCAATTCTCATGAAACTTTGGTGAATTGTTTATATCTATTGATGTAAGCTCCCTTTTTATTTTCATAAATTTCTAATATGACATTGAGAATTAATTATACTTTATTTGTTTATAGTCTGACAACAGATTTACTAAGTATTGCACAACAGCAAGAAATCTTTAAGTGAACATAAATTCAATTCATATAACCAATTTCAAGTTCTTTGAATACATTTATTCAGACACCTATAATATGTCAAATATTTAATTACAATCCAAATTCAGACTTGAATCAAGCTTGAATATTGTGTCCATTTTTGCCCCAACTGTTCAGGGTTGGACCTCTGCGGGCGTATCTAGCTGCGCTCAGCGAAGCAGTTTATTTAAATTGGTCTACATTAAGGTCCAAAGGGTCCAAAATTAAACTTAGTTTGATTTTAACAAAAATTGAATTTTTGGGGTTCTTTGATATGCTGAATCTAAACATGTGTTTAGATTTTTTATTATGGGACCAGTTTTCAAGTTGGTCCAAGTTGGGGTCCAAAATTAAACTTTGTTTGATTTCAACAAAAATTGAATATATGGGGTTCTTTGATATGCTGAATCTAAACATGTATTTAGATTTTAGATTTTTGGCCCAGTTTTCAAGTTGGTCCAAATTGGGGTCCAAAATTAAACTTTGTTTGATTTCAACAAAAATTGAATATATGGGGTTCTTTGATATGCTGAATCTTACCATGTATTTAGATTTTTTATTTTGTGGGCCCCTTTTTTAAATTGGTCTACATTAAGGTCCAAAGGGTCCAAATTTAAACTTAGTTTGATTTTAACAAAAATTGAATTCTTGGGGTACTTTGATATGCTGAATCTAAACATGTGTTTAGATTTTTGATTATGGGACCAGTTTTCAAGTTTGTTCAAGTTGGGGTCCAAAATTAAACTTTGTTTGATTTCAACAAAAATTGAATATATGGGGTTCTTTGATATGCTGAATCTAACCATGTATTTTGATTTTGGACATTGGACCATAATAGGTAAATTAAAAAAATTGAAGTTCTTAGACCACATTCTTTCTGTGTCAGAACCTATGCTGTGTCAAATATTTAATCACAATCCAAATTCAGAGCTGTATCAAGCTTGAATGTTGTGTCCATACTTGCCCCAACTGTTCAGGGTTCGACCTCTGCGGTCGTATCAAGCTGCGCCCAGCGAAGCATTTTATTAGATAATAAGGACATACTATGTAGTTGTGCATATCGACAGGAAATTACGATTCAATTTTTTTTCTAGGAGTTACGCCCCTTTGAACTTATTTACTTTAATGTACTACTGCAACAGTTTGTCATCGCAACTCCTCTCAAACCACACAACAGAATTTCATGAAACCTTTCCAGATAATAAGGACATACTACATAGATGTGCATATCAATAGGAAATTACGATTCTATTTTTTTTCCAGGAGTTATGCCCCTTTGAACTTATTTGCCCAATATACTACTGCAACCTTTTGTCATCGCAACTCCTCTCAAACCACACAATAGAATTTCATGAAACCTTTTCAGATAATAAGGACATACTACATAGATGTGCATATCGATAGGAAATTACGATTCAATTTTTTTTCCAGGAGTTACGCCCCTTTGAACTTATTTGCCCAATATACTACTGCAACCTTTTGTCATTGCAACTCCTCTCAAACCACACAACAGAATTTCATGAAACTGTGTAGATAATAAGGACATACTATGTAGATGTGCATATTGACAGGAAGTTATGATTCAATTTTTTTTTCTGATACAATTTTTTTTTCTTACACTTATTTTATTTCTCCAATGACAATGTGGGGACGTGGGGTATGTGAGTGCGCTCACTAAGGTTCTTTCATTAAATCTCAATAGATTAATTTGCCTTCAATAGCACTGATTTTGAGATATATTAAAGTTGAGTTGTTGGTCAAAACATTTAAATGCATAGATTAGGAAAAAGCAGAACAGAGAAAAAGTTTAAGAGATGATGTGCATATATCCATGAGCGATAAAACAACGAAAGCATAAAACATACTCAGCAATGCAGATGAAAGACATTAAAAAACAATATTTTATTAATGCTTGTGTATTATTTTTATCATACCTTGTTCTCTAAGAGTAATTCCCTGACAATGACTGATATAACAATCTCTAGCAAGAGTGATTTTTATCTGAACAACCTAACATATAAGGTAGTCATTGTCAAACTATTTGTAAAGTTAATCAGATATGATTGCAGAAAAAAATATCAGATAATTAAAAAAGCACAAGCTCAAGTATTATTTGAGAATAGGGTCTTTATTGACCCAGTTCACAAATTTGTTTATATGTTCATGAACTCTTCTTTAAATTACAGACACATGTGGTAATTTTATGTCTACTTAGTGGGAAGATATATACTTTTCAGCTGACAACACACAGCTAAATTAAACCCATGTTAGCAAAAGGGAAACATATGTTGAGGATAAGTCAATAAATGACTTTTAATTCTGTGGATACTAGTTTTTTTAACACAAGAAAAAAAATATTAACATTCTTCAGTTAGTGTCATCATATGATGCTTGGGTTAATAAATTTCTTGCATCTACCTCATTAAAAGTTATGAACTGTATATTATTGCATTTCATGATTGATCAATCATAAAAACAAGCTAAAAAAAAGATAAGTTGGCATAATAATTGTATGATTTATTTGGTCTTGAACCACCTTAAAAGATTTTTATTTTCTGTTAAATCAGATATTTTTGCAATGTTTTTATTATTGTGAAAATTGCAACGGGATATGTTTCGCAGAAATAAAGAATCAAATTTTAGGATAGAAAAATCATTTATATGTTTCCCAATATCTTTTTTTATCCAGCGCAGGAGGAAGTTTTTGGTGAATACACTGAACATGATAGATAAGATTGAAGAGTTTAACAGAGGGGATGGAATTGATGTAAAACATTCAATACAGACAGCCACACGATATGATCACATTATTGACTTTGTGTGGTAAGCTTGAATATATAAAACATTAAATACAGACTGCCACACAATATAACCACATTAATGACTGTGTGGTAAGCTTATATATGTTCCAGACCATATGAGTATTTGGACCATATGCGTATGGTCATGACCATTTGTGTATATTCATATGGTCCAACCATATGAGTATATATATATATATATACTCATTTGAATATTAACGAGCCGGACCATATGAATATTTAGACCATATAGGTATTTTTCGTATAAATTCTAACACACAGCTCGTTCTCCAAACCAAAAATCGGTACAAGTTACTGAAATCCTTTATCTTTGACATGTTGTCTAAATCTTTATTTGATAAATTAGTTTATCTTCTAATTAAAAGTGCCTTTATCCTGTTGGCTTTTTAGTCCAAAAGTAAAACCAAGTTTTGGGAATGGACTTTTTCTTCTTTCCCCGGTATATAGATTATTTAATTTTTTATGCCCTACCTAGGGGCATTATGTTTTTCGGTTTGTATGTCCGTTTGTTCGTCCGTCCGTCTGTCAAGTCTGTCCTGCTTCAGGTTGAAGTTTTTGGTCAAGGTAGTATTTGATGAAGTTGAAGTCCAATCAACTTGAAACTTAGTACACATGTTCCCTATGATATGATCTTTCTAATTTTAATGCCAAATTAGAGTTTTGACCCCAATTTCACGGTCCACTGAACATACAAAATGATAGTGCGAGTGGGGCATCCATGTACTATGGACACATTCTTGTTTAATTCTCATTTTTAGCTCACCTGGCCCAAAGGGCCAAGTGAGCTTTTCTCATCACGTGGCGTCCGTCGTCGTCGTCGTAAGCTTATTACAAAAATCTTCTCCTCTGAAACCACTGGTCCAAATTTAACCAAACTGCCACACAATCATTATTAGGGTATCTAGCTTAAAAAATGTGTCCGATGACCCCGCCAACCAACCAAGATGGCCACCATGGCTAAAAATAGAACATAGGGGTAAAATGTAGATTTTGGCTTATATCTCTGAAACCAAAGCATTTAGAGTAAATCTGACATCAGGTTAAACTGATTATCAGGTCAAGATCTATCTGCCCTGAAATTTTCAGACAAATCTGACAACCTGTTGTTGGGTTGCTGCCCCTGAATTGGTAATTTTAATGAAATTTTGCAGTTTTTATACGACCGCAAAAATTAAAAATTTTTTGGTCGTATATTGGTATGACGTTGACGTTGGCGTCGTCGTCGTCGTCGTCGTCGTCGTCCGGCGTCGTCCGAAGACACATTGGTTTTCGCACTCTAACTTTAGTTTAAGTGAATGGATCTCCATGAAATTTCACCATAAGGTTCAATACCACAAAAGGAAGGTTGGGATTGATTTTGGGGGTTATGGTACCAACAGTTAAGGAATTAGGGGCCAAAAAGGGGCCACAAATAAGCATTTTTGTAACTTTCAGACAATAACTTGTGTGTAAGTGTATGGATCTCTCTGACATTGTACCACAAGGTTCCATATCACAAAGGGAAGGCTGTAATTGATTTTGGGGGTAATTGCCTCAAAATTTTAGGAATTAGGGGCCAAAAAAGGGGCAAAAAACAAGCATTTTTCTAGTTTCATGACAATAACTTGTGTGTAAGTGTTTGGATATTTCTGAAATTGTACTACAAGGTTCCATATCACAAAGGGAAAGCTGGAATTGAGTTTGGGGGTAATTGCCCGAAACGTTTAGGAATTGGGGGCCAAAAAGGGGCCAAAAATAAGCATTTTTCTAGTTTCCAGACAATAACTTGTGTTCAAGTGTATGGATCTCTCTGAAATTGTACTGCAAGGTACCATACCACAAAGGGAAGGCTGGGATTGAGTTTGGGGGTGATGAATCATAAGGGGGTTCAAAAAATTGGGGGGGGATTTTTTTTTTTTTTTTTTTTCTTTTTTTCCTTTTTTTTTTCTTTTAAAATTTTCCATTTTAAGTTGGTTATTTCTGATTTATATTTAAAAGCAAATAATAATGATATGGTAGGAGATACACACCAAACAGGATGTGTAAATTATTATATAATAAGTATTGTGCAATAGCAAGAAATTTTCAATTGCACAGTATTGCACAATAGCAAGAAATCTTCAATTGCACAGTATTGCGCAATAGCAAGAAATCTTCAATTTAACAGTATTGCGCAATAGCAAGAAATATCCAATAGCACAATATTGCGCAATAGCAAGAAATTGTCAATTGTACAGTATTGCGCAATAGCAAGAAATATTCAATTGCACAGTATTGTGCAAAAGAAGATACTTCGTATAAATTGCTTATTTCTTGATCAATTTCAATGGGGTTTTATTCTTGAATTCTTGGGGTTCTTTAATATGCTGAATCTAACCGTGTATTAAGTTTTTGGATTTTGGGCCCCATTTTTAAATTGGTCCACATTGAGGTCCAAAGGGTCCAAAATTAAACTTTGTTTGATTTCATCAAAAATTGAATTATTGGGGTTCTTTGATATGCCGAATCTAACCGTATATTTAGATTTTTAATTTTGGGTCCCGTTTTTTAAATTTGTCTACATTAAGGTCCAAAGGGTCCAAAATTAAACTTAGTTTGATTTTAACAAAAATTGAATTCTTAGGGTTCTTTGATATGCTGAATCTAAACATGTGTTTAGATTTTTGATTATGGGCCCAGTTTTCAAGTTGGTCCAAGTTGGGGTCCAAAATTAAACTTTGTTTGATTTCAACAAAAATTGAATATATGGGGTTCTTTGATATGCTGAATCTAAACATGTATTTAGATTTTAGATTTTTGGCCCAGTTTTCAAGTTGGTCCAAATTGGGGTCCAAAATTAAACTTTGTTTGATTTCAACAAAAATTGAATATATGGGGTTCTTTGATATGCTGAATCTTACCATGTATTTAGATTTTTTATTTGTGGGCCCGCTATCAAATTGGTTCATATTGAGGTCAAAAGGGTCCAAAATTAAACTTTGTTTGATTTCATCAAAAATTGAATTATTGGGGTTCTTTGATATGCCAAATCTAACCGTGTATTTAGATTTTTAATTTTGGGTCCTGTTTTTTAAATTGGTCTACATTAAGGTCCAAAGGGTCCAAAATTAAACTTAGTTTGATTTTAACAAAAATTGAATTTTTGGGGTTCTTTGATATGCTGAATCTAAACATGTGTTTAGATTTTTGATTATGGGACCAGTTTTCAAGTTGGTCCAAGTTGGGGTCCAAAATTAAACTTTGTTTGATTTCAACAAAAATTGAATATATGGGGTTCTTTGATATGCTGAATCTAAACATGTATTTAGATTTTAGATTTTTGGCCCAGTTTTCAAGATGGTCCAAATTGGGGTCCAAAATTAAACTTTGTTTGATTTCAACAAAAATTGAATATATGGGGTTCTTTGATATGCTGAATCTTACCATGTATTTAGATTTTTTATTTGTGGGCCCGCTATCAAATTGGTTCATATTGAGGTCAAAAGGGTCCAAAATTAAACTTTGTTTGATTTCATCAAAAATTGAATTATTGGGGTTCTTTGATATGCCAAATCTAACTGTGTTTTTAGATTTTTAATTTAGGGTCCCGTTTTTTAAATTTGTCTACATTAAGGTCCAAAGGGTCCAAAATTAAACTTAGTTTGATTTTAACAAAAATTGAATTCTTTGGGTACTTTGATATGCTGAATCTAAACATGTGTTTAGATTTTTGATTATGGGACCAGTTTTCAAGTTTGTCCAAGTTGGGGTCCAAAATTAAACTTTGTTTGATTTCAACAAAAATTGAATATATGGGGTTCTTTGATATGCTGAATCTAACCATGTATTTGGATTTTGGACATTGGACCATAATAGGTAAATTAAAAAAATTGAAGTTCTTAGACCACATTCTTTCTGTGTCAGAAACCTATGCTGTGTCAAATATTTAATCACAATCCAAATTCAGAGCTGTATCAAGCTTGAATGTTGTGTCCATACTTGCCCCAACTGTTCAGGGTTCGACCTCTGCGGTCGTATCAAGCTGCGCCCAGCGAAGCATTTTATTGGTTATTATCTTGAATATTATTATAGATAGAGATAAACTGTAAACAGCAATAATGTTCAGCAAAGTAAGATCTACAAATAAGTCGGCATGACCAAAATTGTCAGTCGACTCCTTTAGGAGTTATTGCCCTTTATAGTCAATTTTTAACAATTTTTCGTAAATTTTTGTAATCTTTTACAAAAATCTTCTTCTTTGAAACGACTGAGACAAAGTTAACCATACTTGGCCATAATCATTATTAGGGTATCTAGTTCAAAAAATTTGTCCGATGACCCCGCCTTTCAACCATCATGGCCGACTTGGTTAAAAATAGAACATAGGGGTAAAATGCAGTTTTTGGTTTACATCTCTGAAACTAAAGCATTTAGAGCAAATCTGACAGGTGGCAAAAATATTCATAAGATTTAGGTTTATCTGCCCTGAAATTTTCAGACGAATTCAACAACCTGTTGTTGGGTTGCTACCCCTGAGTTAGTAATTTTACAGAAATTTTGCAGTTTTTTGTTATTATCTTAGATATCATTATAATATCCAATATCTAATACTATTAATTATGATTTTAACCTTATTTTACATGATTTCCAAAGCATCAGTAAATACAGGTGAGCGACACAGGCTCTTGAGAGCCTCTAGTTACCTTTTTCACTAAATTGATGTGCTTTTGTTCCCATTCATATGATCTTAAAATATCAGTAGTGTATGTACAGATAACTAAAAATAATTTAAAACATTTTTTTTTACTAAAATCAAATTAAAACATCAAAATAAAAAGAAAAAGGTTGAGGTTGCAATGCCCCAAGTGCCTGTGAGTAAAACAGTTGAATTCATGTTAAACAAATAAAAAATGACTGTAAAAATGCTTTAACTTAAATTTTAATTTGAGTAAAATTCACTTTATTTCATTAATCATGTAACAATGGTTGCCATGTTATTAAATAAGCCACAAATAGAAAAACTTAATTAATGATTCATCGTATTCAGCATCCGATCCATACACGTATGGAGGACCATAGTGTGTATATGCATATGATCGTAACATATATAAACCATCCAATACAGACTGCAACAAAATACAATCACATTAATGACTTCGTGTGGTAAGCTTATATATAAAACATTCAATACAGACCTCCACACGATATAATCACATTAATGACTTGTTCAGATTTGATTCAAATAAGAAAATGTAGGATAAAATCTCTGTTAAATAATATTGGACAAAAAAATAAATTTTTGAAAGATTATTATTTTTAGTGTATCCAATTATGTGCCTGATTAAGACAAGAAAAAATATAAACCTCAGTCCACAGTCCCAGTAAATATAAGTTTGCTCAGAATTCTGAATGTTTAAAGATATATATAATTAATATACAGTTTTTGGTTCAAGGATATTTGGGTATGCAAAAACTAATATTATGGCATTATGTAAGCTTTCTTTGAAGTTTGCAGATACCTTAAGATATTTACAAGGCTTCTGAAATGTACCTTTTACTAGCCCACATAATTATACCCAAAGCAAAGTTGAAATTTTATGAAACGTTGAAGATAATAAGGACATACTATGTAGATGTGCATATCAAGAGGAAATTATGATTCAATTTTTTTTCTATGAGTTATGCCCATTTGAACTTAAAATTTTGGCCTTAATATTCTACTGCAACAGTTTGTCATCGCAACTCCTGAAACCAAACCACAGAATTTCTTGAAACTTTGTAGATAATAAGGACTTACTATGTAGATGTGCATATCGACAGGAAATTATGATTAAATTTTTTTCTAGAAGTTATGCTCCTTTGAACTTTGAATTTATAATTGATAATGAAAACATAATATGTTGATGTGCATATTCACAGGAAACTTTTATTAGTTGACTTTTGTAGGAGATGAGTCTTTTAATTTAGGAATATTACGAGATTTTGTTTGCCCAGTGACAAAATGGGGATGTGGGTTATACGTGTCATCTTGAAAGCTGCAAACTCATTTATGCCTTTTTATTCTTTTTTTTTCTGTATTTTTTAGGGATAAAGCCTTAACATTGCCCCAGTTAAGAGACAAGCAACAAAAAGTAAAATTTGCAGCATTGTATGTCTGTAAATTGTGTAAGTATGAAATATTCTTATTTCATATAATTATTTATCTGTGTTTTTATACGACCGCACAAAATTTTGCGGTCATATATTGGTATCACGTCGTCAGCATCGTCCGAAGACATTTGGTTTCCGGGACAATTACTTTGGTAAATGTAAATAGAAATCTATGAAATTTAAACACAAGGTTTATCACCACAAAAGGAAGGTTGGAATTGATTTTGGGGGTTATAGTCCTAACAGTTTAGGAATTAGGGGCCAAAAAGGGGCCCAAATAAGCATTTTTCTAGTTTCCAGACAATAACTTGTGGAACGGTGTATGGATCTCTCTGAAATTATACCACAAGTTTCCATACCACAAAGGGATGGATAGGATTGGCTTTGGAGGGTTATGGCTCAAACCGTTTAGGAATTAGGGGGATAAAAGGGGGAAAAAACAAGGGTTTCCTTGTTAATGGACAATCACTTTTAAGTACAATGTTAAATTTGGATTACCTCCCTTACACTGCTTTAAAATTATGTTTAAAGAAATTTTGTATTGTCTTGAGGTGATTAGCTGTCAATTTAATTTTAGAAGTATACTAATAAAAATGCTGATTAAAGATATATTATTTTTAGACATGATTATGTATGTCATTTTCTATTTTAAGACTTTTATGATGTATTTAAATGGGTAATTATGGTTGCAAACTCCAATGGAAATTTGAATTGAGATAATGACCATATCTTGAGGGAAAGATTTTTTATTTGGAAAAAGGGGAGGTGAAAAAAAATGTGGGGGGGGGGGGGGGAGGGGGTCAATTTGCAACAGCATAGTGTATTGCACAAAAGCAAAAAAAAAAGGGGGGGTAAATTTTTTTTTTTGGGGGGGGGGGGAGCGGGGAGCGGGGATCAATTCGCAACAGCATACTGTATTGCACAAAAGCAAAAAATTGAATATGAATTTAAATCATATAACCAATTCTAAGTTCTTGAGCTACAGTTATTCTGTGTCAGAAACCTATTATGTGTCAAATATTTAATTACAATCAAAATTCAGACCTGTATCAAACGCGAAATTGTGTCCATTTTTGCCCCAACTGTTCAGGGTTGGACATCTGTGGTCATATCCAGCTGCGCTCGGCGAAGCAATTTATTATTATTAACCATGTTTTGTCATTTGATAAAATATGCATATCAATGTAATAAATATTTATAACCTTTTCCATAAAAATAAGTATCCAGATGGTGAATTTGGCTATGACAATTATAGCTTATAATGAATCTTCCTTTTTTGGGTAATACTACTGGTTTACTGCAGCAAAGAGCAATAGTAAGAGGCAGTTTTTCCAGTATCATTGTTTTTAAATTTTGTAACTTCATGTCAGTTTAGTAACAGTGTTTTTGGAACTCTACTCTGTTATAATTTTTTATCTGTTTCTTACCATTGCTCTTCATCCCAGGGAACCAGCGCTTCTGTCATGGAATATGTATGACGCGTAAGTTGTATCCCTATAAAGTTTTTGAGACAAATCCTTTTTGCATTGAACTAACTTTTGGAAATGGACTTTATGTGATGATAGTATTATCTGAAAGTCGTAAACAGATCACTGCTGCCTTTTGTAGTTGTTCCTCTTTTATCATTATTGTGTTTTTGTTTTTAAACTATTTTAGGTGAAGCAAAAACTGTGATATAAGTCTGCCTTACCTAACAAGGATTACAATAGTGAATGATCTGTGCAGTGAAGGAGTAGTAAACATGTACTGATAGTTGAATATGAACAAATACCCACAATAAAAGCATCTTGCTTTGCAGGAACTTGTCCAAGACACAAAACATTTTCTATATTATCAGATAGTTCAGACTATTCTATGTTAATATGTACTGGACACATTTAATATTGAGTTGTATAACAAAATATTTTTTTACAGTTGTACAGATACATCTTTTGATAATGCAGACTGAAATATTTTAACAAAATTTGAATATTTTCCAGGCCACACTGTAATTACAAGTCTTGCTAGAGAAGGAAAAGATATTGCTGAAGATTTCAAAAAATTAATTAGGGCAAAGGTAAGTTTCTGAATTATTGGTTCATATTAAGGATCACTAGCAAAAACAATCATTTGAAACATCTTGTGAAACTCACAATAAATCAGTAGTCAATATCTTTGAAAGTTAACCTTTATCTAAAATATTTCCCATAGACAAATGAGCTCACCATAAATTTCTGTTCTAATGTAAAATATATCATGCTTGATAAAAATTATCTCTCATAGACTCATAGATATCAACTCTATAGATATAGGTTGAAGTCTTCCGATATTTAAAAACAAATCAGTAATATCTTTATTATCAGAAAGAGCTCAGACATAAATAAGTAAGAAACTTGGGAGACATGTCAGATTATGCATTTTTATGACTATGATTTTAAGTCAGAAAATGCTTAACTTATTAATGTCATTTTTGTCGAGCCTGCGACTTTTGTTGCAAAAGCGAGACATACATGTAGCGATCCTACATTCCGTCGCTGGCGGCGTCCACAAATATTCACTCTGTGGTTAAAGTTTTTAAAATTTTAATAAATTTCTTAAACTATCCTGAATTTCTACCAAACTTGGACAGAAGCTTGTTTATGATCATAAGATAGTATCCAGAAGTAAATTTTGTAAAAAAAAAAATCCTGTTTATCCGTATTTTACTTATAAATGGACTTAGTTTTTCTTCCAGTTAACATTACATTCACTCTGTGGTTAAAGTTTTTAAAATTTTAATAACTTTCTTAAACTATCCTGCATTTCTACCAAACTTGGACAGAAGCTTGTTTATGATCATAAGATAGTATCCAGTAGTAAATTTTGTAAAAAAAAAAATCCTGTTTATCCGTATTTTTCTTATAAATGGTCTTAGTTTTTCTGCCAGTTAACATTACATTCACTCTGTGGTTAAAGTTTTTAAAATTTTAATAACTTTCTTAAACTATCCTGAATTTCTACCAAACTTGGACAGAAGCTTGTTTATGATCAAAAGCTAGTATCTAGAAGGAAATTTTGTAAAAATTTATATCCTGTTTTTCCGTATATTACTTATAAATGGACTTAGTTTTTCTTCCAGTTAACATTACATACAGTCTGCATTTAAAGTTTTTAAAACATTTATTAGATTCATAAACCATCCTGGATTTATATCAAACTTGGATAGAAGCTTCTTACAATCAAAAGATAGTATCTAGAGGAAAATTTTTAATAATTTTTCCCCCATTTTTGTTGAGCCTGAGACTAACAGCAATAGTAGGCGAGACACTGGGTTCTGTGGAACCCTTACAAATTTTTTGTTCAATGGAACTTGAAATTTTAGGTATTTTGAAATATGTAACAATTTGTTAAAAACTATGAATATTTGTATGATGATTTTCAATCTCAAACCTACCTTTACACAACAAAGAGTGTTCATTAATGAATGGATTCATTTGAAAGTTGTAATCGTTTGAAACATTTGATAATTCAACTGAATAAAGAAAATGAAGTATTGTGAATAACAATGTCAAAGCTCCCTATAGAAAATTTTCTCAGATGGAGATCTTTTGCTTTTGAGGTTCGACAAGTTGGCACCTGTGTAAACATAAAGTCTACAATATAAAAGCCTGTGTAATATCCCTTTCCTATTCTTTTCCATGAGTAATCATATTTCTAATAACTTTCAGTACACCAGAAGCATGTTTTTGAAGTTTAATAATTTAAAACAAAAATATATTCAAAGCCATTAGGATTTTATCGTTTTTACTTTTGTTGCTAAACTTTTTCACTGTGAAAATATTACAGCTTTTAAAAGTTCAGTATTTCTATGAAATATATATGTTTAAGTGATCAACTTTTATACTTACATTATTATTCTTAAGGACAATTTTAACTGTTTTTGTCGAGCCTTCGACTTTTGTCGAAAAAGCGAGACATAGCGATCCTACATTCCGTCGGCGTCGTCGTCGTCGTCGGCGGCGTCCACAAATATTCACTCTGTGGTTAAAGTTTTTGAAATTTTAATAACTTTCTTAAACTATCCTTGATTTCTACCAAACTTGGACAGAAGCTTGTTTATGATCATAAGATAATATTCAAAAGTAAATTTTGTAAAAAAAAAAATCCATTTTTTCCGTATTTTACTTATAAATGGACTTAGTTTTTCTGCCAGGAAACATTACATTCACTCTGTGGTTAAAGTTTTTGAAATTTTAATAACTTTCTTAAACTATCCTGGATTTCTACCAAACTTGGAAAGAAGCTTGTTTATGATCATAAGATAGTATCCAGAAGTAAATTTTGTAAAAAAAGAATTCCATTTTTTCCGTATTTTACTTATAAATGGACTTAGTTTTTCTGTCCGTTAACATTACATTCACTCTGTGGTTAAAGTTTTAAAAATTTTAACAACTTTCTTAAGCTATCCTGGATTTGTACCAAACTTGGACAGAAGCTTGTTTATGATCATAAGATAGTATCCAGAAGTAAATTTTGTAAAAAAAATATAGTTTATCTGTATTTAACTCATAAATGGACTTAGTTTTTCTTCCAGTTTACATTACATTCACTCTGTGGTTAAAGTTTTTTAAAATTTTTCTTAAACTATCCTGGATTTGTACCAAACTTGGACAGAAGCTTGTTTATGATTAAAAGCTAGTATCTAGAAGGAAATTTTGTTAAAATTTTGTTCCATTTTTTCCGTATTTTACTTATAAATGGACTTAGTTTTTCTTCCAGTTAACATTACATACAGTCTGCAGTTTAAGTTTTTAAAACATTTATTAGATTCATAAACTATCCTGGATTTTTACCAAACTTGGACAAAAGCTACTTACAATCAAAAGATAGTATAGAGAGGAATATTTTTATTAATTTTTTTCCTCATTTTTGTTGAGCCTGCGATTAACAGCAAAAGTAGGCGAGACACTGGGTTCCGCGGAACCCTTACGAATTTTTTTAGTTTAAAGGATTTTATGCTTATCACTTAAGATTTGTGGATGGGAATTAAACCAACTAAGATCCTATTAAGAAAGTACTTAATGACAGATATATTTTGCTTTTACCAATTTAGTTAAAAGGGTAGAGTTTACATGGGAAAATCTGAACTTGAGTAGCTTTATTAAAAAAAAAACCCAGGTGGCATAGTTGCAGATGAGTAATACTGACTTAGCAAGAGCATTTAGCCTTACAGTTAACCTTTAAGAAGAAATTATTGGATTAATAGTCCCCTTCTTTAGACTAAATGTTTTCACTCCATCCCTCTGTTTGTATTTTTTAGATCTGTTTTCATAAATAGTCATATACCAAGAAGTTACAGATCAAATTCTAGCTTTGTTCTAATTGAGTGATTTGTATATACGGTTTCCTGTGTGTCCCTCCGTTCATCAGTCCTTCAACACTTCGTATGATAACTCAAATATGCTGTAACCGATTCTCATGTAATTTTAATACAACAGGATTGACAAAAGAAAAATCCGTTTTGATTTAAATTTATTTTGCTTTGTCGTTCCCAAGTTACAAGTCTTTAAGCATTTGAATTAAGGCAATGTTTAACATATCCCAGTATACCTGGATGGATTTCCTCAAAACTTGGCATTGTTGTTGAGATTGATAAAAGGAAGCTCCTTGCCAGTCTTCCGTTAACTTTTGCGAAGATCATTTCCTCTGAAATTAATGGGCCAAATTTAACTTAACTTGGCCAAAATCATTGTTGGTGTATGTTGTTAAAAAAAATGTGTCCGATGACCCCCTGGCAGACATGGCTAAAATTAGAACATAGCGGTAAAAGTTTGTCTATTATCTTGAAAGCCATTATGGATAGAGAAAATCTGACAGGGCCAAAAATGATCCTATTAATGAGATCTACCTTCTGTCTATTTACATCAAACCTGTCAGATGACTTCTTGTATGAGTTATTTCCCTTGAATGACAAATTTTACCAATTCATTTTATTTTTTGCCTATTTTCTTGAAAATGATAATTGATAAACATAAACTTTATATAAATGTAGCAAAAATGATCATCAAGACAAGATCTACAAATGAGTCTAATAGCCGAAATGGTCAATTCACCCCTTATTGGAGTTATTTCCCTTTAATGATGGTTTTTTTTTTTTCGCCTTATATCTTGAAAAGTATATAAGATAGATCAAAAGTTTAAAAGAAAAAATGATCAGCAAGACAAGTTCTACAAATAAGTCTAATGGCAGAAATCATCAGTCGACTCCTTATTGGTTGGAAGTTCTTGCTCAAAATGTTGATATTTACCATTTTTTTGTGTTTTTGACTATATCTTGAAACTATAATAGATAGCAAAAATGACCAGCAAGACCAGATCTACAAATGATTCAACTTGGCTGAAATCCTCAGTCAATTCATTATTGCAGTTATTGCCCTGTAATGATGTTTTTTTTACCCTTTTTTTTTGTGTTTTGGGTGAAATTAAAGAAGATAGAGAGAAATTGTAAACAGAAAAAATATCAGCAATACAAGATCAACATAAAAGAGATTTTTGTCATGAATTATAGTCTTTTAATGAATATTTTATACAACTAATGATAACATGAAAACTTCTAATTACTTTAGCAACTATTTTTTCTCAATTTTAATTGAAAATTCATCAGACACTAACAATGGAATGCTTGTCACATTTAAGTTTAAATTTATCCAACGTTACCCTTAGAATGATTGTTTTACAGTGTGGTGGTGTTGAAAAAGCTTTGGATTTTAAAGACCAAGGGAATAACCAGTATTCTAAACAAAAATACAGTGAGGCCATCAGCTTATACACTGATGCTATTAAAGCAGAGTAAGTGTTCATAATTAAGATAGCAGCATTAGTTAAAGCCATTATCACAATTTGACATTGCTTTTATGACAAAGAACTGATATAAAAAATAAAAGGAGAAACATATTTTTATCCATTAGACATTCATTGTTGAAATGAGCATCTGGTGCAGTACAATTGGTTCCAGTTAATGTTATTTATCCAAAATTCAAAAAAACTTCCCCCATAATCAGCTACACTTAACTTAATTGTAGTCCTCAATAAGGATCCATATATATAAGATTAATATACAGTTAACCCTATTCTCGAACTCAGTTGACTCGAAATTTTGGATGAGTTGAAGTTTTCCCATGGTCCTGAACTTTGTCCCATATAAATATATGTATTTTGACTCCTGATGAGTCGAAATTTTGGTTGACTCGAAACCAAATTTACAGTCCCAAGCAGGGCTTCCAAAAAATATTTGAGCCAGCTGGACATTTTATATCTTATCCCGATTTTAATCCCTTTAGACTTAGTAACAAAAGGCAATTATGGTAATCAGTTGGCCATCATATAACCAATGATTGACATTAAAACGATATTTAACTTTACTTTGATATAAATTCGATGTTCTGACGTAAACTGTTAAATTGAAAGTGCAATCATTCGAAGTGTGCAACATCAGCGTTCTTATTCTGCCTTAGACTCTTTATTTGTGCAAAATAACGTTGTCAAAAACTTTACTTTCGTTTTTAAAAAGCACATTTTCCTAATCCGGATATTGACTTGACAATGGTAAATCACGGACCGGAGACGGATACGTAAAATCCGTGTACGTTCACAAAGCATGATTGAGTTAAGTAGCTCTTTCCAAGTTATTTCTTCAAGAAATTACTCGAAATGAACGTAAGATAAAGGTATCAATGATAATTTTAGCATTTTTGAAGAATTAGGATGCATAATTAAATTTCCCACCAGTGCACATGCGCACACGTGTACTAGTTCAAACAACGTGGTTCTGACGATTATTCGTTTAAAACCTTTTTAAATTTTTCGTCAAATCATATTTATTAACGTATTTCTTATAATTTCAATCTTTCAGACTAAATTAATTAGATGCAAACTGCTGAAATGTAAGAAAATAACTTTGAATACCCTTTAGCGTACCACAGTATTTAACACGATGTACAGTGTTTAAATATAATAATGAATATCATACAAATTCATTTATAAATATTTTTATTTGAAGAATTATTTTAAAATCTCAGGATACTTTTTTTAAAACTGAATGCTCAGTTAAAATAATATCTACAAAGCGTAATTAAATAGGATGTTGTTCCATACACGCTTACATGTTTGACCTCGTTTACCTGATCACCTTTATGTCCATTGTTATGCATCATTAATTCTATTGATTAAGACAAGCTAAGGACACCTCATCAAAGGTAACAACCTGTAATCAGTGAATGATTTATGGCTTCAATACTACTATTGAAGTGATAATTGTTTGACAGCTTGTTGTTATTTAAATAAAAGAAAACGTGTTTTTTCTACTTTGTATTGATGTACACAAGCTAAAGACCAAGCCATACATTTATGTACCCAGAGGATTAGACTAACTGAGACACTTCAAAGTATCTGAAATATGCTGCATCTGTTTTATTAAACCCAATTATGACCGAAATATCTTTGTGAAATAGATTGCCACAATTATAAACTAAAATGCCCAAACGGACATGCCCAAAGCCCCAAACGGACATTTTTATCGATCGATAGTTGGTAAAAATTGAAATGACCGTTTTATGAAAATGCCTTGAATAACAAAAAGTGGCAAACCAATTCTATTTGACCGTTTGAGGCTGAGAGCAGCCGGACTTTTTATGAAAGTTTCGGTCAAGTCCGGAATATATGACCGTTTTGGAAGCCCTGGTCCCAAGGTTAACAAAAGCATTCAAATTGCATTATTTTTCTCGAATTTTACACATATGTCAAGACATGACCTCGAGGATTTAAATTGATTGACAAGTTCATCTGACAATACACGTGTAATTAAATTTCCGGTCATTGTCCACTGTATTGATTTATGAAATTCTTTTTCAAAGAGTGTTTACCTAAGATTATCTTTGATCACAATAATAAATAAATAGTGATACTTTTCATGAGAAATAATTTAAAATTTTTTAAAAACAATTAACCGTAATCTTACATTAATGAGCTTGGTTGTGCATAAAGTAAGGATTAAGACGTTGTGATTAACTCAAAACTACTCAATCTGCGTCTTTCATCTTTTTGTATTTTTCACTTGCAGAAAAAGATTGAAATAAAAGAAAATGCAAAGAAATCTAAATTTTCTAAAATCTCGTGTATACAAGAAAGAACATTTTTGTCAACTTTAAATCACTCTAAGATCGATTGGAAATTATTCTCTAGGCTAAAAGCTGCAGGAAAAATTGTAACTGTACACAGAAAAAAATAAGGGACAAAAAAACTTACAATTTTATTATAATAATAATTGACCATTAAAAACAGATACTTTGATCTCAGACCAGAATATCAATCCCCTACCCATATTCCTCTGGATTTATTTTAGCCTTACCAAGCTAAGCAAGAGTTGTGTCCCTTTGTCTCAAACTTCCAGTATTCATTTGAGTCGAACTAAGGAGGGTATCTCGAAATATTTCTCTGGTCCGGCTGACTTCAAGATAACGAGAGTCAACTGTATATAGATTCTATTACTGCATCAAGTGTGATACTATATTTCACCAGTTGAGACAGTTAAATTTAATATTTAAAATGTGAGGCTTGCAAAGCTCTTTCAATATTAAAAATTTAATTGTTGAGATTGGAGAAATATGGTATTGCACAAGTTCGTTTGATAGAATCTTTTCTCCAATGATTTCTTCACTATATGTAGACAAATTTAATCGTTCTTTTTTCAATGATTTGCAAAAAGATGTGTTATTTATATGTGACGTCATTGGCATGGTTGCCTGTTTTTGTAAGGTCACAATAGGTAATTCAGAGGAAAACCATGAAAATTTAACGTCATAATTCAATTTTGACTAATGAAGAACTGAGGTCATGAAAAGTAGATATTGGGTAAGAATTAGAGAAATATATATATATTTATTATACGTCAGTTATCATTTTCTATATAAAAAAGTACACAATATTTTCACTATTTTTCAAATTGCAAGCGTTGAACTATATGACCGGTCAATAATTTCCAACTGTTGTACCTCGGTGAAACTATTCGACCGCAAGCATCATTAAATTTCGTGGAATTTCAATTGCAGCTACGGGATTGGATAATGTTGAGCATACCGCGGGAGTTACGACGTCGCGTTTTGCCTATTGTATCTAGGTTTGATGTCTGTAATTGGTAACCATACTTAAATGGAAATATATTTTAATGTCGGTAATAATATGTTAAACCCCATTGCTTTAGAATTAGTTCTTTTTTTCTTTTATGAAAGAGCATCTGAATTTTATATTATTACGATTCATTTGAAGAGACATAATTTAAAAAAGGATTTTATTAATCAATTTTATTAATGAAATAAATCTTGTTTTGCAATATCTAAAGTACAGCAGAAATAATTGATACATATAATTTATTGATATAGCTGTTTAGATATGACAGGATAAGATACTTGACAGTTTATGAATGAATTCATTTTCCCAAGAGTCTTAAATACAAATATCTAATTATGAATTTCATCAGATTTTGTATTTGATCATGTATTATCATAATATTTTGTATCTGATCATAAATGTCAAAAAACCTTGTACTAATCACGAAAAAATTTCATCATTTTATCATGCAATATGTTGAATCTAACATTTAACTTTCTTTTATTTTTTTTCAGTCAATTTAATCATCTGTGTTATGGAAACCGTGCACAAGCCTATCAAAAGTTAGAAAACTATCAGTAAGTTTTCATTGTCAAAATATGTATACAGACTTTTTCCAATTCCAAAGAAAAGAAAGAATGGAAACATATTTATATTGCATGTCCTGTAGCATTTTCATTGATGAGGACTTCTGTTTCTGTAGTATCTTGGTATTTGGCCAACAATGTAGATGTATTTCAGTAGGAGTAGGGCTGTATTACATTCACCTTGTCCGTCTGCCTCTTTGTCCTTCCATTTGTCCAAGAAATATTTTCATCACTTCTCTGCTACTAATGAATTGAATGACTTTGCATTTGGTCAGCAGCTTGACAGTGATGAGATATAATGTGTGAGCACTTTTTATACGCCCGTCAAAATTTTGACAGACGTATTATGGTATACAAATGGTGTCTGTCCATCTGTCCAGCGTAAACATGTCGCACCGTAACTTGAGAACGACTTATCCAAATTTCATGAAACTTAACATAGTTGTTTCTTATGATGGTCAAACGATCTGTATACTTTTTGGTGAAAATAAGATTAAAACTTTTTGAGTTACGGGACTTAGAAACTAAAACAGATGTGTGTTTTTTTTTTTCACATGTCGCTCCATATCTCAAAAACAATTTATGATTATTGCTTAAAACTTTACACACTTCTTAGTTATATTCATCTTAAGATCTGTATACTTTTTGGTGATGATTCAAAATTTTATTTTTGAGTTATTGGGTATTTTGTAAAAAAGGTGGAGGGGTTTTTCATATGTCGCGCCGTATCTCAAAAACAATTTATGATTATTGCTTAAAATTTTACACACTTCTTAGTTATATTAATCTAAAGATCTGTATACTTTTTGGTTTTGATTCAAAATTTTATTTTAGAGATATTGATTTTTTTTTTTTTAAAAGGGGGGTGTTCACATGTCACGACGTATCTCAAACACGATTTATGATTATTGCTTAAAATTAAAACAATTCTTAGTTATATTAATCTAAAGATCTGTATACTTTTTGGTATTGATTCAAAATTTTATGTTAGAGATATTGAGTTTTTTGTAAAAAAAAAGGGGGGGTTTTCACATGTCGCGCTGTATGTCAGAAACTATTTATGATTATTGCATAAAAGTTCACCCATAAGACGACGGGCGTATTATGCGCTCATGGCACAGCTGTTTATTGAATCTGTCAGGCAACTACTTCCTTTTGAGGATACCTAGTGCTATGGGCCTTGTGAGTTATTGCTATCACTTGGCATCAGTCATAGCTCAAATTTCAACAAAAATCTGAAACCACTGCACAGATTCAACCAAACTTGTACTGAATGATCTTTAGAGTATCTAGCATAAACTGTTTTTTTTTCTACTTGACAATCAACCAGTATGGCTACCATGGCTAGAAATAGCACATAAGGGTCAAATGCATCAATTGTCAATATCTTGAAAACCATAAGAGGTAAAAAAAAATTCAACTTCATCAAAATGCTCAGTATGTCAAGATATACCTACTTCTTATTTCCACCAAAATGAAATTGTAGTTTATTGCTAATGGCAAAATTATGACTGACTCCGTTTATTCAAAGTTGCTGTACAGATACCTGACATCTTTAATTCATACACGAACACATAATAAGTTACTATGAGAAGGTACAAGATACAAAAATCACTTGGAGCTATCCCTCAGCTATTCCATAAACTGAATGGGGAGTGTAGAATGGGAAATTTTATTTTTGATACGGGTCATGGGTTATTTTTGGTTCTTTATAGAAATAAGAAGATGTAGTATGATTGCCAATGAGACAACTCTCAGCAAGAGACCAAATGACATAGAAGTAAGCAACTATAGGTCACAGTAAGGCCTTCAACAATGAGAAAAACCCATACCGCATAGCAAGTTATTAAAGGCCATGAAATGATGAATGTAAAACAAGACATACAAGAAATCTAACAGCATATGTCCATTTTATGTATGTTATATTATTCAAAGAATATTTTTATAGATTAGCTCTTGGCAGGATTAGATTTGCACAGTCTGATTTTGTCAATTTGTCAAACAAATTTTAATTTTTTACATTTCAGAGAAGCATTGGCAGACGGCAGACGAGCTGTTCTCATGAAACCAGACTGGATCAAGGTAATTTTGATTTTAAGCTCACATGGCTCAAAGGGCTAGTCTGAGCGTTTGCCAACACTTGGCATCCTTCATCGGTCATCTTTCAAAATTTTCTCCTCTGAAACAAATGGGTCAAATTAAACCAAACTTGGCCACAATCAACCATGGGGTATGATCCAGCTGCCCAATTAACATTGCCACCAAGGCAAAAAAATAGAACAAAGGGGTAAAATGCAAGTATTGTCTATTATTTTAAAACGATATAGATAGAGAATATTTGACCAGAGCAATGATGTTAAGATTGTCAAGCTAAGCTATACATATTGTCTTGTTTTATCGAATTTGTCAGATGACTTATTAGAGTTATTGCCCTTAAATGCTGATTTTTTTTTTTTTACTTTTATTTGCTTTTGCCTTCATAAGGTTTATTTTGTACATCAATATGAGTTAATACTTTACAGTTTGGGTTATCATTTAAACACAGTACAATTTAAGCAGTCAAAGTACAGTGGCTTTAATTCCTTATGAGATGTGATGTCATTAGTCTTTTAACACTTCTTTATAGTATATTATCACTGAACAATTATGGCTATTTTGTGCTTTACTGTGCTTGACTGCTACTGACCTTTTTTGAATTGTCTATACACCATAGTGTTTTGTCTTGAAATCGGAATATACAGTAGTACAACATTAAAAAAGTATCTATACAGTAATACAACATGAGACAAGTATCTATACAGTAGTACAACATTAAACAAGTATCTATACAGTAGTACAACATTAGACAAGTATCTATACAGTAGTACAACATTACACAAGTAGCTATACATATACAGTAAAACAACATTACGTGACAAGAGTCTGTACGGTAGTACATCATTTGACAAGTCTCTAATAATCTCCAATATTTAAGTTTTAAATTCAATGGATAATTTTTTTAATTGTCAGACAGTTAATGGAAAATAAATTACTATGGGAAATAACTCATAACAGTTTTCACTTTTTATAAAAAAAAATATTTTAAATTTGTTACAGGGTTACTACCGTTACTCTCAAGCATTCTATCACACTGGAAAAATTGACATGGCTATTGCCATCAACAAGAAGGGCATGAGAATATGTGAAAAGACAAAAAATAATGATAAAATGCTGAGTGAACTGAAAGATCAAGGACAAAAACTTCAGTATCAGAAGGATGGTGCTGCCAGTGATGAAGTCTTACACCAAATGATAAAAAATAACCGTATGGACGATAGTGTTCCTGAACAAATAAGGAATTTTCCAGGATGTACTGTTATAAATATAGAATCTGCCATGTCACAATGGAGGTAACTATAAACATGTTATTGTTGTGATGGCTTGTAGGTTTTATTTTATCAAGGTTTACAAATCTGACAGTTCTCTATGGGCTACAAATTATTATTGTGCAAGAAATTTTAAAAATTTGTCTTATTTCAACACAATGTTTTAGGTTGAATCATAGGGCTTGGCCTACTAATATTTTCACCATGGTTTGAAGGATTTTGACATTGACCACTATTTTGACATCTCTTTTTTTTTCTCTACTGAAGCACTCCTTTCTTTAAAAGAAATATGTAAGATACATGAGATAGGATTGGATATGCCTTGAAAACTAGGGACGATTTCACTTTCCTTTTCAGTTTCTGTTGTAAATATCATATACATGTATTCTGACTATCTAGTGTCATAGATATCCTCTGATATGTGGCCTGAAGATCTAGAGCTTTAGCTCTGAATTATGTATCAAATTCTAAAACTAGTTCACCAAATTATTAATTTCTTCAATCAGAAAAAGAAAGGTTCACTGATCATTGGTTTTTTAATTAAATTTTTTTTTTTCTCTTATTCTTTAAAAAGGGGGTAGCATAAAATTCATTCAAATATTTATATACAACAATTTAATTGCAAAATAAGTGACTTATAAACTTATCCTTCAGTATGGTAAATAAAGAAGCATAATATCATTATTGATTGCTTTTTATCGTACCACAACACCTTATGAGGAGTTTGTGAAAACCGATGGACATATCGGTTCTGACTGCCAAAATTTCAATAAGTCAGCTACGTTTTGACCTAAAAGGTTGTTGCGACATTAGGTATTTGGCTGAATCTTGAGACACTTTGTCTTTTTCACCTTTAATATTGCCCCTAGAAATAAAATTTTTTGAACTAGTTTTATTATTTAAGAATGACCTGGCCCATTAGGCGTTGCCTGGAATAAAGCCCCAAATAAGAAAAACAGAAATTTAAAAAAGGAAGGACCACCAAATTTTTTGAAGTACCATCAAAAGTTTGCAACCTGTCAGTCCTTGGTCTGACAAATAAAGAAGAAGTTTGGTGAACTCTGCTGATGAATGCAACTTCGAGTCAATTGAATAAAAAGCTCTCATTCTTGGTAGGATTGGTTGTCGAAAGATCCCTGTATAGGTTTGACTTCATTGATACGGGCATATAATCTAGAGAATACATCAAATATCAGCAAACACACTGAACTATATACAGTTGCCTATAATTGCTTACATCCACTTCATTTTAAGTTTGGTGGATAGTTGGCTCATTGGCAATTATACCACATCTCGATATTTTTACATATATACAACTTTAGACAGGATTCTACCTGTTTAATCCTTAAAAAACCTAAACTGTAGGACTCTTAAGCTTCTAATTCTCACGAAAAATTAGTTTTGATTGATGAAAGTCAGACTTCCGGTAATGATATGCAATGATGAAGTATTCATTTTATCTCCTCATAATTTTCTTTAGAAAAAAAAAATAATTTCATATTGGGCTTGCTTTTTTATTTCATATGAATTAATTCTACAATTCAAAGTACATTTGTAGCATTTTGTTGAGCCTGCAAAAAAAATATTGCAAAAGCGAGACATAGCGATCCTAGATTCCATTGTCAGTGTCGGCTTAGTCAACTTTTAGGTTCAGTCTGTGGTTAAAGTTTTTTAGACATCAATAACTTTGTCAAATCTACAAGGAATTTTATTAAGTTTGGACAGAAGCTTGTTTAAGACCAAGATACAGTATGCAGAGCAAAATTTTGAAAATATTTATTTTCATTTTTTCTGTATTTTACTAATGAATCGACTTAGCTTTCTTTACAGGAAACATTCAGATTTAGTCTGAGGTTTAAGTTTTTCAGTCATTTATTTTCATTTTTATACGACCGCAAAAAAATTTTGTGGTCGTATATTGGTATGACGTTGGCGTCGTCGTCGTCCGAAGACACATTGGTTTTCGCACTCTAACTTTAGTTAATGTGAATGGATCTCTATGAAATTTTAACATAAGGTTCAATACCACAAAAGGAAGGTTGGGATTGCTTTTTGGGGTTATGGTACCAACAGTTAAGGAATTAGGGGCCAAAAAGGGGCCAAAAATAAGCATTTTTGTAACTTCCAGACATAACTTGTGTGTTAGTGTATGGATCTCTCTGACATTGTACCACAAGGTTCCATATCACAAAGGGAATGCTGGGATTGATTTTGGGGGTAATTGCCTCAAAATTTTAGGAATTAGGGGCAAAAAAAGGGGCAAAAAACAAGCATTTTTCTAGTTTCGTGACAATAACTTGTGTGTAAGTGTATGGATCTTTCTGAAATTGTACTACAAGGTTCCATATCACAAAGGGAAAGCTGGAATTGAGTTTGGGGGTAATCAGGGTTTGACACTAACTAATTGTATGTACTAGCCTGCAGGGCTAGTGAAATAATTATTCTACTAGTCCTCTTGTCAATACACTAGCCCTCAAAGTGCCAAAGGCACTTGCGATGGCACGACCCTATCTAGGAGGGTCTGGGGGCATGCCCCCCCCCCAGAAAATTTTGATACAAATGAAGCTAAATCCTGTGTTCTGGAGCATTTCCAGAGGGTTTTGAACATGTTTTGTTTCATGAAATTTCACTGGTTTGCTAATAAAAAATACCAAAAAAAAAAAAAAAAATCATATTTAATTCATCTATAGGCCCTATTAAGAATGTGTTCGACTGATTTTGAAGACCCCTTTAGATCATTACTTCATCATCATCCTCATTTTACTTATCATTATTTCTAGTGTCTTTAATGAAGATGGATAAGTTAGGGATTTAAAAATACACCCACAAAAGAGGAAAGGTTTGCCCTTGCTGTTTTTTGTCATAATTCTTCATCGACTCCTTCTTTTCCCTTGTTGTTTTAGTATATATTTTTTTTTGCAGGACAAGATTTTATTCCTAAAAATCTGTATATTTTTACCAGAGACCAAGGAATTGTATAGTATACAAATACTTGCAGAGACCTATAATTTTGTTTTTATGACAATAATTCAGTGATATTGTTTGACTCAAATTACATTCGAAATACAGCTTTTTCCCCTAGAGAAAATTCCCAATTACTAAAAAAATGGCTTAAAATTCCTCCCAATAAGTTGTACATTTTTCCCAAAGAGTGATGGTATCGGTAGTAATGTATGTAAATTTCGTATTCATGTTATTATTTTGATATTATGAAAGCACTTTTGAGATCTAGGTTTCTGATTAGAATCATCACGGCGTTTGTAACACACGTGGTTTTCAATGTATTAAGTACCATCATTGTTTCCGTTTCTTTCCCCTCCCCAAAAAGTACCTTTCATGTTAAAAATGTCTGACAATCAAATTATACGTGAATAAACTGTACAATAAAGACAGCAAAGGTCAGCAAAAAATCTGGGATTTGTTGACAATTAAAATTTTGTGAAATTCCTAGTTTTAAACAAAATTTTGACTAGCCCGTCAGACTACTGTGATGAAAACTTTACTAGCCCTCCCTAATTTTTACTAGCCTCGGGCTAGCGGACTAGCATTAGTGTCTAACCCTGGTTATTGCCCAAAACGTTTAGGAATAAGGGGCCAAAAATAAGCATTTTTCTAGTTTCCAGACAATAACTTGTGTTCAAGTGTAAGGATCTCTCTGAAATTATACTGCAAGGTACCATACCACAAAGGGAAGGCTGGGATTGATTTTGGGGGTAATTGCTTCAAAATTTTAGGAATAAGGGGCCAAAAAGGGGCAAAAAACAAGCATTTTTCTAGTTTCAGGACAATAACTTGTGTGTAAGTGTATGGATCTTTATGAAATTGTACTACAAGGTTCCATATCACAAAGGGAAAGCTGGGTTTGAGTTTGGGGGTAATTGCCCTAAACATTTAGGAATTTGGGGCCAAAAAGGGGCCTAAAAACAAGCATTTTTCTAGTTTACAGACAATAAAAGAGGGACGAAAGATACCAGAGGGACAGTCAAACTCATAGATCGAAAACAAACTGACAACGTCATGGCCAAAAATAAAAAGACAAACAGACAAATAATAGTACAGATGACACAACATAGAAAACTAAAGACTAAGCAAAACGAACCCCACCAAAAACTGGGGGTGATCTCAGGTGCTCCAGAAGAATAAGCAGATCCTGCTCCACATGTGGCACCCGTCGTGTTGCTTATGTTATTACAAATCCGGTAAATAGTCTAATACGGTAAGTCACATTCGTGAAAAGGGAAGGGTATTGTAATTACGACATAAGGAACATATCCGATATCATCTGTGAAACGGTTATTCCATAACGGTCAACCAACTCGTGATGGCGTCCGTAAAATTTACGAAGGGATGACTTCAACTTCACCATTTGGAACTCTTGGTTTAATAGCTTCCTTGTGAGCAGCAATCCTCTATCAAGGAAATCATGATAGGAAACACAATCCCGGGAATATCGTATCAGTTGGGAGATATATACTCCGTATGCAGGCGCTGCTGGAATGTTGCTACATAGAAATGGAAAGTTCACAATTGGGAAGCTGAAATCATCTCTTTTGTCGTAAAGTTTTGTTTTCAACCGACCTTCATTGTCAATTTCTAGATGTAAGTCAAGATATGAGGCAGACTTAACTGTATCTGTAGTATCCTTTATCTCTAGTTCGATGGGATAGATTCGTTCAACATAGTCACCAAATTTTGTATTATTTAGTGTTCAAGTGTATGGATCTCTCTGAAATTATACTGCAAGGAACCATACCATAAAGAGAAGGCTGTGATTGAATTTGGGGGTGATGAATCATAAGGGGGTTCAAAAAATTTGGGAGAGAGATTTTTTTTTCCATTTTTTCCTTTTTTTTTCTTTAAAATTTTCCATTTTAAATTGGTTATTTCTGATTTATATATAAAAGCAAATAATAATGATATGGTTTGAATAGGTAAATTAAAAATTTTTAAGTTCTTAGACCACATTCATTCTGTGTCAGAAACCTATGCTGTGTCAAATATTTAATCACAATCCAAATTCAGTG